ATTATTATTGGGGGAGCTTGGCAGCCACCACAGGACACTGAGTGGAGCAAGGGAATTGCCAGGGCCTCAGAATAGACTGAAAACTCATCAAGTGTCTCACAGCTTGGGACAGGCTGCTGGAAAATCTTACTTTTGGTGGTCAGGATGTGGCTGAAATAATAATTAAAGGTTTTCTATGTGTTAGAATTAATTTCCACAACATTTGTGCCATCTGTGGAGTTTTATGGATTTTTACCCAAAATAGCTTCCACTGAGGTTGCAGTGCAAGGTTTTCTGGGGGAAAAGCAGGAGGATGAATGCTAATTGCCAAAATCCCTGCAGGGCGCCCGTTTCATGACCACTGCCATGTACGATGCACGCGAGGCCATCATCCCTGGCTCTGTCTACGACCGCAGCAGCCAAGGTAAAGGAAATGCCCCAAGTTCCCTTCTTAGGGGTTTCTTTTCCCCCTAACCAGCCCCTGAGGGGTCACATCTTACACACTTCAAACTTTGAAGCTTCTTAAAAGCTTTTAAACTTGTGCAGATTTTGAATTTGTTAAAGATATAAACTCCAAACCACAGAAATGGAATTTAAGAACTGGAATCGATGGAATTTGAAGACTGAAAATGTTTGGGATGGGTTTAAGGGCTGAAAATGGAATGAATTTAAGGACTGAAAACGTTTGGGATAAATTTGAGGGCTGAAAATGTTTGGGATGAAGTTGAGGCTGAAATATTTGGGGTGAATTGGAGACTGAAGTGTCTGGGATGAATTTGAGGCTGAAAATGCTGTGGATGAATTTAAGGACTGAAGATGCTTAGGACGAAATTGAGGACTGAAAATGTTCAGGATTTAATTTAACAACTGAAAATGTTTGGGATGAATTTGAGGGCTGAAATGTTTGAGATTTAATTTAACAACTGAAAATGTTCAGGATGAGTTTGAGGCTGAAATGTTTGAGATTTAATTTAACAACTGAAAATATTTGGGATGAGTTTGAGTGCTGAAAATCTCGAGCCTGGATTTTGCTCTCTGTAAATAGAATCCCAGCCTGGCATGTGCAGAGCAGGTGCAAAGTGAGGGGAAAAGGAGTGTGAGCAGCATTTCAGGGGTCTCGGGTGGTGCTGTGGGAGGAGCTGTGGGATGAGCCTGTGTTGGGTGGATTTGTGCAGTCCCAGGTGTGGAATCAGCAGCGAGGCAGAGGCGCTGCTCCTCGGGCAGGGGGAGCTGGGGATGGCTCCTGCAGCAGCAGAATCCCTGAGCCCCTGTGCTCTCCTTCCCCAGGCCGTCCATCCAACATGTACTTCCAGACCCACGACCAGATTGGGATGATCAGTGCAGGCCCCAGCCACGTCACTGCCATGAACATTCCCATCCCCTTCAACCTCGTCATGCCCCCCATGCCCCCCCCGGGCTACTTCGGCCAGGCCAACGGCCCCGCTGCAGGTAAAGGAGCCCTGGCAGGGCTCAGACTCCCCAGCAGAGGCATTGGTGCCCCTCAGGTTCTCACTGCTGCCTGCCTGGGTCTTTTCCAGGCCGTGGGGCTCCCAAAGGGAAGGCGGGCCGTGGCGGGCGGCAGAAGAATCGCTTTGGGATTCCTGGCACCAGCCAGTCCAACCTGCCCAACAGCCAGGCCAGCCAGGACGTGGTGTCCCAGCCCTTCTCGCAGGGCCCCCTGACCCAGGGCTACATCTCCATGAGCCAGCCCTCACAGATGAGTCAGCCTGGGCTCTCCCAGCCGGAATTATCCCAGGTGAGTGAGGATTTGGGGATAGCAGGAGCCTTTCCTGGGGTTTGTGATCTGTGCCTGCATCTCCTCCCTGCTGAGGGAAACGAAACTGAAACTGCTCTCAGTGACTCAGCTGCAGCGTTCACAGCTGCACTGATGGGGGCATGGAAGGGAAATGTTGCTTCAGCTGATACACAGCTCAAAACCCCCTTAATTTAGGGAAATTCTGCACCAAAAAGAGCAGATTTAAAAAACCCAAACGCTCTCAGCTTTATGATCAGCCTGGCTCTGCCTTGCACTTGAGCTGGACACTGATGTTGAGGCTTCCCTCACCTCTCCCCTTGCAGGACAGTTACCTTGGTGATGAGTTTAAATCCCAGATTGACGTGGCGCTGTCACAGGACTCAACTTACCAGGGGGAACGAGCTTATCAACATGGTGGAGTGACGGGACTGTCACAGTATTAGAGTGTAAGCACCCCTCTGCCCCTCCCCTGAGCCAAACTGTCCCCATCCCCTGAGCCAAACTGTCCCCATCCCCTGAGCCAAACTGTCCCCATCCCCTGATTGCAACTGTCCCCATCCCCTGATTTCAACTGTCCCCATCCCCTGATTTAAACTGTCCCCTCCTCTGATTTAAACTGTCCCCATCCCCTGATTGCAACTGTCCCCATCCCCTGAGCCAAACTGTCCCCATCCCCTGATTTCAACTGTTCCCTCCTCTAATTTATACTGTCCCCTCCCTTATTTAACTGTCCCCTCCTTTATTTAACTGTCCCCTCCCCCTGATTTAAGCTGTCCCCTCCCCGGTTTAAGCTGTCCCCTCCCTGGTTTAACTGTCCCCTCCCCAGTTTAAGCCTGACTGGGTGAGCAGGACTCCCCTAACTGAGCTCTCCGTCTGCCCCCAGGTTGAGGAAGAAGAGCTAAGCTTGTGTGGAGCTTAGTTCATCAGCATTTTATTCTGGGTAATAAAAAAAATAAAATAAAATGGATACCTGTTTTCCACTGCTAAAACTGAAGCACCACTGTGTGAGAGCAACAGGAGAGAGAAAGAAACCAACCAACGGAGAGGAGAGAAAAGAGAGAGAGAGGAGCGCGCGAGAGAGGAGAGAGCCACTGCTGGAGCTCACTGAGCCACGGAGCCGGAGAGAGGAGAGAGAGCCTGAGGAAGGAACTCACCCAGCAGAGTGCTCAGCTGAGTCCCCCCAGCTCCGGAGAAGGGCCTTAACAAAGCAGGTTTCACTTCATTCCATACTTCTCTTGGCGAGCAGGGCATTATGAACCTTTCAGAGCAGATGGGGAGAGGAAAACCCTCACCTCAGAGTTGGGCTCGTTTGCTGAGGGTACTGAAAACATTTTAGCAGGAACTGTTTACATTTTAGAAGCAGAGTATCTGAGAGAAGGGGGGGAAGCAAAGAGAGAGAAAGTCCCTGCCTAGGTGAGAGCCAGCCAAGCAGAAATCCAGCTCTGCTCAACTCTGAGGTGCAGGTTTTGTTGTCCAACACTGGCTCTGAAATTTGTTGTCATCGTGTCGCCCACATTCTGAACGAGGTGGTTTTAAAGAGATTCTTTCAAAAAGAGCACTGAATTTTTTAAGAAGTTTTGTCTCTGAATTCTTAGTGGTGGACCTGGGAGATTTAGATCCTTGTTCTGAGAAGCTTATATTACAAAAAAAAACCTTTAAAAAAAAAACAAAAAAAATGTTTCAAACAAAAATTAGAGCACCATCCTTGAGAACTTTCAGTGTGATTTCAAGTTGCAGCAATCAGCCTCTTCTTCCTACATGGGATAGGTTTAGAGTGAGAGGAGCCTGCGTGCTCGAGCAGGAGGGTTTCAAAGTGTTTTCTGTATGCTTTAATTGGCAACTGTCTGGACTCTACTCTGTGAAAAACAGCCTTTCTGTAAGATGAACTTTATGCTTGAAAGGGGACGGGTTCCTGTGCCCTTCGGCCCTGGAGGGAAGGTGCAGCCAGGCCTGCTTTGGTCCCCACAGCCCTGGGGAGGAGCAGTGGAAATTGGGGATTATTTTGGGTGGAAGGGAAGGCTCCGCACCACTGCAGGAGCAGGACGGACACACGGACAAAGCAGGCAGGTGGTGGAAGGTGGTGGCCTCTGAGAGACAGAGCTGGGTTTAATTTGGGAGAATGGGTCAGGCTTTGGGGCGGTGGAGGCAGGAGAGGACAGAGTGAGGAGCTGAAGGGAATTTCAGGGGGAAGAAAGTTTGTTCAAGCTTTGCTCTGTGGAGCAGAGCTCTGAGCCCAGCTGGGAGCAGGGCTGGGAGGAGAAGCCATCCAGGCTCTGAGGTGTAGCCATGTCTGGAACACTTGGGAGCTTTTCATTTCTGCCAGAAGCTCTTTTAGGAGCAGCACAGAGAGAATTGATTCCTCCAGCCCCGTTCTTAGCAGATCCTGAATCAGAGGAGCCTCTACCTCCCAGCTGGGCAGCAGCAGAGATTGAGCAGAGCCTGGCTCTTCTCAGCCTGAGTTAAGCTTTACACTCAAAGGGCTCCAAGTGTTTCTAGTCCTTTTCTTGGGGGGAAACTCAAAATACCTCTCATCTGAATGTACTTAAACAAACAGCTCAGAGCCCCTTTTGTACCGGGGAGGGGGAACCCTTCCCTTCCTGTCCTTCCTGCAGATCCCTGCCCTGGATTTGCTGGACTGGCCCCAGAGCAGCCCTGGTGTGGAGCACCCCCAGCCCGGGAGGGATTCGCTCCCCCAGCCCGGGGGGAGCTGCAGAAACTGCAAAAACCACAAAAATCTCAACTCACAAACCCATTCTTTTCTCATCCAAAGCCTCCAGAGTTTAGATTCTAAAACAGTGAAAGAATGGAGACACAGGCCACCTTCCTTCCTCGTGAGATGGACTTGTTTTATTTATTAACATTGCCGAAGGGCTTTTTTAATTTTTTTTTCCTTGGTAGGCAGCGTAGTGGCGTAGATTTTCGGGTAGGTTTAAGCTGAACCCCTCTGTGCAAAGCTTTCCATGAGTATTGTAGCCCCAGCTCTCCCCTCACCCTTTATTTCACTGCTGGGAATGCTTGCCTCTGCTTCGTGCTGGTTTTTTCCTTTGTAGCAGTTCAAACTCTTTTTGAGTTTTACAAATCCAGACATCAGTGCTAGCACGGTGTTAAAACTCTTTTCTTTTTTTTTTTAATTAATTAATTTTTTTTGTCTCAGTTTTGTTTTAAAACCTGTTTGTCATCAATAAAAAAAAAAAAAAAAAAGAATAAACAGCTCTTGCATTCAAGGTGGCCCCTAAGTTTCAATGAGGAAACCATGCAACGTTCATTAAAGCTTTAGTCTGATTGTATAAACCTCAAGTTTATTACTTTTTTTAAACACAAGACTAGTACAAAAGTGGGGGTGTGCATAGCAGAGGGGGTGAGCGGCTCGACTGGGAGAACTGGGAATACTGGGAAGGGCCCCCACTCTCTTCCAGCCCCAGGATTTGGGAGAAGCTCCCCCTGCCCTGCAGGAAGCACAGGAATGGCTTTGCCCTGCCAGGCTCATCAGGGCTGGGGCTCCACGCTGGCTCGGGGGGTTTGGGCCTGGCCTTGGCACAGACTCGGGCCTGGCTGAGCCCAGGTCCCGTCCTGGCTGCCAATGCCCCCAGGCTGGCACAAACCCAGGAATACTCCAAGGGTTTTTTTCTTCTGCCCGTGTAAAATCAGAATTAAATGGCTCCTGCTGGCTGGAGTTAAGCCCTTTAAACACTGAAATGGAGCAGAGCGGGGCAGGGTGGGGAACACCAGGATTTGGGAATGGGAATTCAGCTAAAGCTGCTCCAGGCTGGGTCTTCCAAAAGCTCCACATTTTGGGTGTGAGAACAAAAAAAAAACAAAAAAAACCCATCCCAAGCTCCCCCCACCCGGTGGATAAACCCTCAGTGCTTCCCTGGGGGGAGGAGGTGGGAAAACCATCAGAGCTCAAGGAGGAAATAGCAAAAAAAACCCCAAAAGCTGCACTACGGCTTCACAGTTCAAAATAAAGAGAAAAAGTTCAAGTCTAACTGGGATTCCCTTGCCCCAAATCCTCGCTCTGGTGGTTTCACACCCAGGGCTCCATGGCTCAGCCCCTTCCCCCCGAGGGGGAGAGAGGAGCCCAGGATGGGAAATGGCCCAGACTGGGTCCCTGCTGCCCCTCGGTGGCACCGCAGAGGGGCTGGGGCTGCCAGGCGCCACAAAAACCAACAAATGCACCAAAAACAGCCCGGAAAAGCAAAAATGTGCGGAGCTCCGTGCCCTGCCCTTGCCTGGGGCTCGGCTGCCACCTGGGGACGCTCGGGGGACAGCCCGGGCTCATCCATTTGCAAATGAGGTAAATTAAATTAATACTGACCACAGCGGGCTGGGAGGGCGGGGAGCCCCTGACCCAGCCCTGGATTCCTTCAGCCCCGCTCCTGCAGCATCCTGCCCTTGCATTTCACTGCTCCCAGCGGATTTCTTGGGTAAAATCTCCCCTTTTTTAGGCAAAAATCTCAATTTTTAGGGAAAAACCTTCAGTTTTTAGGCAAAACCTCCACTGCATTTGGCCACCCAGCACAAGCCCTGTCCGCCCATCACCAAGCACGCCCTGAGAGCGGCTCCCACAGCACCGAGGAAGCTCCTGCCTGGCCCTGCCTCCCTGGGACGGGATTTGGTGACCCCATCCCTGTCCCCGCAGCCGGGCCACACCCGGGGAGCCCCCAGCCCCTTTTCACCCAGAGGAGTCATTTATGCCCTGAGAAATCTGCGGAGTTCAGCCAAAACCCCAAAACCTGCAGCCCTGGAGGTGCCCGGCACGAACAAGGGGGGGAATTTGGGATTCACAGCGCGGTGCCAGCGTCCCCAGGCGAGAAAGGACCCAGCACCAGCCTCGGTCATAATCCCGCACCCCATCCCAGCTGATCCCAAACCAGCACCGCCCCGAGCGCCGGCCCAGCCCCAGAGCAGCCCCCGAGCACGGCGGGGGTTTCCCAGCGGGAATAACAAAGGAATTTCCCCCCCCTTGTCCGCCGTTCCCTCCGGAGCCGCGCTACCTGCAGCCGCACTCGTCCACCACCATGTCCTCGTAGTGCCGCAGCACCACGTTGTCGCTGTTGTCGTAGTAGAGGATGGAGATGGGGGAGAGGCGGACGGGCACGCAGCAGGGCTGGGGGGTGCCCTGCGGGTCCAGCGAGTGCACCATGGTCTGCAGCACGGCGTGGTTGGTGCTGTTGAGCTCGGCCGCCAGCGGGAACGGGCACTCCCCGCCGCAGTAGTTGGCCAGGTAGCCCTGGGGGGCGATGATCCAGTTCTCCCAGCCCACGTCGCTGAAGCTGATGTAGAGCCGGCGGGGCTTGCACAGGGGGCTGGGGGTCCCCGCGGGGCCCGGGGCGCTCCTCCGGCCGCGGCCGGCGCGGCACTGCCGGCCCAGCGTCACCAGCAGCAGCGAGGCGGCCGCGAAGGCGTCGGAGCTGCCGCAGGGGCCCCCGGCGCCGCCGCTCTCCGACATCTCCAGCACCAAAGCCAGGGAATCCCTGCCCGGCGGCACCGCCCGGCCGCCCAGCGCCGCGCTCAGCTCGAACACGAGCGATTTGCGCAGCTGGACCAGCGACCGCTCCAGCAGCGGGGCCCGGCCGGGCTGCGGCAGCCCCCGCGGGGACGCCCGGTACAGCCGCAGCTCCAGGACGCGGCCCGGGCTGGGGCCGTGGTAGGAGCTGTGCTGGAAGCGCAGCTCCAGCTGGGCCAGGGTCGGGCGCTCGCCCTCCTCGAGCGCCGAGAGGTTGAAGAGCAGGAGCTTCCGCAGGCACAGCCGGCCCTGGGGCTGCCCCGCGGGCAGGAAACGGCCTGGCGAGGAAGGAGAAACGGCGTGGGGGTGGCTGGACCCGGGGCTGGGCAGGATCGGCTCCAGGATGGGCTGGGGGATCCCTGGGGCTGGGCAGGATCGGCTCCAGGATGGGCTGGGGGAGCCCTGGGGCTGGGCAGGATCGGCTCCAGGATGGGACGGGGCTGAGCGGGATGGGGAAAGAGAGGGCGAACAGGAGCGAATTTGGGTTTAGCCTGGTTTAGCCAGCCCGAGCCAAACTGGAACCACGAGAGAAAAGAGCTTTGGGATGCTTTGAGCCCTCAGGGACACCAACCAAACAGTCCCCAGGGAACTGTGAACGGCTCAGCGCAGCCAGATGTGCCCCGGGGTCAGCCAGATGTGCCCCGGGGTCAGCCAGATGTGCCCCGGGGTCAGCGAGAGGCGCTGGGACAATGAGGATAGGGGGACACAGCCCGGGGATCGAGCATCCATCCCATCCCTGGGATCAGGACTGGGATCAGGCCTGGGATCAAAGCAGCGCCTCGGGAGGGATTTAGGGGGCTCCAGGACAGACCCTGGCACCGCTGCCCCCCTCACCCCCATCTCGGGGTCCCACACCCATCACCATCACCGGCAGCATCCACAGGACTCCATCCCGCAGGGATTTCTCCTGGAATCCAGCTCGGGACACGGGGCAGGGCGGAGCGGAGCCCGGGGAAGCCCGAACGCGGCGCGGCTGTGGCTGTACCTTGGTCGGCGAAGACTCGGACGATGTTCCCGGGGACATTGAACTCCTCCACCCTGCAGGGCTCCGGCGCTGCCTCGGGCCGGGGCAGGGCCCTCCTCTTGTGGAAGATCCTCCAGAGCACGGGCGGCACCGGCGCGGGGCTCCTGGGGCTGGGCTTGGCGCTCAGCCCCAGCGATCTGAGCAGGGAATTTTCCTGCGGGCCCAGCTCCGAGGCCAGCACGGGGCTGAGCAGGGCCCAGGCGAGGCTGCGGAGGAGCCACATCCCCGCTCTGCGCACCGAGAGCGGCCGGGCCGGGCAGCGCCGGGCGGGGGCCGGGAGCGGAGCCTTTGATGGGCTCGGAGCTCAATGAGCACCGCGGGATCGGCTCTGGGAGGGCTCCGGCACCCCTTAACCCTTTCAGCGCTCCGCAGCTCCCGAGCGCCCGCTCGGGCTCCAGGGCGGTCCGTGGGCTCGGGGTGAGGATGGAAATCCAGCGCTGCTGCAAAAACCCTGCCCGGAGCCGGGCGCAGACCTGGAAAGGCTCTTCCTCCCAAAAAATCCCTTTTTAACTCAATGTGGGATCGGGATGAGGATGGAAATCCAGCGCTGCTCGCAAAAACCCTGCCCGGAGCCGGGGGCAGACACGGAGCCGGCTTTTCCTCCCAAAAAATCCCTTTTTAAACTCAATCACGGCGTCCAACGCTTCTCTCTTAAAGCCATCAACCTCCAGCACATCAAACCATCCAAGTCCTGCTTCACACGGCCCCAAAAACCATCGGCCCCAAAAACCACCAGTCCCAAAAACCATCGCCCCAAAAACCACCAGTCAAACCACCAGTCCCAAAAACCATCGGCCCAAAACCCCCAGTCCCCACCCAGCACCAGGTCCTGCCCCAGCCAGGCACCCCCAGGTCCCCCAGTCCCTTCTTGGCCATCACAGCAGAGCTGCCGCCACCACCTCCATGTCACAGCCCCCAAAGCCAGCTGGAGCCACCCAGCTCAATGCCAGCCCTGGAAAATTCAGTTTGATCCCCCCCAAGGCCACCCCAGCTCTGCTCCGGCCCATCCCGGGGGTTCAGTTCCCCTCCTGCCCTGCAAACCCCACAGAAAACCAAGGAATTCCACACTGGGAGGCTCCTCTGACACCCTGGAGGTCACAGGGGGGCACAAGGTCCTGCCACAGCCTGGGGACATTCCCAAGCCCCACTCAGGGCCTGTCCCTGGCTCAGACACAACAGGGGAGGGAACCACCGAACATGGAAAAATCCCACAAATTCCCACACCTGGAATTGATGCCCTGGATCCCCCTCGGCTGCTGGGGGAGGCAGCTGAGGGTCCTGGCCTGGGAGGGGACAGCAAGGGGACAGCGAGGGACCCAAACCCACAGAGCTGCCCAGGGCAGGGACCTGGAACCTGCAGGGCTGGGGCTGCCTGGAAACCCAGCAGGAATTCTCTGTTCTTCCCAAAAACCCAGCACTGGAGCAGGAATTCTCTGTTCTCCCCCAAATCCCAACTCTAGGAGCAGGAATTCTCTGTTCTTCCCAAAAACCCAGCCCTGGCAGCAGGAATTCTCTGTTCTTCCCAAAATCCCAGCCCTGGAGCAGGAATTCTCTGTTCTTCCCAAAATCCCAGCCCTGGAGCAGGAATTCTCTGCTCTTCCTTCACAAGGGGACAGTCCTGGGGGGAAATCCCCCAGCAGGGACCTGCAGGACGCTTTCTAAGCCACTCCAAGACCTACATGGGGATTTTTCCAAGGAAATGGAACCTCCTGGGCCTCCACCCGAGGTGGATTCCCAGGCAGTGGCAGCTGCAGGGGACAGTGGCTCCTGCAAGGGCAGCTCTGCAGTGCCTGGCTGGCAGCTGGGGCACAGCTGGGGCACAGCTGGAGCACAGCTGGCCTCAGGGTCCCTTCCCAGGGCAGGACAGGAGCTCCCCTGCCCGGGCTGGAGCAGCTGGGAGGGTCTGGGGGTGTCACAGCGGGGCTGAGGATGTGGAGCAACACCAGGGACACAAAGGCAGCCCCAGGTCCCACCTGGCCAGCACAGCCACCAGAGTCCCGGCCAAACTGGGCCAAACTGGGCCAAACTGGGCCAAAGTGGGCCAAAGTGGGAGCCCCCAGGCGCAGGGGACAGGGCCAGGGCCCAGCCCAGCCCCAGGGCTGGCAGGGGGATTCTCCTCGGGCCTGTCCTTGGCAGGGTCCCAGGGCAGGTCCTGGGCCAGCCCCGCAGCCGTGGCCACGCCGCCCTCACAACCTCTTGTCCTTGACGAGGCCGTTCCTGAGGTGCAGCCTGGGGAGAGCAGAGCCCGTGTCAGCCCCTGAACACACAGAGCCCCTCATGCCCTGCTGGGGCCACTGCTGCCCCCAGAGCCCTGCACTGTGATGGCTCCAGCACCAGGGAGAAGCTCCAGGGAGAGCTCAGAGCCCTGGCAGGGCCTGAAGGGGCTCCAGGAGAGCTGCAGAGGGACTGGGGACAAGGATGGAGGGACAGGACCCAGGGAGTGGATTTAAAGTGGGAAAAGGGAGATTTGGGTGGGACACTGGGAAGGGGTTCCTGGCTGGGAGGGTGGGGAGGGAGTTCCCAGAGCAGCTGTGGCTGCCCCTGGAGCCCTGGCAGTGCCCCAGGCCAGGCCCTGGGCTCACGGGGATGTCCCAGGTGTGGAGCTGGACGTGCTTTAGGGTTTCTGACCCAAACCAGGCTGGAATTCCACGTACCCTTCCTTCAGAGCCCGGGGCAGTTGGATCCCAGGCTCCTTGCCGGGTTTCCTGCTCTCCTCCAGGTCGTACTCACGGACGTCGTTCACCTCCTGCATCTGCCCCAGCAGCACCTTGGCCACGAACAGCACGATGTACTGGGGACAGAGGGGACAGAGGGGACAGAGGGGACAGAGGGGACAGCCACCCTCAGCACGGGCCCAGCCCGGGGGGGACCTTGCCCTGCTGCCCCCTCCCCATGTGGGGCAGAGCAGCTCCCCCGGGATGGTCACAGCCCCGCGATGGGCCTGGGGGCTCGGAGCAGAACTCCAGGGACAATTCCTGCTCTCATCCCAGGGGTGATGGCACCGGCAGCTCCCTGCCCTGCTCTGCCCCACGGATCCCCCCTCTCCACCCCTGCCCGCAGCCTGGGGCAGGCAGGAACACTCCCAGAACGTTTCCACCTCTCTCAAATCCTTTCTGGGATGCAGGGACACTCCCAGGACCAGGACGTTCACACCTCTCTCAAATCCCCTTTCTGGGATGCACAAACATTCTCAGACCGTTCCCACCTCTCTCCCTGCTGTTATCACTCCCCCCGGGGGTGTCAGACACTCTGAATTCCCAAGGGAACCCCCCCAGCCTTCCCCCTGACCCCCCAAACCTCCCCTATGGCTGCCACCCCCGCAGCAGCAGCAGCAGCAGCGAGGACGGGGCTGACCCCAGGGACAGGGGACGTGTCCCCGCTGTCCCCAGCCCCAGTTTGTCCCCGTGGGGTGGCAGCAGCCCGGGATCACCCACCAGGAACCAGTAGATGTTCATCAGGGTGAGCACGAGCAGCAGGGCGTTGAAGAAGAAGTAGAAGGGGATGTTGGGGACGGACTGGAGGCTGGAGTGGCAGGTGGCATAGAGCACCTTCAGCGGGAACCAGTAGAGACGGAACCAGAACCTGCAGGGATGGGCACAGCGTGGGGTCAGGGTGGGATGGCAGGGACAGGGCCAGCACAGCCTGTGCCCCCTGAGCCCCAATTCCTGCTCTGGGAAAGGGACAGGGCCAGCACAGCCTGTGCCCCCTGAACCCCAATTCCTGCTGCCCCCTGAGCCCCAATTCCTGCTCTGGGAAAGGGACAGGGCCAGCACAGCCTGTGCCCCCTGAGCCCCAATTCCTGCTGCCCCCTGAACCCCAATTCCTGCTGCCCCCTGAACCCCAATCCCTGCTGCCCCCTGAACCCCAATCCCTGCTCTGGGAAAGGGACAGAGCCAGCACAGCCTGTGCCCCCTGAACTCCAATTCCTGCTGCCCCCTGAGCCCCAATTCCTGCTGCCCCCTGAACCCCAGTTCCTGCTCTGGGAAAGGGACAGAGCCAGCACAGCCTATTCATCCATGGATGTGTCCGTCCATCCATCCATCCATCCATCCATCCATCCATCCATCCATCCATCCATCCTCCTCCTCCCCCCTGCCCGGGTCATTTGTCACAGCAGTGTCACCAGCAATGTCACCAGCAGTGTCTGTCACCAGCGGTGTCACAGCGGTGTCACAGGAATTTCACAGGCACTCAGAGCCTGCACTACAGAGGGATTCCGAGCCCAGCAGGAGCTCGGCCCCAGGAGATGGTGGGGGGTCCCAAAAACCGGGAGGGGAGAGGGGACTGGGAGCAGGGGGACAAAAATCCTCCAGAAAGGGTCAGGAGTGGGATCAGGGGGACAAAAATCCTTCAGAGAGGGTCAGGAGTGGGATCAGGGGGACAAAAATCCTCCAGAAAGGATCAGGAGTGGGATCAGGGGGACAAAAATCCTCCAGAAAGGGTCAGGAGTGGGATCAGGGGACAAAAATCCTTCAGAAAGGGTCAGGAGTGGGATCAGGGGGACAAAAATCCTCCAGAAAGGGTCAGGAGTGGGATGAGGGCCCCAAAGCCAGCAGGGAAGGTCAGGATTGGGATCAGGGCCCCAAAGCCAGCAGGGAGGGTCAGGATTACAATCAGGGACACAAACCCAGCACGGAGGGTCAGGTTTAGGATCAGGGCCCCAAACCCACTCGGGAGGGTCAGGATTGGGATGAGGGCCCAAAGCCAGCAGGGTTTAGGGTCAGGATTGGGATCAGGGCCCCAAAGCCAGCAGGGAGGGTCAGGATTGGGATGAGGGCCCCAAACCCACCCGGGTTTAGGGTCAGGATTAGGATGAGGGCCCCAAACCCAACAGGGAGGGTCAGGATTGGGATGAGGGCCCCAAAGCCAGCAGGTTTAGGATCAGGGCCCCAAAGCCACCCGGGTTTAGGGTCAGGATTGGGATCAGGGCCCCAAAGCCAGCAGGTTTAGGATCAGGGCTCCAAAGCCAGCAGGTTTAGGATCAGGGCCCCAAAGCCCCCAGGGTTTAGGATCAGGGGCTCTGTCCCAGACCCACCAGCTGACGCTGAAGGCCAGGCAGCCGGCGTTGGCCAGGAGGTCGTTGAGGCGGTGGAAGGCGCCGCCGCGGTGCTTGAAGTACACGTTGAGCTTGGTGAACTCGAGCTGAACGTCATTGACATCGTGCAGGAACAGCACCAGCACACCCACGTTGTGGTACCTGCGGGAAACAGCGGGGAAAATGGGGAAACAATGGGGAAAAATGGGGGGAAATGGGAAAAATGGGGGGAAATGGGGAAACTGTGGGGAAACATGGGGGGAAATGGGGGAAACTGCGGGGAAATGGGAAAAACTGCGGGGAAATGGGGAAAAATCATGGGGAAAAACCACGGGGAAATGGGAAAAACTGCAGGGGAAAGCTGCGGGGAAATGGGGAAATGAAATAGAGAAAAACTGTGGGGAAATGGGAAAAACCATGAGGAAATGGGAAAAACCATGTAGAAATGGGGAAAATGGGGGGGGGACAACCGGGGAAATGGGAAAAACCGGGAAAATGGGGAAATGAAATGGGGAAAATTCCAGGGAGAAGGCTGACCTGAAGGCGTAGGAGGAGGCCAGCAGGGTCAGGGTGACCACGTGGTGCAGCAGCATCACCAGCGAGTCCTTGCGCCACGTGTCCATGTAGGCCGTGGCGTACAGGGAGTGCCCGTAGAAGCTGCCCTGCAGCAGGTACGCCAGGGCAATGTCCCTGGGCACCTCCATGCCCCGCTGCCAGCCTGCAGGGTTCGGGTTTGGCAGGGGGAAAAGGAAAATAGAAACAGGAATCGAAATAAAATCATCTGTATTATTGTAGAGAATAAAAATAATCTAAATAATCTAAATAATCATAATAGTAATAGTAGTAATAACAGTAATTACAATAATAATAATAACGGTAATAATAATAATAGTGCCCTGCTACCAGCCTGAGGGGAACAGGTTGGTTTATGTTTGTAATAATAATAATAAAAATAAAAAATAGATATAAAAATAGAAATAGAAATAGAAATAGAAATAGAAATAATAATAATAATAACAATAATAATAATAGAAAATTAAAAGTACTTATCTATATAAAATAAAAGTAATTAAAAGTAATTATCTATATAATTATCTATATAAATTATTATCTATATAATAATAATAATCTATATTATTATAGAAAAATCAAAATAATCGATATTATTATAGATTATGATGAAATATTAATCTATGTTATTATAGATTAGTTTTTGCAAGCTGTGATCAATCACAGTGAGTTTATACATGATATTTATGTGTGGTTTTGGGTTTGTATCCCTGTCCACAGCAAGCAGTGGGGGGAATGAGGGGATTTTTAAGCCCTGACTTGCTGCCCCTGCCCATGACCATGAGCTGATCTTCAAGGTCCTTCCCACCCCAGCCCAGGCCATTATTTCATTGTCCATTATTTCATTGTCCACGATTTCATTGTCCATGATTTCATTGTCCATGATTTCATTGTCCATGATTTATTTCATCGGTTCCTGGTTCACTCCGCCCCTCCAGCGGCCACCAAAAGAAAGGAACACCCAGACACCCCCTTGTGCCCTTTCTGCACCCAGAGCAGGACAAAAAAGGGATAAAAAGGGGAATTTGGGGGTGGCTGTGCAGCCTCACCGTAGAAGACGGAGGGCGGGTCGTGGAAGAAGGGGTAGTCGGTGCAGAAGAGCAGGTAGGCGCCGTAGGACCACGACACCGAGTAGAAAAACAACTTCCAGGCACTCTCGGGCATCTTGGCAGCATCTTTGGGCTGCAGCTGGCACCACTCCCCGAAGGGCTGCAGGGAAAAGGGGGAATTTCACCAGGGAAAGGGAAAAGGGGGAATTTCATCAGCAAAGCCTCAGCCAGGGGGCTCAGCAGCGGCCAGAGCCGGGCTCTGCCAGCAGGAACGAGCTGGGGAAGGGGAAATGGGGAGAGACCCCTCTGGAGCCCTGCAAGGGAGCCTGGGGCATCCTGCCCCTCCCTGGAGCATCCTTGGAGCATCCTTGGAGCATCCCTGGAGCATCCTTGGAGCATCCCCTCCCTCCTGCCCCTCCCTGGAGCATCCTTGGAGCATCCCTGGAGCATCCTTGGAGCATCCCCTCCCTCCTGCCCCTCCCTGGAGCATCCTCGGAGCATCCTTGGAGCATCCTTGGAGCATCCCCTCCCTCCTGCCCCTCCCTGGAACATCCTCGGAGCATCCCTGGAGCATCCCCTCCCTCCTCAGAGCATCCTGTCCCTACTGCCCCTCTCTGGAGCATCCTCGGAGCATCCCCCGAGCTTCCTCCTCCTCCCCGGAGCATCCCCGGAGCATCCCCCGAGCATCCTCCCCTCCCGGGGCGCCCCGGGCACGCTGGCTCTGGCAGGGTGGAGCCGGGAATGCAGAAAATCCCAGGAAATGGCAGGAAAGCCCCGAGGAGAAGCTCCACCAGCATTACCCGGGCAGGGCAGGGCTGGGCGCTGCCACCAGGTGCCACCAGCGGCTCTGCCACCCCTCCCCGCGCCCCCAGCGCCTTCTCCAGCCCCGATCCCGCCGGGATTCCCCTCCCCAGGGCAGCTCTGCTGGGGGAATCCAACGAAATTCCTGAAATTCCTGTCCCGGCTGCCCAGGGGGACGGAACAGCCTCGGGTTTGGGGGGAGACACGGATCCAGGCTCGTTCTGGGGGGAACAAACTGACCCAGCCTCATTTCTGGGGCGTGGTAGATGGATCCAGCCTCATTTCTTGGGGAATAAATGGATCCAGCCTCATTTATGGGGGGAATAAATGGATCCAGGCAGGCACAGCCTCATTTTTTGGGAAGAAACAGATCCAGCCAGGCACAACCCCGGGATTTTGGGAATGAAGGGAGCAGAGGCTCTGACCACTCTGTCCCTCTGTCCCCTCTGTCCCTCTGTCCCCTTGTGCCCTCCCCTGTGCCCCAGGGAGGGTTTGGGGTATCAGGGGGGATTCCTTTCTGTCCCAGGGGGATTTTCCCTGCCCCAGGGAGGGTTTGGGGTATCAGGGGGGATTCCTTTCTGTCCCAGGGGGATTTTCCCTGCCCCAGGGAGGGTTTCCAGCCCCTGCTGGCAGCTGAGCCCTTCCAGGCCCCATTCCTGCTTCCCACCAAAGCAGTGACAGCACTGGGGTCCCTGAGAAACCCCAAATCCCCCCCAGAACTGCTCCGGGTGAGCCCCAGGTGAAAACAAAACTCTGCAGGGTAACAGGACCCTGCCCGGGTCAGCACTTTCTGCTCCTAAATTAAGGCCCCAGCTGTCCCTGGTGCTTGGCCCCTTCTCCAGGGGCTCCAATCCCAAAAGCTCTGGGGTTTCCGGGCTCCAATCCCAAAAGCTCTGGGGTTTCTGGACTCGTCCCCTGCTGCTGAGGCCTTTTCCAGGGCAGAAGAGGAGCAGGGGGAGTCAATAATGCACAGAAAGCTTCAGTTCCTGGGGTGTGCACACAGCAGAGACAGCCCAGGGGGTTTGGGGTCCTCAAAGCCCCACTCAGCCCACAGGGTTTGGGGTTCAAGGGACCACAGGGATCCGTGGGGTCTGTGGGGCAGAGATCCCCCATCCCAAGGTGGATTTGGGATCTGAGCTGGGCCTCACCCCGCAGGGTTTGGGGTTCAAGGGACCACAGGGATCCGTGGGGTCTGTGGGGCAGAGATCCCCTTTCCCAAGGTGGATTTGGGATCTGTACTCAACCTGAACCCCTGCTCACCCCACAGGGTTTGGGGTGGAAAGGACCACAGGGATCCGTGGGGTCTGTGGGGCAGGGATCCCCTTTCCCAAGGTGGATTTGGGATCTGGGCTGGGCCTCAAATCCCTGCTCACCCCACAGGGTTTGGGGTCAGAGCCCCCTCAGGGCTCTCCCATTTCCAGCCCTTCCCCATCCTGGGGCTCCAGGACGGGAGGTGGCTCCAGGGGGGACACGGAGGGGACACGGGGGGGACACAGAGGGCACAGGGGGACATGGGGGGGACAGGGGGTGTCCCTGGGGGTGTCCCTGGGGGTGTCCCTGGGGGTGTCCCCGGGGGTGTCCCCGGTGCTGCCCACGGGCCCAGCTCTGCCCCGTGGGGAGGGGGAGGGGCTGGGGGATGTCCTCCCATCACCCGGTGCCGTTGCCATGGTGACGGCGCAGAGATGCCCGTTGCTACGGGCGACGGAGCCGCGTCGGGATCTGGCTGGGGCTGGAGGAGCCCAGGGCTGCGGGCGCTGATGTCACTCGGGCTCTGCTGAAAGGGCCGAGCCTGTCCTGCCTCCCCTCCTCCTCCTCCTCCTCCTCCTCCTCCTCCTCCTCCTCCTCCTCCTCCTCCTCCTCCCGCGGGGCCCTGCAGGCCGGGGGAAGGGGCTGGGGCTGCCCCCGGGGCCGGGAACACCCGCGGGGAGGACACAATGAGGGGGCTCCTTTGCCAGCCCCCAGCACAGCCGGGCTCCCTAAATCCACCCCAAATTCTGGAGATCCCGAAATCCACAGCCGGGATCCCTCAATCCATCCCCAGGGACCCCAAATCCATCCCCAGGGATCCTAAAATCCATCCCCAGGTATCCCTAAATCCATCCCCAGGGACCCCAAATCCACCCCCAGGGACCCTAAATCCCTCTTCAGTCCCAGCAGCAGGAGCCAGGAGAGCCGGGCAGGGGGAAGGGGCATCCAGTGCCAGGGCTGGGAGGAGCCGGCGGTGCCAGGGCCGGTGCCAGGGCACAGAACGTTCCCCAGGGACACAAAGGAGCGGCTGGCACGGAGCAGCCCCGGAACTGGCAGTGCCAGGGGGGAGGATGAGCCAGGACAGCTCCCGGGCCCTGCCCGGCCTCGCCCGAGCCCAGCTCCGGCTCCTTCCCCTTCCAGGGCTGGGGGTGCCCAGGGGGCTCCGAGCCCTCTGTCCGTCTGTCTGTCCCCTCTGTCCCTCTGTCCCCTCTGTCCCTATGTCCCTCTGTCCCTCTGTCCCGTATCCCTCTGTCCGTCTGTCCGTCTGTCCGTCCCTCTGTCCTTCTGTCCCTCCATCCCCTCTGTCCCTCTGTCCCACTCTGTCCCTCTGTCCCTCTGTCCCACTCTGTCCCTCTGTCCCACTCTGTCCCTCTGTCCCGTACCCCTCTGTCCCTCTGTCCCTCTGTCCGTCTCTCCCCTCTGTCCCATTCTGTCCCACTCTGTCCCCTCTGTGTCCCCTCTGTCCCTCTGTCCCTATGTCCCTCTGTCCCTCTGTCCCACTCTGTCCCTCTGTCCCTCTGTCCCACTCTGTCCCTCTGTCCCACTCTGTCCCTCTGTCCCTCTGCTCCCGGCTCAGCCACCCCAGGGCTGGGGCTCCCAAAGGGTCCCAGAATGGATTTGGGACCCCAAACCTGGCGCCTTCCACCCCCCCAGGGTGCAGCAAAGCCCCCGGGGCACTGCCAGGGGCAGGGCAGACGCAGCTTCCTTGGGGCATTCCTTGGGAATTCTTTGGGAATTCTTTGGGAATTCTGCCCCAAATGGAACCGTTCCTCCCCAAAATCCCATCCGGCAGCCCCAAAAAGGAAAAACCAGGAAAAAATCCCTGCTCTGTGAGGCCAGAGCGCCCTGGGGACACGGGGGCAGTGGCTGCCACCCTCCCTGCTCTCCTCTCCTCCCCGTGCCTCAGTTTCCCCGCCGTGCCAAGCCCTGGCCAGCATTCCCCAGCCGCAGCGGTGGGAAAAGGCGATTCCCCCCCGGTTCCCAGCAGGAGCAGCGATTCCATGCCCTGGATTGGTGTCGGGGAAGGAGGAGCCGCTGCTGACACAGCAGAGCAGCCCCGGGGCACAAAGGCGCCTTTGTGGCTCTGCCCCCCCGGCAGCCCCGGCTTTGTGCTCAGGGCAGGAAGGGGCAGAGCAGCCCCGGCTCCGCGTCCTCCGCTCCCACACGGGGCTGGGAAAGGAGCTCCTGGCAGGGCCGCAGGGGGGAAGGACGCCAGGAATCCCGGATTTCCAAATCCCAAATTTCCAGAATCCCGGATTTCCAGCATTCTGAATGTCCAGAATCCCAAATTTCCAACATCCCAAATTTCCAGAATCCTGAATTTCCAGAATCCTGAATTCCCAGAATCCCGAATTTCCAGAATCCTGAATTCCCAGAATCTTGAATTTCCAGAATCCCGATTTTCCAGAATCCCGAATTTCCAGAATCCTGGATTTCCAGAATCCCGGATTTCCAGCATCTGAATTTCCAGCATCCCAAATTTCCAGAATCCAAAATTTCCAGCATCTGAATTTCCAGCATTCTGAATTTCCATCATCCTGAATTTCCAGAATCCAAAATTTCCAGCATCTGAATTTCCAGAACCTTGAATTTCCAGAATCCTGGATTTCCAGAATCCTGAGTTTCCAGCATCTGAATTTCCAGAATTCTGAATTTCCAGAACCTTGAATTTCCAGAATCCTGAATTTCCAGAATCCTGGATTTCCAGCCTCCCAAATTTCCAGCTCTCACATCCCCCTGGGGCTGCTCTGGATTGCTCCCCTCCCCTGGGGACTTTTCCCGACATTTTTCCCTGCAGGGGACACTGGGATGTCCTGAAAACCTGGACACCAGCAGGTCAGGGTCGGGTTTGGAGTTAGTTCCAGGTTTAGGATTAGGGTTAGGGTTAGATTTAGGGTTAGGGTTGGGTTAGGGTTAGGATTAGGGTTCAGTTTAGGCTTAGGGTTATGATTAGGCTCGGGTTAGGGTTAGGATTGGTCATTTCAGCCTCCAAGGGAGGAAGGATGCCCCAAGAAGCCAAATGCTGAGCAGGGGAGCAGTTCCTGGGCTCAAACCTCTCCCTTTTCTCCCCTTGGACCATCCTGACCCAGCCCTGCCCTCCCCGGGGCTCTGAGACCCAAACCCGGCACCTTTTACAGGAATTCCAGTGTCCCCATCCCTGCCCTCTGCCATTCCAGCCAGGAAATTTTCCAATCTTTTTAAAATACAGCCCTGGAGCCTGAGCTGTGCCTCCCTGCTGCCAGGGAAAGCTGATGCCACCAGAGCCCTGCTCAGCATCTCATCAGCATCAGGCAGAGGCAGCTGGAACCCCCGGCCCCCCTGGCCCTTCTGCAGTTACAGACGTGACCCATTTCCCCAGGGAACGGCACCTCGGGGCTGCCAGGACCCACCAGGACCTGCCAGGGACTGCCAGGGGCTGCCAGGGGCTGCCAGGGGCTGCCAGGACCCACCAGGGGCTGCCAGGGGCTGCCAGGACCTGCCAGGACCCACCAGGGGCTGCCAGGACCCACCAGGGGCTGCCAGGACCCACCAGGGGCTGCCAGGGGCTGCCAGGGGCTGCCAGGGGCTGCCAGGACCTGCCAGGACCCACCAGGGGCTGCCAGGACCTGCCAGGGGCTGCCAGGACCTGCCAGGACCCGCCAGGACCTGCCAGGGGCTGCCAGGACCTGCCAGGACCCGCCAGGACCTGCCAGGACCCACCAGGGGCTGCCAGGACCTGCCAGGACCTGCCAGGGGCTGCCAGGACCTGCCAGGGGCTGCCAGGACCTGCCAGGACCTGCCAGGGGCTGCCAGGACCCACCAGGGGCTGCCAGGACCCACCAGGAGCTGCCAGGGGCTGCCAGGACCTGCCAGGACCCACCAGGGGCTGCCAGGACCCACCAGGGGCTGCCAGGACCCACCAGGGGCTGCCAGGGGCTGCCAGGGGCTGCCAGGGGCTGCCAGGACCTGCCAGGGGCTGCCAGGAGCTGCCAGGAGCTGCCAGGGGCTGCCAGGGGCTGCCAGGGGCTGCCAGGACCCACCAGGACCCACCAGGGGCTGCCAGGGGCTGCCAGGGGCTGCCAGGACCCGCCAGGGGCTGCCAGGAGCTGCCAGGACCTGCCAGGACCTGCCAGGACCTGCCAGGGGCTGCCAGGACCCAGCAGGACCCACCAGGGAAATCCAGCCTGGCACAAATTCCCAGCACTTTCCTCATCCGCAGCCCCTTGTTGAAGCTCTCACAGGGAATGAGGGGAAATCCAGTCTGGCACAAAGTCCCAGCAGATTCTTCACCCACAGCCCCTTCGATGCCTCATGGGCAGAGAGGGGATGGGGAGAATCCATCCTGGCACGAATTCCATCACAATCCTCACCCACAGCCCCTTCAACCCTTCAGAGCCAGACAGGGCACGAGGGAAATCCAGCCTGGCACGAATTCTGCTCCCAATCCTCACCCTCAGTCCCTTCCACACATCAGGGACTGACTGGGAATGGGGGAAATCCAGCCTGGCACAAACTCCCAGCACAAATTCTGCTCTCAATCCTCACCCCTGCCCTGCAGGGCTGGGCTGGAGCTCGCCCAAGGCCGGGAGCCCCCGGGACCCCTTTAGGGACACCCTGAGCCCCCAGCTCGGCCAGGGGAGGGCAGCCAGGCCCGGGGGGTGACAAAGAACTGTCCCCAAATGCCCCAAATGCCCCAAATGCCCCAAATGCCCCAAATCCCCGAGGGCTCTGCCCTGGAGGCCGCGGCAGAGCCGGCAGCACCTCCCGAGGAACCGGAGCACAGGGACAGAGGGGACAGAGCCACCAAGAGCCCCACAGGGGACCCTGCTCGGCCCGTCCTGAGCGGGGACAGACAGAGGGGACAGACAGACAGAGGGGACAGCGAGAGGGGACAGACAGAGGGGACAGACAGAGGGGACAGACAGACAGAGGGGACAGCGAGGGGACAGCGGGGGGACAGACAGAGGGGACAGCGAGAGGGGACAGACAGAGGGGACAGACAGAGGGGACAGACAGACAGAGGGGACAGCGAGGGGACAGCGGGGGGACAGACAGAGGGGACAGCGAGAGGGGACAGACAGAGGGGACAGACGGGGGACAGACAGAGGGGACAGACAGGGGGGACAGACAGAGGGGACAGACAGAGGGGACGGCGCTCCTGGGCCGGGCAGCGGCAGCGCTGCAGCAGCGAGCCGGGCACCGAGATCTGCTCCAAAACCCGCAGGAATGTGTCCCCTCTGTGTCCCCTCCGTGTCCCCTCCGTGTCCCCTCCGTGTCCCCTCCGTGCCCCTTCCGTGTCCCCTCTGTGTCCCCTTTTTTCCCCCCCGGGCAAGGGACGAGCCGGGAACGAGCGGGAAGGAAAAATCCGTGACCTTCTGGGGATGCGGGGATGGAAACGGCAGCGGGGGAGGAGCAGGGAGGGCTCAAATCCTTCGGGATGCAGCCCCGGGAAAGGCACAAAACCCAGGAATAACCGGGGAGAAAAAACCTCAGCCTTGTGGGGATGGAAATGTGGGGGGAATAAGGGGGAAGAGGAGCAGGGGGGACTCTGCTCCGGGATGCTCAAACCCTGCAGGATGCAGCTCCGGGAAAGGCATGGAAGCACGGAAAAAACCGGGAATAACCGGGAGGAAAAACGCCTCAGCCTTGTGGGGGCAGGGATGGAAACGCGGAGGGGAAAATGGAGCGGGGGGGGACACGGGGATGCTCAAATCCTGCAGGATGCAGCCCCGGGAAAGGCAGAAAAAACCGGGAATAACCGGGAAGAAATGGCCTCGGCCTGGAGGGGCTGGGGATGGATGCGGGGGATGCGGAGGGGGCGCAGGGGGGGCTCTCCCTGCCCCATCCCCGGGGCTGCGGCGCCGGAGGAAGGCGCGGAACAACCTGGGAATAACCTGGAAGAGAACGCGCTCAGCCCCGCGGGGCTCTCCCGCCACCTCGGGATGCTCCGCGCTCGGGGATGCGGCCCCCGGGGCGCGTCCCTGGCCCCACCAACGCATCCCCGAATCCCGCAGGGGGTGCGGGCGCTGCCCCCCGCGTTTCCCCCGCTCCCAGCCCCGATCCCCGCTCCCAGCCCCGTTTCCATCGCTCCCAGCCCCGTTCCCCCGCTCCCAGCCCCGATCCCCCGCTCCCAGCCCCGTTCCCCGCTCCCGGAGCCCGGCACTGACCCGAAAGAGGCGGCGGGAGCAGGCGCGGCGCAGCGCGGTCCAGCCCAGCGCGCAGATCCCGCACAGCAGCACCTCCGCCCAGCCCAGGTGCGCGTTCTCGGCCCAGGTGCGCAGCGCCAGCTCCCAGCCGCAGTCGCCGCAGCCCCGCGCCGCCGCCGCCAGGCTGCCGTAGCCCCGGCGGAGCAGCTCCCCGTAGCCGGGCATGGGCTCCGGAGGCGGCATCGCGGAGCTGGCACGGCCGCGGCCCCGCGCAGGCTCCGGCGGGGCGGGCACCGCGCTCCCCCCGCGCCGGTACCGGGCGGGAGCCGCCCCCTGGCACGGCCCGGCCCGGCCCGGCCCACCCGGGCACAGCAGAGGGAGGAACGCGGGGGGAGCGCGCTGGGGGCGCCGCGGGACCGGGAGGGGAGAGTGGAGGAAAAGCGAAATTCGGTACCGGGGGTGATGGGAACGGGGGAAGCGCTGGGAGGGGCACGGGGATGGCACGGCACGGAATGGAATGGCACGGAATGGCACGGGGATGGCACGGAGATGGCACAGACACGGCACGGCACGGAATGGCACGGGAATGGCACGGGGATGGCACGGGGATGGCATAGAAACGGCACGGAATGGAATGGCACGGGGATGGCACAGAAATGGCACGGAATGGCACGGGGATGGCACAGAAACGGCTTGACACGGCACGGCATGGCATGGCCAGCACGGGGATGACAGAGATGGCACGGCATAGCACGGAATGGCACAGAATGGCACGGGGATGGCACAGAGATGGCACAGAAATGGCACGGAGATGGCACAGAAATGGCATGGGGATGGCACGGCACGGAGCTGCCACTGCAGGGAGTCAGGGGACACTTTGGGGTCTCGGGCGCCAATCTGGGGGTCTCAGGTGCCAATTGAGGGGATCCAAGTGAGAATTTGGGGGGTTCGAGTGTGAATTTTGGGCGGTTCAAGCGTGAATTTGGGGGTTTTAAATGTGAATTTTGGGGGTTTTAAATGTGGATTTTGGGGGTTCAGGTGCACCCAGCCCCGTGTGAAGGATCCCTGCCGGAGCCTTCCTCCTGCAGCGCTGTTGCATTGGATGTACAAAGAAAATAAATTCATTTCTCCAGGGATTTTTTATCTTCCCTCGGCACAAACCTCAGAGGAAACCTCGGAGCCTTTCCCTCCTCACCCTCCAGGTGTGCCCCGAATTTCCCCTCAGCCGTTTGGGGCCCCTGCTGCAGTTCAAGGGTCTGGAATAATAAAATCCACCCTGAAAACGGGTCTGGAATAATAAAAGTCACCTTAAAGATGGGCCTGGAATAATGAAATTCGCCTTGAAGATGAATGATAAAATTCACCTTAAAAGTGGATCTGGAATCATAAAATTCACCCTAAAGATGGGCCTGGAATCGTAACATTCAGCTTAAAAATCAAACTTCCTCTCAAAGGTCACCCCTGATGAAAGGACCTCACTGAACTCCATCATCATCATCATCATCATCATCATCATCATCATCATCATCACCACAGGCACCCCCGGAGCTGCCAGGGAAAGGAAGGACGATATCAATATGAAATAAAATGATAAAAATCTGAAATAAAAATGATATAAATATAAAATAAAAATTCTATTAAATAAAAACGACACAAATAGAAAACAAAAATGATGCAAATCTAAAATAAAACTGCACCGATGTAAAATAAAAATTATGCAAATCTCAAACCAAACAATGTCCTCGGTGTCCCCGGGGGTGCTGCAGGAATTTCTGAGCACACTGGGCCCTTTCAGAGCGGCACAAAGGGACATTGAGGGGACATTGAGGGGACATTGAGGGGACATTGAGGGGACACTGCAGGGACACCGCAGCCCGGGCACAAAGGGACCTTTCAGAGCCACCAAAATCCCAAAACCCGGGGGGAAATTCCCGTGGGGAGGGGGCAGAAATCCCAAAAACCCAGGGTGGGCCCAGCAGGGATTGGGGGAAATTCCCATGGGGATCCCGGCTACAATAATTCCCAAAAATCCAGGATCTGGCAGGGGTTCCATGGGGAAGGCGCCAGAATTCCCAAAAATCCAGGATGTGGCAGGGGTTCCATGGGGAAGGGGCCAGAATTCCCAAAAACCCAGGGTGGGCCCAGCAGGGATTGGGGAAACTCGCAGGGAGATTTCTGTTCAAATATATCCTAAAAACTCCAGGTTGGATCTGGCTGGGATTTTGGGAAATTCCATGGGGATTTCTGTTAAAATAATTCCTAAAAATTCTTGTTTGGATCTGGCTGGGATTGGGGAAATTCCATGGGGATTTCTGCCACAATAATTCCTAAAAACCCAGGTTGGGCCCAGCAGGGGTTGGTGACAAGGACGCGGCAGGAGGGACACCAGACTCAGCCTCAGCCTATTACAGAAGGATTACTTTTATTTTTATTTATTTCTCTTTTTATTCTTTTCATTTCTTTATTATTTTTGGGGGTTTTCATCCCCAAGGAATTGTCAGAAGGGCTGGAGGTGATGCAGAACTTCAGGAATAAATTCCATTTCTTGGGCACGGCTCAGCTGCTCTGGGATCTCCCTGGAGCTGAGCTCAGGGCTCAGCTGGGGCCTGAACCCCAGAATTTAACCCCAAATTTGGGGGGTCCCACAGAGGGGATTCCTGGGTTCCAGAGGGGATTCCTGGGTTCCAGAGGGGATTTTTTGGGTCCCAGAGGGGATTTTCTGTGTTCCAGGGGGATTTTCTGGGCCCCAGGCTCAGGCACTGGGTGCGTACTGCAGGGCCAGGCGGTCAAAGTCGTTCTCCTGCAACCACAGCCAAAAATAAATGGATTAAATTAATCCTTAATTAATCATTAATTAATTAATTATTACCAATCCATCCCCCTCCAATTTGCATTTATTACCTCTCCTCTGGCTGAACCCACCACAACCAGGTCCCTAAAACTAAATTAATTCCAATTTATTTCATTCCCATTGACTCTAAATGAACAGCAAACCCCATTTATTCCTTTTTTTGTCATTTGCTGCTTTTCCCTCTCCCTCTCCCAGTTTTTTCCTGTTTTGAGCACAAATTTCCACCTGGATTAAAAATCTGCATCTCAGGGCTTTTGCTCCAACTTTGGGACTCCCAAAATGAAAAAACTGAAGGAGATGGAGCTGCCCCCTTGGGATTCATTTCCCCTGGATCCATCAGAACGGGGAAAATTCAGTTTATTTGATTTGTTTCTATTGTTATCTCTCCTTTCTGCCATTGCCTACCTTGGCCTGGTACTCCTGGATGAAGGGATGGTTCTTGTGAGCATCCTTCAGCTGGGACAGGTAACGATTGGTGACCTGGAGGGACGAGAAAATTCAATTTTGGGATGGCAGAGTGGAACAAATCCCACCCAAATGTGGGGGTTTTACACCTGAGAAAATCCAGATTTTCTCACTGTCCCAGTTCGAACCAGTAGGACCCATGCACACACTTGAAATAAAAAACAAAACACCTCAAAATCAACTTTCTGTGGTGGTTCCAGTTAAAAAAATTAAAAACTGGGAAGAGCTGAACTTCCAACTCCAAATGCTTTTTCTGCCCAGGTTTTTTCTCAATAATGAGGAAATTCTGGAATTCTGCAGTGGTTTGGGCTGGAAGGGACCTCAAGGATCATCAAATTCCATGGGAAAAGCCAAATCCCCAAATGCCCCAAATCCCAAATGGTGCCCTGGGGCTCTGAGCTGCCCGTGCCCAAAATGAGCCCAAAATGAGCCCTTTTAATGCCCCAAATGAGCCCATTTCCCCCCACAGGACCCCATTTCCCCCCAAATGAGCCCATTTCCCCCATGTCTCACCTCGGGGGCCTTGCCCAGGTGCTGGGACAGCACCACCAGGTTCAGCAGGGTCTCAGGGTGCCCACTGTCCTGGAAAATGGGATTATCACAGGAAAAGGGGCTGGGGGGCCCAGACAGGGATTTGGGAACTCTGGGATGGGATTCCCAGAGAAATCCCTGGCTGCCCCTTGGCTGGGAGCCACCTGGGATTGTGCAGGTGGAACGGAACGGAAATAAAATGAAATAAAATGAAATGAAATGAAATAAAATGAAATGAAATGAAATAAAATAAAATAAAATAAAATAAAACATAACATTGAATAAATTAAATACAATACTATAAGTAAAATACAAAATAAAATACTAAAATAAAATAAAAATAAATAGAATAGAATAGCCAATAAAATTTAACAAAATGAAATACAATACAATAAATAAAATATAAAATAAAATATAAAATAAAATACTAAAATAAAATAAAATAAACCAAACCAAACCACTGTGCAAGGCCTAGCCCAGCGAGGGGGATCCATAAATTCCATAAATTGCCATTGCTGTGGATGTGAGCAGGAAAACTCCTGGGAATTCGGGGCTGTCCCTTGTCCGTGTGGGAATTTGGGGTGCACTTTGGGCTGTCCCTGTGGCATTGGGGCTGTCCCCTGTCCCTGAGGGAACTCTTTGGGGCTGTCCCCTGTCCCTGTGGGGCTGTCCCCTGTCCCTGAGGGAACTCTTTGGGGCTGTCCCTTGTCCATTAGGGACCCTCTGGTCTGTCCCCCATCCCTGAGGGATTTCCCTGGGGCTGTCCCCTGTCCATTTGGGGACTCTTTTCACTGTCCCCTGTCCCTGTGGGGCTGTCCCTTGTCCATTTCGGGACTCTTTGTGCTGTCCCCCATCCCTGAGGGAACTCTTTGAGTCTGTCCCTTTTCCATCAGGGATTTTCCTGTCCCTGAGGGATTTCCCTGGGTCTGTCCCTGTCCCTGAGGGATTTCCCTGGGTCTGTCCCCATCCCTGAGGGATTTCCCTGGGTCTGTCCCCATCCCTGAGGGATTTCCCTGGGTCTGTCCCCGTCCCTGAGGGATTTCCCTGGATCTGTCCCCGTCCCTGAGGGATTCCCCCGGGTCTCTCCCCATCCCTGGGGGATTCCCTGTACCTTGTCCATCAGGGATTTCCCTGGGTCTCTCCCCATCCCTGAGGGATTTCCCCGGGTCTCTCCCCATCCCTGAGGGATTTCCCTGGCTCTCTCCCCTGTCCCTGAGGGATTTCCCTGGGTCTGTCCCCATCCCTGGGTCTGTCCCTGTCCCTGAGGGATTTCCCTGGGTCTGTCCCTGTCCCTGAGGGATTTCCCTGGCTCTCTCCCCTGTCCCTGAGGGATTTCCCCGGGTCTCTCCCCATCCCTGAGGGATCCCCTGTACCTTGTCCAGAGCCTCCTGGAGCAGCCCCTCGGCCTCGTCCCAGCGGCCCTGGGCCATGGCGGCGGCCGCCTGCCCGTTGAGCAGCAGCAGCGAGGGGCTGGACCTGTCTGCCAGCTCCTGGAAGGTGTAGAAGGCGTCCTGCAGCTTCTCCCCGCCCTGCAGGGACACACACACACACACACAGGGTCAGCCCTGGGCTGGGGAGCCCTCAGTGGCACCTCTGGGGTCACCTCTGGGCTCCCATTGACACCTCTGGGGTCACCCCTGGGCTGGGGAGCCCTCAGTGGCACCTCTGGGGTCACCTTTGGGGTCACCCCTGGGCTGGGGAACCCTGATTTACATCTTTAGGGTGATGGCAATTCCTGATTTCCATCTTTGGGGTCACCCCTGGGCTGGGAATTCCTGATCTCCATCCCTGGGGTGATGGCAATTCCTGATCTCCATCCTTGGGGTGATGGCAATTCCTGATCTCCATCCCTGGGGTGATGGCAATTCCTGATCTCCATCCCTGGGGTCACTCCTGATTCAGAGCTGATTCCATGGAGCCCAGGCTCTGTGACCCCGGATTTCAGGAGCTGGAGGAGTTGATTCCCATCCCTCCTGCACCCCAAACTCGGCGGTTTTGCCTCATTCCCAAACCTCTTTAAGGACATTTTGTGTCCTGGAGTCTGGGTGGGGCAGCAGAGCAGCTCCCTGGGCTGTTTGGGGATTTTTTTGGGGTTTTTTGGGGTTGTTTTGGGGCCATCTGGCTCCTCCTGGGAGGAGGGGGCACCCACCAGGGCCAGGTTGACCCAGGCTGTGGCCAGCTGGGTCAGGGTGGCATCCTCATCCTGCTCCTGCATCTTCTTCAGCTCCTTCCTGCAGGAAAAGGGGCAATCACAGAGGAAAAGGGATTTCAGCACAAAACCAAACTAACTGGGGGTTGAGTTTCCTGGGGTTCATTTCACCAGGAGAGGCCTGGTCTGATCCCTGGAAATGGGAATGGAGAAGAACGAGAAGGGAAAAAGGGAAAAGGGAAAGGAGAAAGGGGAAAGGGGAAAGGGGAAAGGGAAGAGGAAAATGGAAAAGGAAAAAGGAGAAAGGAAAAGGGAAGGGCCAATCCCACCTGGCCAGGTCGAGCCTGTCGAGCTTCAGCAGGATCTGCACCATCATGGCCAAGCTGCAGGGACAGGAGCACAGGGACTGACCCCGCTGGACTCACACCCCAAACCCCACCTGGGAGGGTCCTGAGGGGCCCTCCTGACCCCAAACCCCACCTGGGGCCCTCCTGAGGGGCCCTCCTGACCCAAACTCTGAGCTTGTGACCCCATTTTTGGGATCTCCTGACCATTCCAGGCTGTCCCCCTGGGTTTTTGGGGAGGATCTGACCCCGTTTTTGGGATCTCCTGACCATTCCAGGCTGTCCCCCTGGTGCAGGGCCCTCAGGGCAGCGTCGGGGTCCTGCTGGTGGCAGTAGATGGACGCTGCCATCAGCAGGAAGGTGCTGTTGGCCACATCCACGCTCTTGGCCATCTTCTTGTCCAGCTCTGCCACGATGGAGTCCCTGTGGGGGGGGACAAGGGGAAATGGGGTGGGTTTGGGGGGAAATGGGGAGAAAAAATGGGGGAAAATGGGGGGGGGGGGAAATGGGATAAAATGAGGGAGAAAATGGGGAAGAATGGGGGAGAAAAAGGGGAGAAAATGGTGGTGGGGGGGATGGGATAAAATGGGGAAGAAAATGGGGGAAAATTGGGGGAAAGGGGGGAGAAAAATGGGAGAAAAGAGGGGAGAAAAGAGGAGAAAAGAAGAGAAGCTGTGGCTGCTCCATCCCTGGACTGTCCCAGGCCAGGCTGGAGCACCCTGGAAGGGATCCCTGGATATTAAACCCAAACCCCCACCCCACAAGCTCCCAGTTCTGTAGGAATTGTGCCTTTTCCAGCTTTGCTGCCACCCCACAGAGCCCCAGAGCCCAGGAAGGGCTGGGCCCCCCTCACCTCTGGCTCTGGCTGTCGCTGGCCAGGAACTGAGCGAACATCCTGACAGACTGCAGCTCGGGGCTGGAGCTGCCCTGCAGCTCGTCCAGAACCACCCCAAACTTCCTCTGAAAAACACGGACACGGCAGGGAGGGGAGGAAAGGAAAAAATGAGAGAAAGGAAAAAAGGAAAGAAAGCAAAGGAAGGAGAGAAAGCAAAGGAAGGAGAGAAAGCAAAGGAAGGAGAGAGAGGAAAGGAAGGAAAGAATGGGGGAAAAGGAAAGAAAAGGAAAACAGGGAAAGAAAGGGAGAGCAGAAAAAGAAGAAAAAGAAGGAAGGGCAGGAAAATAAAAAAAAAAAAGCAGGAAAGGCAGGAAGAGAAGGAAAAGGACAATCAAAAAAAGCAGGAAGGGCAGGAAGAAAGGGAGAGAAGGGAGAGAAGGGAGGTTGAGGTTTGAGCAGAACTCTCAAGGATCTGCAGGGACAGGACCCAGGGAAGGGATTTGGGAATCCCAGGGCCCAGGGAATGGATTTGGGATTTGGGAATTCCAGGGCTTTGCCCCTCCCCAGGCTCACCTGGGCGATGTAGGATCGGAACAGGAACACGTCCCGCTCGACCTCCTGCTGGGGGCTGCTGGGCTGGGGAGGGGGAAACAGGGAATCCTCAGGGACCCCAAAACAGCCCCACAAAACAGCCCCACACAAACGCACCCCACAGAACCAGCCCCACACAAACCCCCCCCCACAAAACAGCCCCACACACCCACCCCACACAAACCCCCCGCAGCCCAGCCCCTCCCGAACCCTCCCGGGCCCGCCCAGCCCCGGGAGGCGCGGCGGGCCCGGACCTTGGCGCGCTGGGCCTCGTTGATGGCGGCCTGGAAGGCTCCGATGTAGAAGTTGTTGCGGAGGTCGAAGAGCTCGTCCGCCTCCCCGGCCGGGGCCGCGCCCGCCCCTGCCGCCATCGCCGCAGACACGAACCCGGAAGCGCCCGCGCCGCGCGGGCTGCCGGGAGCCGCCGTCTCCATGGGAACCGCCAATAGCAACGCGAGTAAAAGGATACGTCAGCAAAAAGCGATGTGTGGGCGGGGTCAGGGCGAGAGGGCCAATGAGCAGCGCGCGAGGCTGTGACGCAATCGGGGCGGGGTTAGAGCGAGCTGTCCAATGAGCGGCGAACGCGGTGGTGACGCCATCAGGACGCGCGGCGCAGCTTGCGGGCGGGGTCAGCTCGAGCCGGCCAATGAGCGGCGCGCGCGGCGGTGACGCCATCAGGACGCGCGGAGGCGGCGGAGCGCGGCCATGGCGGAGTTCCGTGCGCTCGGGCTGGCGCCGTGGCTGGTGGAGCAGGCCCGGCAGGTGGGGCTGCTCCGGCCCACGCCCGTGCAGGCCGCCTGCATCCCGCCCGTGCTGCAGGGTGAGCGCCCGGCCCCGGGGCGGCCATGGGCGAGCCCCGGTCCTTCCCCGGGACCGGCCCCTCATGGTCCCCATCCCTCCTTCGGGCCGTTCTCCCCCCGTGCCCCTTTCCCCGGTCCTGGTCCGGCCATTCCCCTCCCAGTTCTCGGTCCCGTTCCCGGTTTCGTTCCGCATTCCCATTTCCCGTTCCCCGATCCTGTTCCCGTCCCCGTTTCCCATTCCCGTTCCCTGTTCCCGGTCCCGTTTCCCTTTCCCTATTCCCAGTCCCGTTTCTCATTCCCCATTCCCGTTCCCATTTCCCGTTCCCCGTTCCCGTTCCGCTGACGCCCCCGTTCCCCGCAGGCCGGGACTGCCTGGGCTGTGCCCAGACGGGCAGCGGGAAGACGGCGGCGTTCGTGCTGCCGGTGCTGCACGTGCTGGCCCAGGACCCCTACGGCATCTTCTGCCTCGTGCTCACCCCCACCCGGTACCGGCCCCGCGGGGCAACGGGAGAGCGGCGGGGAGACTCGGGGAGAGCCCTGGGGAACCCCGGGGACCCCCCCGTGCGGGCTGACCCCCGCGGTTCCCCCCTCCCCCGCAGGGAGCTGGCGTACCAGATCGCAGAGCAGTTCCGGGTGCTGGGCAAACCCCTGGGCCTCAAGGACTGCGTGGTGGTGGGGGGGCTCGGTGAGTGAGCCTGGGGGCCTTGGGGGGTCTGGGGGGGCACTGGGGGGGCTCGGTGAGTGAGGCTGGAGGGGATTTGGGGGGACACTGGGGGGCTTGTGGGGGGTCTGGGGGGTCCTGCCCCGTTCCCAGTGCTCCCAGTGTTCTCAGCCCATTCCCAGTGTTCCCAGGATTCTCAGTCTCTCCCCGTCATTCCCAGCCCATTCCCAGTCTGTCTGTGTGTCTGTCTGTCTGTCTGTCCCAGCCATGGTGTCGCAGGCCCTGGCTCACATTCCCAGTCTGTCTGTGTGTCTGTCTGTCCGTCTGTCCCAGACATGGTGTCGCAGGCCCTGACCCCAGTCTGTCTGTGTGTCCGTCTGTCCCAGCCATGGTGTCGCAGGCCCTGACCCCAGTCTGTCTGTGTGTCTGTCTGTCCGTCTGTCCCAGACATGGTGTCGCAGGCCCTGGCTCACATTCCCAGCCTGTCTGTGTGTCTGTCTGTCCGTCTGTCCCAGACATGGTGTCGCAGGCCCTGGCCCTGTCTCGCAGGCCCCACGTGGTGGTGGCCACCCCCGGCCGTCTCGCTGATCACCTGCGCAGCTCCAGCACCTTCAGCCTCAGCAAGGTCCAGTTCCTGGTGAGCCCCAAACCCGGCCCAGGGATCCTGGGGGGTCCCTCCATCCCTGGGGGGGTTCCTGGGAATCCTGGGGGCTTTCCTGTGTCCTTGGGAGCATTTCCAGGAATCCCCCTGGGTTTCCTCCATCCCTGGGGATTCCTCAGACTCCCTTCAGGTTCCTTGGTGGGTTCCCTGCATACCCTGGGGGTTCCCTGGTGGCTCCCAGGGTTTCCCTGGTGGCTCCCAGGGTTTCCCTGGTGGCTCCCTGGGTTTCCCTGGTGGATTCCCTGGTGGATCCTGGGCTCCCTGGGTTTCCCTGGTGGCTCCCAGGGTTTCCCTGGTGGATTCCCTGGTGGATCCTGGGTTTCCCTGGTGGCTCCCAGGGTTTCCCTTGTGGCTCCCTGGGTTTCCCAGCCTCTGTGGCCCCGTGCCCAGGTTCTGGACGAGGCTGACCGCCTGCTGGAGCAGGGCAGCGCCGATTTCAGCGCGGACCTGGAGCTGATCCTGGGGGCTGTGCCCGCCCGCCGGCAGACGCTGCTGTTCAGTGCCACCCTGACCAGCACCCTGTGCCAGCTGCGGGCCCTGGCTGCCAACAGCCCCTTCTGCTGGGAGGCCACGGCCCCGTGAGTGCCCGGGATCCCCCATCCTCCCTGGGCTTGGCTCCTTCTGCCGCCCTTTCCTGTGCTGGCGCTGCTGGGGCCCTGCCGGGGCTTTGGGGGTGTCGGGAGAAGGACATGGAGGGGCTGGGAAATTCCTGGGAAGGGGCTGGAGAATTCCTGAGGGAGCTGGGAAGGGGCTGGAGAACTCCTGAGGGAGATGAGAAAGGGACTGGAGAACTCTTGTGGGAGTTGGGAATTCCTGAGGGAGCTGGGAAAGGGCTGGAGAACTCCTGAGTGAGGTGAGAAAGGGACTGGAGAACTCTTGTGGGAGTTGGGAATTCCTGAGGGAGCTGGGAAAGGAAAATTCCTGGGGAGGAGCTGGAGAGTTCCCGAGGGGGCTGGGAAGGGCCCAGCCTGGAGCAAAGCAGGACCAGATCAGCAGGATCAGATTCCCAATCCCCACATGTCCCCAGCAGGAGGGGACAGCCAGGAGGGCCCCAGGGGACACCAGGACAGGAGGGAGCAGCCCCAGGTGGGACCTCAGCAGGAATTTCCTCATGGAAAGGGAGCAGGGCAGGGCTGGGCCGGTGTGGGACAGGCTGGGGGATCCTGCAGGGCTTTTGCAGCCTCAGGAATCCTGGGGGTCCCTGTCCCTGCAGGGTGAGGACGGTGGAGGGGCTGGAGCAGAGGTACCTGCTGGTGCCTGAGGCCCTCAAGGACGCCTACCTGGTGCACCTGGTGCAGAGCTTCCAGGACCAGCACGAGGACTGGGCCATCATCATCTTCACCAAGACCTGCAAGTGAGAGCCCTGCTCCCTTTCCTGATACTTTTCGTCCCTCTTTTCCTGCTCCTCTTTTCCTGCTCCTCTTTTCCTGCTCCCTTTTCCTGCTCCCTTTTCCTGCTCCTTTACCTCCCTCTTTTCCTCATTTCCTCCTCCTTTTCCTCCTCCTTTTCCTCCTCCTTTTCCTCCTCCTTTTTCCTCCTCCTTTTCCTCCTCCTTTTCCGCCTCCTTTTCCGCCTCCTTTTCCGCCTCCTTTTCCACCTCCTTTTCCGCCTCATTTCCTCCTCCCTTTTCCTCCTCCCTGGCACTCAGCCCTGGCACAGTTTTCCCACCTCAGGAATTGTCCCAGGCTGTTCTGGAGCACTCTGGGACAGTGGGAGGTGTCATAAAAGAGGGGAACAATGAGGGTTTTGGGAATTGCACCCAGAAGTGTGAAGTGTCCCTGGAACTGGGTTGTCCCAGGCCATGGTGGGCAGTCCCTGCCTGGCCCAGCTCTGTCCTGGTGCATCCTGAGCATTCTCCCGGTTTTCCCTCCCCTGCTTCAGGGACTGCCAGGTGCTGAACATGATGCTGAGGAAGTTCAGCTTCCCCTCTGTGGCTCTGCACTCCATGATGAAGCAGGTGAGGCCTGCAGGCCCTGCCAGGGGCTGCTCCCACCTGGAATTTCCTCTCAGCCCTCACCTGGAATCTTCCCCTCCCAGAAACAGAGATTTGCAGCTCTGGCCAAGTTCAAGTCCAGCATCTTCAAGATCCTCATTGCCACAGATGTGGCTGCCAGGTAAAACCAGAGCTCTCCCACCTGGGTTTGTCCACCAGAACCAGCTTAGGCTGAGTTTAGCCAGGCCAGACCCTCAAATGCCCCAGCTCTGGGTGGGACAGGCTCTTCCAGCCTGACTGAGCTGGGCTTTGGAGCCTGGGGGTGCTGAGGGTGCCTGGAGCAGCTCCAAGGGGACTGGGAATTGCTGAGCCCTGAGGGAGAATTGGGGAATTGTTGAGTTGGGAATTGCTGAGCCCTGAGGGAGAATTGGGGAATTGTTGAGTTGGGAATTGATGAGCCCTGAGGGAGAATTGGGGAATTGTTGAGTTGGGAATTGATGAGCCCTGAGGGAAGGAGTTGGGGAATTGTTGAGTTGGGAATTGCTGAGCCCTGAGGGAAGGAGTTGGGGAATTGTTATGAGGAAGGAATTTCTCCTCCAATCAGCCAGTCAAGGCTTTTTCCATGGGAATCTGGGGTGTTTGGATTGAACAGATCCTGGCACTGGCAGAGCTCCTGCCCAAGGCCAGGCAGGCACTCAGGGTGTGCTGAGGTCCCTCCCAGCCCAGGCCCTGCTCCCTCTGACAGTGCTGTGCTCTTTAAGCTCTTTGCCCACCCCTGGCTGTGTTTCCCCCTGACCTGCAGAGGCTTGGACATCCCAGCAGTGCAGGTGGTGATCAACCACAACACCCCAGGGCTGCCCAAGATCTACATCCACCGCGTGGGACGGACGGCACGGGCAGGTCCGGGGACACCGTGGGGACACGGCCACCATGGGGGGACACAGAACCCAGGGAGGGGACACAGAACCCAGGGAGGGACACAGAACCCAGGGAGGGGACACAGAACCCAGGGGGGGACACAGAACCCAGGGAGGGGACACCATGGGGGGACACAGAACCCAGGGAGGGGACACCATGGGGGGACACAGCCCCAGCCACCATGGGGGGACACAGGAGCAGCCCCACAGCACCCCCAGCACCGTGTGCAACACCTGGGAGGAAAGGAACAATCAGGAGAATGCCCAGGATGCTCCAGGGAATGGAGCAGGACAGAGCTGGGACTGTCCAGGGTGCTCCAGCCTGGCCTGGGCAGCTCCTGGGACACCTCCCATTCTCCCATTTCTGTCTTTAATTCCCCAAATCCTCATTTTCCCCTCCTTTAAGGCACCGCTGGGATCCTGCCCTGGGTCTCTCAGGGGGATCATTAATCCCTGCTGGTTTTAACGGGATCCTGAATGGGATTGCAGAGCTCAAGGAGCCCTCCCAGCCTGGCCCCTGGGGATGGAGGGGCTGGGGTGCCTGGGGTCCATCCCTCTGTGCCTGCCCCATCCCTGCTTTCAACCCTTCCAGGGAGGAAGGGCATGGCCATCACCCTGGTGACACAGTATGACATCCACCTGGTGCACGCCATCGAGGAGGAGATCAGTGAGTGCAGCTGGGGGCTGGGCCCTCCCCTCCCCTCCCCTCCCCTCCCCTCCCCTCCCCTCCCCTCCCCAGCTCCAGCCCTGGCTGCCTCAGGGCCCCTGCTCCTGTCCCTGCTGCTTTTGCTGGAGCAGAATTTCTGTGGAGCTGCTCTTGATGAAAGCAGCAGCTGCTTCAAAAACAGGGTTTGTCACCTCTGGGGTTTGTCACCCTCTGGGTTTGTCACCCTCTGGGTTTGTCAGCTCTGGGTTTGTCAGCTCTGGGGTTTGGGGATTTGTCACCTCTGGATTTGTCACCTCTGGGGTTTGGGGATTTGTCACCTCTGGGTTTGTCACCTCTGGGTTTGTCACCCTCTGTGTGTCCCAGAGCTGCAGCAGTTCTCTGTGAGGTTTGTCACCTCTGGGTTTGTCACCTCTGGGGATTGTCAGCTCTGGGGTTTGGGGGTTTGTCACCCTCTGGATTTGTCACCTCTGGGGTTTGTCACCTTTGGGATTTGTCACCTCTGGGGTTTGTCACCTCTGGATTTGTCACCTTTGGGATTTGTCACCTTTGGGGTTTGTCGCCTCTGGGGTTTGTCACCTCTGGGGATTGTCACCTTTGGGGTTTGTCACCTCTGGGGATTGTCACCTCTGGGTTTGTCACCCTCTGTGTGTCCCAGAGCTGCAGCAGTTCTCTGTGGGGTTTGTCACCTCTGGGGATTGTCAGCTCTGGGGTTTGGGGGTTTGTCACCTCTGGGTTTGTCACCTCTGGGTTTGTCACCTCTGGATTTGTCACCCTGTGTGTCTCCCCAGAGCTGCAGCTGCCGGAGTTCTCAGTGCAGGAGCAGCTGGTGCTGGACATCCTGACCCAAGTGAACGTCACCAGGCGGGAGTGTGAGATCGTGAGTGGCCCTGGGGAGCCTGGCCTGGGGCCTCTCCCCGTGGTTTTGGGGTTTTTTTCACAGCTTTTCAGGGGTTTTGCTGCTCAGGGCTGAGGTTTGTGGCTCTGCTGCTCTTCCCTTGGCCAGGAGCTGGAGGGGATGGACTTTGATGAGAAGAAGGAAATCAATAAAAGGAAACAGATGATCCTGGAGGGGAAGGTGAGAGCTGCTGCTTGATGAGCTGGGGAATGTGGGAAAGGGAAAGGGAACGGGAAAGGGAAAGGGAAGCACAGCCCCTCCTTCCCTTTTCCCTTCCTTTCCTTTCTGGGTGGGGAAGGTTTATTTAAAATCATCTTAAAAGAAATCTTAAATATTATAGGGTTTAAAAAGATTAAATGCTATGCTGTTAAAAATATGAAATATTAAATATATTAGATGTTATGAGGTTAAATAGATTCAATATTAGGATGTTAAAAATGCTCTGGAGAAAATGGAGAAGGGGCTGAATTTTGGGGCCTCCTCAGTCCCAGTGGGGGCACCTTGGAAAGGGCAAAGGATTGTCCTGGGCGTGTCCCCAATGTCCTGGGTGTATCCTGGGTGTGTCCCCAATGTCCTGGGAGTGTCCTGGGTGTGTCCCCAATGTCCTGAGCCTGTTCCCAACATCCTGGGCCTGGCCCAGTGTCCCCAGTGTCCTGTCCCAATCCCCGATGTCCCCATGCCCAGTGTCGGTGTCCCCAGTGTACCGGCTGTGTCCCGGCTGTGTCCCCGCTGTCCCTGGTGTCCCCATTCCCGGCTGTGTCCTGGCTGTGTCCTGGGTGTGTCCCCAGTGTCCCCATCGCCGCTGTGTCCCCGCTGTCCCAGGTGTGTCCTGGCTGTGTCCCCATTCCCGGGTGTTTCCCCGCTGTCCCGGCTGTGTCCCGGCTGTGTCCCCGATGTCCCCGGTGTCCCCATCGCCGCTGTGTCCCCGCTGTCCCGGCTGTGTCCCTGCTGTCCCCGCTGTCCCGGGTGTGTCCCCGGTGTCCCCGGTGTCCCCATCGCCGCTGTGTCCCCAGGACCCCGAGCAGGAGGCGCGCAGGAGGGCGGAGCTGTCGCGGATCAGGAGCAGGAACAGGGAGTGCCGGGAGCAGCTGCAGCAGAGGCTGCACAGGAGGCGGCAGCTGCAGCTCCGCAGGAAACTGCACAGGAGGATGGAGAGGAGGAGGAGGAAGATGGACAAGGACAAGGACGAGGACGAGGACAAGGAGAAGGAGGAGCAGTGACATGGCTGGGCCTGGCCTGGAGTGCCCTGGAATTGCTGCTGCTTTGGGAAAATTGGGATTGAACTCTTGAATGTGGGGAAAAAAATCAGTGCTGGGGAGGAGGGAAGAACCCCAGAACCCTTGGGATTGGGGTTGGGATTGGGATTGGGAGGAGCTCAGGGCTCATCCGCTCCCAGCCTTGGACATTCCAGAGATCCAGGGGCAGCCTCAGCTCCTCTGGGAATTCCAGCCCATCCCAGCCAGGAATTCCTGCCCAAATCCCATCCAGATTCCCCTTTCCAGCTTAAATCCATTCCCTGTGCCCTGGAATTCCCAGATCCCAGATCCGTTCCCTGTGCCCTGGAATTCCCAAATCCCAGATCCATTCCCTGGCTCCTGTCCCTCCGTCCCTCATCCCAAATCCTCTCCAGCTCCTTTGGAGCCCCTTGCACCTCTGGAAGCAGCTCCAGGTTTCCCTTGGATCCCTTTTGTGTTCAGCTTTGCCTTCTGTGCTCAGGGGGAATCTCCAAGAGCTTTTCCTTGCTCATCCCACCCTCCTCTGTGATGAATTTCTCCCATTATTAACGCTCTGGCTGCCTTGTGAATAATTGAAATCCTCATTTGTGAGGCCTCAGCCAGGAGGATGCTGGGATGGAGCTGCTGCCAGACACAAAAATAATGCACAGAAATGCACCAAATGCTGCTGCCAGGCACACAAATGCAGCTTTGTCACCTTTGCAGCACAAGGTTTTCCCCTTTGGAAGCACAAAAATAAGGAATTAATCAGGGCTGCAGAGGGCCCAGAGGAGAGGTGTTGGTGCCCCTGCTCTGAAACAACCAGAAATTAAATAAAATCCTCTGGAAATGGCTGGGATTGGAAGCAAAATGCTCTGGAGCAGCCCAGGGCAGTGAGGGAAGGGCTGGGGATGAATGGGAGGAGGGAGGGAAGCACCTCCCTGCCCCATCCATCACAGCCTGGACAAAGCTTTTGTCATTCCCAGTGCTGAGCACGGCCCTGGGCTGCTCCAAAAGGATTTCCAGAAGGTTCTGGCAAGGATGAGAGGGGACACTGGGCATGGCCTGGGGGAGCACAGGGCTGGCACTGCCCAGGGACGGCCCCAAAGCTGCTGAGGAAAATGTTCTTGGGATTTTGGGTCAGTTTTGTGGGATTTTGTGCCAATTTTGTGTCAATTTTGTGCACTTTTGTGTCAATTTTGTGTGGTTTTCCTGTCAGTTTGCAACGGAATCAGCAAATGCTGGTTGGATCTGCTGTGTCCAAAACAGACACAAGGAAAGGTTTTGAAACTTTCTGACCAAAAAGCCAAATAAAGCATTGAAATAAAAGAAATAAAGGGATGAGGCAGCAAGAGGAACCACGCTTAAAATAAAACAGGGAAGTTGTGGTAAAGCAGAGCCAGGGCCTCCCTCAGGCCTTGCTCAATTCCAGAGGCTGGGAAACATCTGGGGCGACTCCCAAATTTCTGAGATCAATCCCAAATTTCTGAGATCAATCCCAAATTTCTGAGATTATTCCCAAATTTCTGTGATACCTCCCAGATTCCTGAATTTCTGTCCCCAGCTCCTGGCCTGTCCTTGGCCCCAGCTGGGCCCGTCCCTGTCCCACACAGATCAGGGCATCCCTGGGGGCTTCTCCTCAATGTGGAAAGGACCAAAAAAGGAAACAAGAACCCCACGAGCAGCTGAGATTTGCTCCATTTAATTCCAATTAACCTCAGAGGTGCCAACCCAGCAGCTTGGTGCCCTCAGGGATGTCCCTTGTCCCAAATTCCCCAGCCCAGCCCCAGTTTTCCAGCAGGCCTCAAATCCTCTGTGTTCAGCTCATCCAGGCTGTGGAACTGCAGCATTTTCCCCTGGGGAAATCCAGAATTTTCCTCCATCTCTGCTCCCCTGGGATGCTCCAGGGGCTGGGAGCGCCCAGGATGGAGGAAGAGGAGGAGGAGGAGGAGGAGGCTCAGTGCTGGCCGTGCCCAGCTGCTCCAGGCAGGACCTGCAGAAGGCAAATGGCTCCTAAAAAACCACAGAAAAACCAAAGGGCTCGGCCCCGTGCCCTTGGAAAATGTAAAAACCTGGGGGGCAGCTCTGGGGTGTGGCAAGGGGGTGGCACGGGCACAGCTGGCACCTCTGGGCACAGCTGGGCACAGCTGGCACCTCTGGGCTGTGCCACGGCCGGGGCAGGGCCAGGGAGCTGGGCTGGGGCTCCCTGGAGAGGATTTGGAAGCTCAGATTCTCCCTGGAGAGGTTTGGGGGTTCAGGAGCTCCCTGGAAAAGGTTCAGGGCTTCAGGGGCTCCCTGGAGAGGATTTGGGAGCTCAGGTTCTGGAGAGGATTTGAGGACTTTGGGTACTCCCTGAAGAGGATCTGGGGGTTCAGGAGCTCCCTGGAGAGGATCTGGGGGTTCAGGAGCTCCCTGGAGAGGATTTGGGGGTTCAGGAGCTCTGTGCCCTGCTCTGGGGCTCCCTGGGCAGCGAGGGCCCAGCCTGGTGCCCGCTCTGGCCAGGCAGCTGCTGGTGGGTGGCAAATCCTGCCCGGGCAGGGCTGAGGCTGCTGGGTGCCCACGGGAGCTCTCAGTGGTGCCCAAGGATCTCTTGGTGATGCCCACGGAAGCTCTGGGTGGTGCCCAGGATCTCTCTTGGTGCCCACAGGATCTCTGGGTGGTGCCCAAGGATCTCTGGGTGCGCTCAGGGTGTCTGGGTGGTGCCCAGCCCCAGCTGAGCTGCCCCTCTCCAGGGCTCTCTGCTCTGCTCAGTTGCTCTCCACCAGCTTGGCCAGGCCCTGCCTGAGCTCGCTGAGCTCGAAGATCTTCACATCCATGATCTCGGCCACCCTGGTGACCTCGTGCTGCACCCTGTCCCTCTGTGCCAGGCTCTCTGCCAGGCTCTGCTCTGCCAGCTGCAGCCGCTGCTCCAGCTCCGCGTTCCGGGCCTCCAGCTCCTGCGGGGACGGACGGACGGACAGACAGACAGACAGAGAGACAGAGAGAGAGACAGGCAGAGAGACAGACAGACAGACGGACGGACAGACAGACAGACAGAGAAAGAGAGACAGACAGACAGACAGAGAGACAGAGAGACAGACAGACAGACAGACAGAGAGACAGACAGACAGACAGACGGACAGACGGACAGACAGACAGACAGACAGGCTGCTCACAGCCCAGAGCGCCACCCCAGGGCTCCTTCCTGAGCCACCAGGGGGGAGCTCCGTGCCCCGCCCTGCCCATGGGGTGAGGCTGTGGGAGGGCAGCTGTGCCCGCAGGGATGGCCCAGCCCCGTGGGATCGGCCCTGGATCCTCCCCAGCCCCGTGGGATCGGCCCTGGATCCTCCCCAGCCCCGTGGGATCGGCCCTGGATCCTCCCAGCCCCGTGGGATCGGCCCTGGATCCTCCCAGCCTGGTGGGATCGGCCCTGGATCCTCCCAGCCCGGTGGGGTTGGCTCTGGAGCTGCTCTGGATCCTCCCAGCCCCGTGGGATCGGCCCTGGATCCTCCCAGCCTGGTGGGATCAGCCCTGGAGCTGCTCTGGATCCTCCCCAGCCTGGTGGGATCAGCCCTGGAGCTGCTCTGGATCCTCCCAGGCTGGTGGGATTGGCCCTGGAGCTGCTCTGGATCCTCCCAGCCTGGTGGGATCGGCCCTGGATCCTCCCCAGGTGTGGATCCCACCCAGGATCCCAGCCTGGATCCTCCCAGCCCGGTGGGGTTGGCTCCCCAGTCACAGCCTGGGCAAAGCAGGGCTGTCCCCAAGGTGCCACCTCCCCCTTTCCCCCTTTACCTGCAGCTTCTGCAGCGTCTCCTCGCGCTCGCCCTCGGCCTCCCAGCGGCCGCACCTCTGGCTCTTCAGCAGCTGGATCTCCTGGGGAAATGGGGGTTTATCATTGGCTTTGTGCAAGTATTGAGGTGAATATTGTGTGTGTTAGTGTGAAAAATGGGGGTTTATCATTGGCTTTGTGCAAGTATTGAGGTGAATATTGTGTGTGTTAGTGTGAAAAATGGGGGTTTATGATCAGAGTTCTCTTCCCAACCTGGTGATTCTGGGAATTCTGAGCTGCCAAGATCCTGAGCCTCTCTACCCCAGCACATCCCTGTCCCTTAGAGCTCTGATAGCTGGGGGCTCTGACAGGTTTGGGGGGCTCTGACAGGTTTTGGGGCTCTCACAGGTTTGGGGGGGATCTGACAGGTTTTGGGGGGGGGTCACACAGGTTTTTGGGGGTCACACAGGTTTTGGGGGGGTCACACAGGTTTTGGGAGGGGTCACACAGGTTTTGGGGGGGGGTCACACAGGTTTTTGGGGGTCACACAGGTTTTGGGGGGGTCACACAGGTTTTTGGGGGGGTTACACAGGTTTTGGGGGTTCTGCCAGCCTCACCTCATCCTTGGCCTTGAGCAGCAGCTCCAGCTCCTCCAGGCTCTGGCTCAGCTCCTCCTTGTTGTTGTCACTGGAGGAGTCCTGGGTGCCCTGAGCCTCCAGCTCTGCCACCTGCAAGGTGAAATCATTGCCTCAGGAACTTCCTGACCCCTCAATAATTCCCTGCAAGCTGGAATCCTCCCCTCAGGAATTTCCTGACCCTCAGCACCACTGCCATGCTCTGGCCTCCCTGCAAACCCACCTGGCTTTCACCTGGCAGCTCCTGCCTGGGGCTGGGAGGGAAACAATTCCTTCAGCTCTGCCCGGACCACACCCATTTGGTGGCTCAAAAAACCATTTTGTGCTCAAAACAAACCCACTTTAGAGCCCGTGCCTGTGCTTTCTGCAGGAATTCTGTGCGCTCCAGCACGGCTGAACTGGCTCCCACCCGGCCCCTGAGCCCCAGCCTGCGGATCCAGCTCCGTTTGGAGGCCTCCAAAAGCTCTGGAGCTGCTGCAGAGCTGAGCTGGAAGGGTTTGCCCAGGAGAACTCCCCTGGAAAATGCAGCTCGGTGCCTTGGATTATTCATGAGGATGAATTTTTAAAGTGATTCTGGGCTGCTCTGAGCTCTGCTCTGAGCTCCAAGGAGCTCACCCAGACAGGGAGCAGATCCTGCAGCTCCCTGGAGCCTCAGGGCCAGGGTGGGGCCAGAACACACCAAAATTTAGGGATTTAGGGACAATGATGGGAGTGTTTCACTGAGCTATGGCTCCTTCTGTGATCCTGCCGAGGTCCAGGGAATCCTGAGGGAATCCTGAGGGAGGGATACTGGGAACAACAATGGGGAATCCTGAGGGAATCCTGAGATAATCCTGAGGGAGGGATGTTGGGAATAACAACAGGGAATCCTGAGGGAATCCTGAGGGAGGGATATTGGGAATAACAACAGGGAATCCTGAGGGAATCCTGAGGGAATCCTGAGGGAGAGATACTGGGAATAACAATGGGGAATCCTGAGGGAATCCTGATATAATCCTGAGGGAGGGATGTTGGGAATAACAACAGGGAATCCTGAGGGAATCCTGAGGGAGGGATATTGGGAATAACAACAGGGAATCCTGAGGGAATCCTGAGGGAATCCTGAGGGAGAGATACTGGGAATAACAATGGGGAATCCTGAGGTAATTCTGAGGGAGGGATGTTTAGAATAACACTGGGGAATCCTGAGGGAGGGACGTTGGGGATCCCAAGGGAATTCTGAGAGAAACTTGAGGGAGGGATGTTGGGAATAACACCAGGGAATCCTGAGGGAATCCTGAGGGAATCCTGAGGGAAGGATATTGGGAATAACACCAGGGAATCCTGAGGGAGGGATGTTGGGAATGACAAAGGGGAATCCTGAGGGAGTCCTGAGGGAGGGATGTTGGTGATCCTGAGGGATGGGCATTGGGAACTCTGAGAGTGGGATGTTGGGAATGAGCCCAGGGAATCCCTGGGGCGGGATGTTGGCACTCCTGAGGGTGGGAGGGATGGAGGGATGGATGTTGTCCCTCCTGATGGAGGTACGGCGGGTGCTGTCCCTCCTGATGGAGGTATGGCGGTGCTGTCCCTCCTGATGGAGGTATGGAGGGATGGATGCTGTCCCTCCTGATGGAGGTATGGAGGTACGGCGGGTGCTGTCCCTCCTGATGGAGGTACGGCGATGCTGTCCCCCGGCCGTGCCATGCCAGCCCCCCTGGCCGTGTCCCCCTGCCCTCCTGGCTCACCCGCTGGCGCAGCGCCTCCGTCTCCTCCTGGTACGCCGCCAGCTCCTTCTTCCACTGCTCCACGCTGGCGTTGGCCTCGTGCAGCGCCGCCACCAGCTTGGAGTTGTTGTCCTGCAGGCTGAAGAACTCGGCCTCCCACTGCACCTCGCTCACCGAGCTGGGACGGGGGGAAATCCTGGGATTGGTTCTGGGATTCTGGGATTGATTCTGGGATTCTGGGATGATTCTGGGATTAATTCTGGGATTAATTCTGGGATTCTGTGAATGATTCTGTAAATCTGTGATTCTGTGATTGATTCTGTGATTGATTCTGGGATTCTGTGAATGATTCTGGGATTGATTCTGTGATTGATTCTGGGATTGATTCTGGGATTCTGTGATGATTCTGTAAATCTGTGATTCTGTGATTGATTCTGGGATTCTGTGATTCTGTGGTGAATCTGTGAATCTGTGATTCTGTAACGATTCTGTGATTCTGTAATTGATTCTGTGACTCTGTGATTCTGGGATTCTGTGACTGATTCTGTAATTCTGTGAGTCTGTGATTGATTCTGTGATTGATTCTGTGACTGGTTCTCTGAATCCAGCCAAGGCTTTGAGCAGCAGGCAGAGAATGAAAAGTGCAGAACGGGTCAGAACAATTTGGGATGACAAAACCAAGCACCCAACCCTGACAGAGGGGGAATTTGAGAGCAGCCTCACCCCTCGGAGAGCATCTTCTTCAGCCTCTCCTTCTCAGTGCTGATCTCCACATCCGCGCTCTGGCTGCGGAACAGTTTGTCCTCCCCAGGTCCATTGGAGCTGATGATGGGGCTGGGCAGCACCTGGGGCAAGGACGGGGACAGGTGATGGTGATGATGGGGCTGGGAGGAAGGACAGGGATGGGTGATGGTGATGATGGGGCTGGGAGGAAGGACAGGGACAGGTGATGATGGGGCTGGGAGGAAGGACAGGGACGGGTGATGGTGATGATGGGGCTGGGAGGAAGGACAGGGACAGGTGATGATGATGATGGGGCTGGGAGGAAGGACAGGGACAGGTGATGATGGGGCTGGCAGGAAGGACAGGGACAGGTGATGATGATGATGGGGCTGGGAGGAAGGACAGGGACGGGTGGGCACCTCCAGCAGGGTCCCCTCCCTCTGGGCTGGCCCTGGGGCCACCAACCCGGCCTGGCTGTGCAGGGTCAGACCTGGAGGGGTCCATGCAGGGCACAGAGGGACAGCAGGGCAGCAGCACAGGGAGCATTTTTCCCTTTTTCTCCCCTTTTCTCCCCATTCCCCGGCCTCACCTGGTGGGAAGGGATGCTCAGGGCAGGGTTGGTGAGCTCAGTTTTATCCTGGCATTTCTCCCTGGCCACACGAGCTGCCTCCTTCACTTCCTGGAACTTCTCTGCAAACTGGAGGGGAAGGGAAGAGTCACCCTGGGGCTGGGGGCCAGCAGAGCAATGTAATAGAAATTATATTGATATTATATAAATATCATATAAATATATAATATACCATATATTATATAAACATATAATGATGCTCTGCCTGCAGCCTCCTTTAAAACACTTCTGAATTTCTCTCCAACACCACAATTCAGGGATTTGAATCTGAGTTTGGCACTCAGGGCCGTGGGTTCAGCACAGAAGCAGCCCCAGCTCCATTCGTGGCACCCAAACCCCTCTGCAGACCCAGCTTCACTTTAGAGCTGGTTTTGGAACCTTGGCACCTTGAATCCCATTCCAGCCTGGTGAGAACAGCACCTCAGCAGGAGCCTGAGGATCTTCTGGAGGGGTTTCTGCAGGGGGTCCCTGAGCTCACCTGGGACAGGCTCCCTGGGCTTACCTGGCTCAGGTCCCTGAGCTCACCTGGGACAGGCTCCCCAGGTCTCCCCAGGCTCCCCAGGTTCCCTGCTCACCTGGCTCAGGCTCCCCAGGCCCAGCTCACCTGGCTCAGGCTCCCCAGGCTCCCCAGGCTCCCCAGGCTCCCCAGGCTCCCCAGGTCCCAGCTCACCTGGCTCAGGCTCCCCAGGCTCCCCAGGCTCCCCAGGTCCCTGCTCACCTGGCTCAGGCTCCCCAGGCTCCCCAGGCTCCCCAGGCTCCCCAGGTCCCTGCTCACCTGGCTCAGGCTCCCCAGGCTCCCCAGGCTCCCCAGGCTCCCCAGGCTCACCTGGCTCAGGTTCCCCAGGCTCCCCAGGTTCCCCAGGTTCCCCAGGTTCCCCAGGCTCCCCAGGCTCCCAGCTCACCTGGCTCAGGTTCCCCAGGCTCCCCAGGTCCCTGCTCACCTGGCTCAGGCTCCCCAGGTTCCCCAGGTTCCCCAGGCTCCCCAGGCTCCCAGCTCACCTGGCTCAGGTTCCCCAGGCTCCCCAGGCTCCCCAGGCTCCCCAGGCTCACCTGGCTCAGGCTCCCCAGGCTCCCCAGGTTCCCCAGGCCCAGCTCACCTGGCTCAGGTGCTGCTCAGAGGCGAAGCCCAGCCCGTACACCGTGTTGGCCCTGCTGTCTGCCCACTGCCCGAACTTCTGCGAGGTCTTGGTGAACGTCATGTTGGGGGTGATGGTGCTGTTGATGATGGCCTGGGCAGGGGACAATGGGGACAATGGGGAAGGAGGGAATCCATCAGGGAATCATTGATCAGGGAATCATTGATCAGGGAATCATTGATCAGGGAATCATTGATCAGGGAATTAGGGAATTAGTCGGGGAATCAATCAGGGAATCAGCCAGGGAATTGATCAGGGAATCAGTCAGGGAGTCAGGGAGTCAGTCAGGGGATCAATCAGGGAACCAATCAGAGAATCATCTGCTTTTGTGGGGGGAACAGCTGCTTTTTTTGGGACACAGCTGTTATTTAGGGACACAGCTGTTATTTTAGGGGCACAGCTGTTATTCTGGGGGCACAGCCATTATTTTAGGGACACAGCTGTCATTCTGGGGGCACAGCTGTTATTTTGGGGGGCACAGCTGTTATTTTGGGGGGCACAGCTGTCATTCTGGGGGCACGGCTGTCATTCTGGGGGGCACAGCTGTCATTTGGGGGGCACAGCTGTCATTCTGGGGGCACAGCTGCCGGGGGGTGCCGGGGCAGTGCCCACCTTGGTGCCCCCCACGCTGATGATCCTGTAGACGCTGCGCGTGGCATCGTAGAAGTAGGAGACGGTCAGGGCGTGTTTGCTGGCTGGGATCCAGTTCCTCTTGGTGGCAGGGTCGATCTGGAACACGTGGGCCCTGGTGCTGAAGATGGGCTGCTCCCTGCAGGGATGGAGAACAGGGCTGTTAATTCATGGCTTTATAGGGGCAGGATTCCAGCTGGGGACCAGAACCAATTAATATTGGAATCATCGTTTTATAGGGGCAGGATTTCAGCTGGGGGCCAGAACCAATTCACATTGGAATCATTGTTTTATAGGGGCAGGATTCCAGCTGGGGGTGAGAACCAATTAATACTGGAATCATCATTTTATAGGGTTAGAATTTCAGCTGGGGGTCAGAACCAGTTCACATTGGAATCATCATTTTATAGGGGCAGGATTTCAGCTGGGGGCCAGAGCCAATTAATATTGGAATCATGATTTTATAGGGGCAGGATTCCAGCTGGGGGCCAGAACCAGTTAATATTGGAATCATGATTTTATAGGGGCAGGATTTCAGCTGAGGGCTGGAGCCAATTCACATTGGAATCATGATTTTATAGGGTTAGAATTTCAGATCAGGACCAATCCACATTGAAGTTAGATACACCAGCAGGAGAACAGGGCTTTGAATCATGATTTCATAGGGTTAAAATTTCAGCTGAGGGTCAGAACCAATTCCCACTGAAGCTAGATACACCAATGATAGGTTAGTGGTTATTAGATGCTTAAATCTGTTGTAGAAATAACAATCTAAAGGTAATTGTTCTATTATGAGCTCATTTGTAGAAGGAAGTGGAGCAAGTGAAGCATTAAAGGAATTATTGGAACCAGCAGAACAGTGCCCAGCACCTGGACACAAAGCAGGGGGGCTTGGATGGTGCCAGAGGTCACAGAGACCTGAGGAAGACTTTCCTGACTTCATCCCTGACCCAGTTTGAGACCACTGACCCAATTAGACAGAAGAAGTGCACACGTGTGAAGGACTAATAACCTCATTTTAACACAGAGCAGGGATGGGAGGGGCTGGCCTTATGCAAATGTATTATTTTGGGAAATAAATAGAAGGCAAAGAGCCTTGTGCAGCGCAGTCACACATTTCAGAATTGTCTGTGATTTTTGGTGCCAGTGTGAGGGCAGCTGAGGGAAGGGGAAGAGCAGCAATTTCCAGCCACACTCCCTCCCTCTGTCCTGGTCAGCCCTGCTGCTGCTGCTGCCAGGTGCCCGCCAGCCCCTCCAGGGACAGAGATCATTGTGTAATAATCACAGGTCCTCTGAACCACGCTTCTCCCAGGAAAATCCTGGGAAACTCAGAGGAAAGAATTCCTACAATTATTATCTCTCTTTCTGTAGCCATTTATCGAAACAGGACAGCCCCTGTGGCAGGGAGGAATGAGGAGGAGACTCCATCTTATCAGAGGGCTAATTAATTATTTATTATCCTCTATTATTCTATGCTGTATTACACTATATTCCACACATCTGAACTGAATCTGCCAAGCACCCAACCCTGCTCACCCTGCCCAGAATCTGTGCCTGTCCTGACAGTCCTGACACACACACAGGCCAAGGAAGCAAACATTCCCTCACTGTGGGTGAACAATCCCCACATTGCATTCTGCTGTGGCACAAACACAGGCACAGAAAATGATGAGAATTGTGTTTTTCCTTTCTCTGAGGTTCAGAGAATGTGAAACCCAGAAATATTCTTGGGAGGAATTGTGCCTTGCTTTTCTCTGTGCAGAGCAATGTGGCTAAACCCGTTGTTTACAGACATGATTCTCCAGAGTGCTACTCCTGGATGGATGGATTGGTCATGGATGGACAGACAGACAGACAGACACAGGAATTGAGCACACAAAGCTCCCTGCCCCCAGCACAGCCCTTCCTGCCCTGACTCACACCAGGGAAGCGCATCCTGCATGTCCCAGGATCAAAGCAGGTCCCCCAGTGATGGAAGGAAACTCTGCACCCCCAGACGTGCAGCTGCTCAGGGAGCCCCAGCCCAGCGGGGTTTGGGGCTGGAATGCTCAGAGCTGCTGCCCCCAGAGTCAGGAATATCCCAGGGTGCTGCCCCCAGGGTTGGGGGTCTGGGGTTGGATTGTCCCAACTGAGCAGGGCTGCTGCCCCCAGGGTGTTCCAGGGGAGGGAGGGAGGGAGGGAGGGAGGAAGGAAGGGAGGAAGGGAGGAAGGGAGGAAGGGAGGAAGGAAGGAAGGAAGGAAGGAAGGGAGGAAGGAAGGAAGGAAGGAAGGAAGGAAGGAAGGAAGGAAGGAAGGAAGGAAGGAAGGAAGGAAGGAAGGAAGGAAGGAAGGAAGGAAGGAAGGAAGGAAGGAAGGAAGGAAGGAAGGAAGGAAGGAAGGAAGGAAGGAAGGAAGGAAGGAAGGAAGGAAGGAAGGAAGGAAGGAAGGAAGGAAGGAAGGAAGGAAGGAAGGAAGGAAGGAAGGAAGGAAGGAAGGAAGGAAGGAAGGAAGGAAGGAAGGAAGGAAGGAAGGAAGGAAGGAAGGAAGGAAGGAAGGAAGGAAGGAAGGAAGGAAGGAAGGAAGGAAGGAAGGAAGGAAGGAAGGTTGGTTTCAGGAATGTTTTCCATGATAAAACAGCCCAGCTGCTCCAGGGTTCCTCTGGCTCTGACTGCACCCAGGGCTGTGCTCAGAACCCAAACCCAGGGGAGTTTGATGGGATCGGCCCCGCTGGCAGCTGCCAGGCCCAGGCACGGGCACAGGCCCAGGCACAAGCCCAGACCCAGGCCCAGTCACAGGCCCAGGCCCAGTCACAGGCCCAGTCACAGGCCCAGTCACAGGCCCAGTCACAAGCCCAGGCCCAGTCACAAGCACAGGCCCAGGCACGGGCACAGGCCCAGGCACAAGCCCAGACCCAGGCCCAGTCACAGTCACAGGCCCAGGCCCAGGCCCATTCCCGCTGTGTGCAGCTGCCCAGCCCCAGCCCCTGCTGCTCCCTCCCCGCTCCGGGGGCAGCCTGAGCCGCCTGTCCCATCAATCCCAGCACCCCTGCAGCTCTCCAGGGCCAGCCCCAGAGCTCAGCAGGGAATATTTGATTTCCTTCCCCCTCCCAGCCCTGGCTCAGATTTCTCCCGCCAGCACACCCCCCCCTCCCTCTCTGCCTGCATTTCTGGAGTGAGATTCCAATTTCCCAGGCTGTGTTTTCACGTGGATCATGACCTATCTTTGGCACAGGGGAAAAAACTGATATTTCTGCTCCTGAACCCCCAGATCCTGGGCTGGTTTTGGACGGGCCTGAGGCAGGACTTTACCGAGTTGTTGACATTTGTTAGTAGGGGCAGGAGGCTCGTGCAGTTAGTGGGGTGTCCCCTCCTCCAGCAGCTCCTCCTCAGGGCTCCCTCAGCTGCTCTGAGGCTCCTTCCCAGCGCTGCCTCCACAGGGATTCATTCCCTGGCAAGGGAAAAACCCAACAATTATTTGTGATTTGTTACTCCCCACACAAGCAGGCACCTCCAGGGGCTCTGTGTGCCCCCAGCATTCACAGAGCTGCTCGTTTGCAGTGACTCCTCATCACTGAACAAGGTTTATTTCCCCGCTGTGGGAGACATTTGGGTGAGCTGAGCAAATGGAGCAAAACCCCCTGGCAGCAGGGAGGGGGCCACAGGAGCCTGGGAGGCTCCAGGGCTTCCAGCCAAGCCCACGTGGTGCTGCTGCCTGATGGAAAACCCTCCTGGGAGATCATTCCTCGGGCACAGCAGCTGTTCCTGGGCTCCTGCCCGTCCTGGAGCCCTGTCCCTGTGTCCCTGTCCATCCTGGAGCCCTGTCCCTGTGTCCCTGTCCGTCCATAGGGCAGTATCCAGATCCTGTCCCTGTGTCCCTGTCTGTCCAGGATCCTGCCCCTGTGTCCCTGTCTGTCCAGGATCCTGTCCCTGTGTCCTTGTCCATTCTGGAGCCCTGTCCCTGTGTCCCTGTCCATGCAGGATCCTGTCCCTGTGTCCCTGTCCGTCCTGGAGCCCTGTCCCTGTGTCCCTGTCCATCCAGGATCCTGTCACTGTGTCCCTGTCTGTCCTGGAGCCCTGTCCCTGTGTCCCTGTCTGTCCAGGATCCTGTCCCTGTGTCCCTGTCCGTCCTGGAGCCCTGTGCCTGTATCCTTGTCCATCCTGGAGCCCTGTCCCTGTGTCCCTGTCCGTCCAGATCCTGCCCCTGTGTCCCTGTCCATCCTGTCCCCATGTCCCTGTGTCCCTGTCCATCCTGTCTCCATGTCCCTGTGTCCCTGTCCATGCAGGATCCTGTCCCTGTGTCCCTGTCCATCCTGTCCCCATGTCCCTGTGTCCCTGTCCATCCTGTCTCCATGTCCCTGTGTCCCTGTCCATCCTGTCCCCATGTCCCTGTGTCCCTGTCTGTCCAGGATCCCTGTCCCCATGTCCCTGTCCATCCTGTCCCCATATCCCCATGTCCCTGTCCCTCCCTGTCCTCTCCAGCTCTCCTGGAGCCCTTTCCAGGCTCTGGGAACAGCTCTAGGGTTTCTCTGGAGCTTCCCTTCCCCAGCCTTGGGCACCTCCAGGGGTGCAGGGGCAGCCTCAGCTGCTCTGGGAATTCCATCCCAGCCCCTTCCCATCATCTCCAGCCTGAACCAGCAGAAGGTGAGGACAGAGGGACAGGACAGAGGGACAGGACAGAGGGATGGGACAGAGGGACGGGACAGAGGGACGGGACAGAGGGACAGGACAGAGGGACGGGACAGAGGGACGGGACAGAGGGACGGGACAGAGGGACGGGACAGAGGGACGGGACAGAGGGATGGGACAGAGGGACACCCAGGGGTGACAGCCGGAGCTGAGCTGCCCCAGGAGCTGCTCCCCAGACACCACCAAGTGTTCCAAAGCAGCTCTGGGGCTCCCACTCCTGTTCCCCTCCCTGAAATGCTGAGTCCCCGCAGCGAAGGGTGAATAAAAAAAGGTGTAAAAAGTGAACAAATAAAGGTGCAAATAGTGAATAAATAAAGGTGTAAATAGTGAATAAATAAAGGTGTAAATAGTGAACAAATAAAGGTGTAAATAGTGAATAAATAAAGGTGTAAATAGAGAACAAATAAAGGTGTAAATAGTGAACAAATAAAGGTGTAAATAGTGAACAAATAAAGGTGTAAATAAAACCACTCGCACCCGGGGCTGGCCTTGGCAGATAACTGAGGAGGAGCAAAGCAAAGGCCTGGAAGGACAAAGATCTGGTGGCACTGGAAGGGATCCAGGGCCCTCCCCAGCTCAGGGGGAAGGGCAGAAATCAACAGCCCTGGGAGCTTCAAAATGACCGGGGATATTCACTGAATGAGGGGATAGGGAAGGGGTTAAATGCTGCATTTTTAACACGTTCTGAGCTGGAATGTTTAGCCTTGCATTTTATTTTAGGGGTGAGGAAGTGGGGAGTTGTGAGTTGCTGCAACTTCTTTTAGTGGCTATCCGCTGAAAGAGCATCTCCAGTTAGTGAATGTCCTTTAAAAGCACCCCTGAATTTAGTGAATATCCTTTAAAAGCACCCCTGAATTTAGTGGATATCCATTAAAAGCACCCCTGAATTTAGTGAATATCATTTAAAAGCAGCCCTGAATTCAGTGAATATCCTTTAAAAGCATCCCTTCTTTTAGTGGATGTCTGGGGAGGATCCAGGGATCCAGGGAAGGTCCCAAGGAATGTTTGTTATCTGTCATTTCTTATTTGTGATTTCTTATTTGTTATCAGTGATCTGTTATCAGTGATCTGTGATCCGTGATCTGTGCTCTGTGCTCTGAGCCCCCAGCTGTGGGTCTGGGCAAGCAGCAGTGCCCCGCAGGGCAGGGTGAGGAGAGCTGGGGACACGGTGACACAGGCCCAGGGCACAGCAGCCCCGTGCCAGGAGGGACAGATGGCACCAGTGGCACCAGGCTGGGCACAGGAGGTGCCAGGGGCTGGCAGGGACGGGAGCCAGCCCTGCCACAGTGTCACAGGGGCTGTTCTGTCACAGTGTCACACAGACTGTCCTGTCCTGTCACAGTGTCACAGGGGCTGTGCTGTCACAGTGTCACACAGACTGTCCTGTCCTGTCACAGTGTCACAGGGGCTGTCCTGTCCCAGTGTCACACGGGCTGTCCCGTCCTGCCATGGATGTCACACGGGCTGTCCTGTCCTGTCACAGTGTCACAGGGGGTGTGCTGTCCTGTCCCAGTGTCACACAGGCTGTGCTGCCACAGTGTCACACAGGCTGTCCTGTCCCAGTGTCACACGGGCTGTCCTGTCACACAGGCTGTCCTGTCCTGCCACAGTGTCACAGGGGCTGTCCTGTCCCAGTGTCACACAGGCTGTGCTGTCCTGTCACAGTGTCACAGGGGCTGTGCTGTCCTGTCCCAGTGTCACACAGGCTGTGCTGCCACAGTGTCACACAGGCTGTCCTCTCCCAGTGTCACACGGGCTGTCCTGTCCTGTCCCAGTGTCACACGGGCTGTCCTGTCCTGCCATGGATGTCACACAGGCTGTCCTTGCTGTCCTCACTGTCCTTGAGTGTCCTGGCCTGGGCTCTGCCCTCCCACCCTCACGGGCCTCTCCCTGAGCGGGGTCTGCAGGACAGGGATGGGTGAGAATAGGACAGAAATGAGTGAGGGGGACAGGAATGAGAGCAGGACAGGGATGAGAACAGACAGGAATAAATGAGTGTGAGCAGGATTAAAATGAGTGTGAGCAGGACAGGGATGAGTGTGAGCAGGATTAAGATGAGTGTGAGCAGGATTAAAATGAGTGAGTGTGAGCAGGACAGGGATGAGCCCAGCCCTGGCCGCTGGCCATGCTGAGTCAGCTGAGCCCAGCCTGGGGCTGAGCCAGGCTCTGCCTCCCCTCCCTGAGGGAGAATCCCCAGAAATCCCTGAGGGAAAGAATCCCCCAGGAATCCCTGAGGGAAAGAACCCCCAGCAAAGCCCAGCCCAGTTCTGAAGGCAGAACTGGGGCACAGAGAGGGGCTGGGAGCCCAACCCTGCTCCTGCTCCTCCTGCTCCTCCAGGGCTGTCTGCCTGCTCTCCTTTTATCTCCCCTCAGCAGCCCCAGGAGCTGCCTGCCTGTCTGTCAGTCTGTCTGTCTGTCTGTCAGTCTGTCTGTCAGTCTGTCTGTCTGTCTGTCAGTGCTGCTGATAAACTCAGCCCCAGCTCCTTCCCTCTGCCCCTGCGGAGCCTCTGGGGGTGCAGGAGAATCCCAGCCCTGGTCCCTGTCCTGGGCAGGGCCTGGAGCCGGCCTTGGCTGATCCCTCCCCATCCAGGGTATTCCACATGCCAGGGGATTCCACAATTCAGGGTATTCCACAATTCAGGGTATTCCACAATTCTACCCAGCATATTCCATAGCCCACATCCACAATTCAGGGTATTCCACAATTCTACCCAGGATATTCCACAATTCAATTCAGGACTTTCCACTACCCAGGATATTCCACAATCCAGGATATTCCATATCTCAGGATATTCCACATTTCAAGCCGGGATTTCCCACAATCCAGGATATCCCACGGTTCCTCCCCAGGGCGCTGAACTACAGAATTGCTTTGGGGACAAAGTTTGGATTCCAAAAACGGATTTAGGGGTTTGGGAATAAAGTTTGGGAAGATGGATTTGAGGCTTTGGGGACAAGGTTTGGGTTCCAAAGCAGGATGTGGGGATTTGGGGACAAGGTTTGGGTTCCCAATCCGGATTTGGGGTTTTGGGTACAAGGTCTGGTTCCCAATCAGGGCTTTCCCCTCCCCAGGCTGTGCCCTTGGGGAGGAACAGCTCCAGGAATAGGATCCGGCTCTGCCCCATCCCAGGAGATTCCTGGGGCAGCTGCTCCAGATCAGGGACAGCCCCCAGCAAGGTCACACACACACTCCCAGGGCCTTTAAACCCCGATAAATGGATTTTTCTGGAATTATGGAGCCTCCTGGGTGCCCCTTTCCTCCTCCTGCTCTGGGACACAAACGCCGCTACCACGGAATTAAAATTTAAAAAAAATTTAAAATTTAATTTAGCAATTAAAATTTAAAAATCAAAGCCAGGCTGGAGCTCAGGAATTTTTCAAAGATCCCAGAAAAAAAAAAAAAAAAAAAAAACAAAAACCCAGCAACGAGAAAATGAGAATTAGAGAAATGGGAAAATGAGAATTAGAGAAATGGAGATTTAATATATTGATATATTGCTTTAAAAATAATTTAACTAAAATCAGCTCCCTGAAGGTGATTTTTTAAATCTTTTTTGTAGCCAGAGTTATGGAAATTCTGCTGGAATTTCAGAGTTATGGAAATCGTGCTGGAATTTCAGAATTATGGAAATTTAAAAAAAAAAGGGAAGGGGAAAAATTTTTAAAAGGAAACTAGAAAATTTAAAAAAAAAGAAAAGGGAATTTTTTTTAAAAAAAAGGAAAACAGAAAAAAATTTAAAAAAAGGAAAAGGAGCCCCCGGAATGTGATTTATTCCAAAGCCCACGCTGGCAGGGAATGATCTGCACAAGAAACTCCAACAACGCCGGGTCCTAAAAGTGGCTGAGGCTCAGAACTGGGACAGGAATCAAAGCCCAGCCTGAGCTCCTGTCCCACACCGAAATCCACCGAAATCCACCCAAAATCCACCAAAATCCACTAAAATCCACTAAAATCCACACAGCACCACATCCCCGCAGCAGAATCCCAAACCCCAAACCCCAAAATCCCAAACCCCAAATCCCGAAATCCCGAACCCCAAATCCCAAACTCTAAAATCCCAACACCAAAATTGCAAACCCCAAAATCTCAAACCCCCAACCCCCAAATCCCAACACGAGAAGCCCAAACCCCAAATCCCAAACCCCAAATTCCAGCCCCAAAGCCCAACCGAAGCCCGGGCAGTTTCCAGCAGCTCCCACCCGCTCAGCACCGCCGGGTTCCATTTTCCTGCATCCCGAGCCGCAGCAAACCCGACAAAATCCCCGAATTTTACCCCAATTTTTAACTCCGGGAAAGTTTTCGGGCACAGCCGCGCTCCAGCCCTCCCGGCTCGGCTCCCACAGACCCCGGAGCTCTCCCTTCCACGGGAATTGGTTCAAAGAACTTGCAGCAACTCGCCCTTCCCCGCTTCCCTGCCCCGAAAATCAAAGGGAGGCGAAACTTTCCAGCCGGAGCGCGGAGAAAAGCGGCGATTTAACCCTTGAGTGGCCGTCCCCGCTGCCTCGGGAGCGATGAATAACGAAACAACAAAAGGAACAGCGAAAGCAGGGCAGGAACGGCGGCCGCGGCTCTCACCCCATCCCCGCCGGCGCCGCTCCTCTCCCGGCGCCGCCGCCTCCTCTGCCTCCTCTTCCTCTCCTTCTCCCCTTCCTCTTTCTTTCTGTCTTTCTCCGGATCCGGATGCTCTTTAAATTTCCTCCGGAATTTCACTTTGAAGCCTTGCAGCTGCTGCAGCTGCTACTGCTGCTCCGCGGCACCGGGAGCGGGAGCGGCACCGGGAGCGGCACCGGCTCCGGGAGTGGCACCGGCACCGGGATCAGCACCGGGAGCGGCTCCGGCTCCGGGATCGGCACCGGGAGTGGCCCCGGGAGAGGCTCCAGGACCGGGAGTGGCACCGGGAGCGGCCCCGGCCCCGGCGCTTCTCCGCCCGCTGCTCCCCGGCTGCCCCGCTCGGTTCCGGCCCCGCAGGGAGCGCCTGGATGGAGCCGGTGCCGCTCCGAGCCTTTCCTGCCCCCGCTCCGAGCCTTGCCCCCAGCCCGGCCGGCCCGAGCTCTTCGCTGCCCTCTCCCGGTCCGCTCCTGCCCGGTACCTACCGCTCCTGCCCTCTCCCGGTCCGCTCCTGCCCTCTCTCTGCCGCTCCCTGCCCGGTACCTACCGCTTCTGCCCGCTCCCTGCCCCTCCTGCCCGCTCCCTGCCGCTCCCGGTCCGCTCCTGCCCGCTCCTGCCCGGTCCTTGCCCGCTCCCTGCCGCTCCTGCCCGCTCCCTACCCGGTCCCTGCCGCTCCTTGCCCGGCGCCTGCCGGTCCTGCCCACTCCTGCCCGCTCCCTATCCGGTCCCTGTCCCTCCTGCCCGGTCCCTGCCCGCTCCCTATCCGGTCCTTGCCCGCTCCTGCCCGGTCCCTGTCCCTCCTGCCCGCTCCCTATCCGGTCCCTGTCCCTCCTCCCCGCTCCTGCCCGCTCCCTATCCGGTCCCTGTCCCTCCTGCCCGGTCCCTGCCCGCTCCCTATCCGGTCCTTGCCCGCTCCTGCCCGGTCCCTGTCCCTCCTCCCCGCTCCTATCCGGTCCCTGTCCCTCCTCCCCGCTCCTGCCCGGTCCCTGTCCCTCCTCCCCGCTCCTGCTCGGTCCTTGCCCGCTCCCCGTCCGCCCCCTACCCGGTCCCTCCCCGCTCCCGCCGCCCCATCCCGCTCACGTTTGGCCGCTTTTCTTCTCCCCGCTTTATTCGCGGCGGCGGCAGCACCGCCTGCCGGGACAGCGGCTCGGGGCCACCGGGGACGGGAGCTGCCCCGGGAGTGTCTGCAGCACAAAACCCTGGAACCCTTGGGGTTCTCTGTGCCCCAAAACGCCCTCAGCCCTGGAATCCAGATTCCACCCCGGCAGCACCAACACGGGTGTGAGAACCTGAGTGAGATAACCCGGGTGTGATAACCCAGACTGATAACCCAGACTGATAACCCGGGTGTGATAACCCAGACTGATAACACAAGTGATGATAACCCAGTGTGATAACCCGGGTGTGGGAACCTGAGTGAGATAACCCGGGTGTGGTAACCCAGACTGATAACCCAGACTGATAACCCGGGTGTGATAACACAAGTGATGATAACCCAGTGTGATAACCCGGGTGTGATAACCCAGACTGATAACCCGGGTGTGATAACCCGGGTGTGATAACACAAGTGATGATAACCCGGGTGTGATAACCCAGACTGATAACACAAGTGATGATAACCCGGGTGTGATAACCCGGGTGTGGGAACCTGAATGAGATAACCCGAGTGTGGTAACCCAGACTGGTAACCCAGACTGATAACCCGGGTGTGATAACACAAGTGATGATAACCCAGACTGATAACCCGGGTGTGATAACACAAGTGATGATAACCCAGACTGATAACCCGGGTGTGATAACACAAGTGATGATAACCCGGGTGTGATAACCCAGACTGATAACCCAGACTGATAACCCGGGTGTGATAACCCAGACTGATAACACAAGTGATGATAACCCGGGTGTGATAACCCGGGTGTGGGAACCTGAGTGAGATAACCCGGGTGTGATAACCGGGGTGTGATAACCCAGACTGATAACCTGTGATAACCCGGGTGTGATAACCCAGTGTGATAACACAAGTGATGATAACCCAGGTGTGATAACCCAGTGTGATAACCCAGACTGATAACCTGTGATAACCCGGGTGTGATAACACAAGTGATGATAACCCGAGTGTGATAACACAAGTGATCATAACACGGGTGTGATAACCCAGACTGATAACCTGTGATAACCCGGGTGTGATATCCCGGGTGTGATAACCCGGGTGTGATAACACAAGTGATGATAACCCAGACTGATAACCTGTGATAATCCGGGTGTGATAACCCAGTGTGATAACCCAGGTGTGATAACCCAGTGTGATAACCCGGGTGTGATAACCCAGTGTGATAACCCGGGTGTGATAACCCAGTGTGAATCCCCCACTGCTCTCACTCAGCCTTTTCTCTCCTTCCCACCCTACGCTGTTTCCCTGTCCCATCCCTGTCCCCATCCCTTGTCCCATTCCTGTCCCATCCCTGTCCCCATCCCTGTCCCCATCCCCATTCCTGTCCCATCCCTGTCCCCATCCCTGTCCCTGTCCCCACCCCTGTCCCATCCCCGTCCCCTCCCATTCTGTGTTTCTCTAAAACCGAACAGAAATTCCCCATTTGATGCTGCATTTCCTCTCACTCTCTGTCACTTTGTCCGAGTTCAACACTGCCAATATTGAGTAGCAGTAGTATTCAGTGTTATTTTAGTATTTCGTGTTATTTCAGTATTTAAATTTAGAGTGTTTCAATGCAAACCACTGCAATGTAACCTCCTGCAGGGATCCCCCATCTCCCCCTGGAGCACAGAACTCCAATAAACCCCAAGATCTGCTCCTTTCAACCCCAAAATTCCTTTTTTTCCCCCACAGCTGCTCAGAATTCCCCTCCAGAACGGCCCCTGAGCCACTTTTCTGTTCCCAAGGACAGAAATTCATCCTTCAGCACTAAAAATACCCAAATCCACCTTTCCTTTTCTGTTTAAAGCAGCTCATTAAGGCCTCCCCGTGCCCCTGAGGCCGCTGCTGCCCTGCTGTGGCTCAGGGTTACAAAACCTTGAATTCTGCATTTTTAAAGGGGTTATTGATCAGTCCAGTTAACGTAAAATATTGCTGTACCTGTAAATATTGAACACACGAATGTGTTCACACCAAATTTATGTTAATGATGCTGCTAATGAGGGTATTTATATGTTTGATCAGTAATTACTCCCAAACCAGCAGTTTTACACGAAATAGTTGCAATTTCAGGGCCAATATTTGCAATTTTGGAGCCAATATTTGCAATTCCAGAGGCAACATTCGGAATTTCAGAGCCAACATTTGCAATTTCAGAGCAAATATTTGGAATTCCAGAGCCAACATTTGAATTTCAGAGCCCATATCTGGAATTTCCGAGCCAACATTCGGAATTTCTGAGCCAACATTTGGATTTTCAGAGCCAAAATTTGGAATTTCAGAGCCAACATTTGCAATTTCAGAGCCAACATTTGGAATTCCAGAGCCCAAATTTGGAATTCCAGAGCTCAAATTTGGAATTCCAGAGCCCACATTTGGCATTTCAGAGCCCACATTTGGATTTTCAGAACCAAAATTTGGCATTTCAGGGCCAATATCTGGAATTTCAGAGCCAACATTTGGAATTTCCGAGCCAACATTTGGATTTTCAGAGCCCACATTTGGCATTTCAGGGCCAATATTTGGCATTTTCAGAGCCCAAATTTGGCATTTCAGGGCCCACATTTGGCATTTCAGGGCCAATATTTTCAATTTCAGAGCCCACATTTGCAATTCCAGAGCCCACATTTGCAATTTCAGGGCCCACATTTGCATTTTCAGAGCCCACATTTGCATTTCCAGAGCCCACATTTGGATTTTCTCCAGCCCCGGCTGCAGCAGCTCCTCCCCCAGCCCAGCCCAGGCAATCAGGCCCGGTTTAATTGGGGCAGGTCATTAATGAGAGCTCTGAGAGGGGGGGGCAGGAGGGTCTGCCCTACTTGGGGGGGGACAGAGGGGACAGGAGAGGGACAGACAGGGGGACAGGGACAGACAGGGGGACAGAGGGGACAGGGACAGACAGGGGGACAGGGACAGACAGAGGGACAGACAGAGGGACAGAGGGGACAGGGACAGAGGGGACAGGGACAGACAGAGGGACAGACAGGGGGACAGACAGGGGGACAGGGACAGGAAAGGGACAGGGACAGACAGAGGGGACAGAGGGGACAGGGACAGGAGAGGGACAGAGGGGACAGGGACACCAGACAGGGACATGGCTGGAGCCACCTGGGATGGCAGAAAGTGTCCCCAAAGTGTCCCCAAAGTGTCCCCAAAGTGTCCCCAAGGATGTCCCCAGAGGGGCTTTGAGGTCCCTCCCACCCCAACCCATCCCTGACCCCACAGGGGTCAGGAAACCCCAAATTCCAAACCCCAAAACCCCAAAATTCCAAACCCCAAAATTCCAAACCCTAAAATCCCAAAATCTCAAACCCCAAAATCCCAACACCAGAATCCCAAACCCTGAAATTCCAAAACCCCAAACCCTGAAATTCCAAACCCTAAAACCCCAAACCCCAAAATCCCAACACCAAAACCCCAAACCCCAAAACCCCCAAACCCCAAAACCCCCAAACACCAAAATCCCCAAACACCAAATTTCCAACACCAGAATTTTATTGGCACAGAGAACTCCAACAGTCCCAGCCCCAAACGGAACAAAAACCCCAAGATTGGTCACCAAAAACCCCAAAATTGGATTTGTTTCAGAAAAACCCCGTGGTGGTTTGAGCATATTCTGATTTTTCAGGTGTTTTATTCTGATTTTTTCAGGTGTTTTATTCTGATTTTCAGGCGTTTTATTCTGATTTTTCAGATGTTTTATTCTGGTTTTTCAGGTGTTTTATTCTGGTTTTTCAGGCGTTTTATTCTGAATTTTTGGGTCTTTTATTCTGATTTTTCAGGTCTTTTATTCTGATTTTTCAGGTGTTTTATTCTGGTTTTTTGGGTCTTTTATTCTGAATTTTCAGGTGTTTTATTCTCATTTTTCAGGTGTTTTATTGCTCAAAGCCACCTCGGGTTGTGCTTGGCCGCTCAGCTCTGAGATATGCAGGATTCAAAACTCAAATTAATTAATTTTTTTTTAAAATTAGGGTAGGAAGAAGCCAAAAGGAGAATATTTGGATTTTTGAGGCTTTATGTGGGTAAAATAAAAGTTGGAAGTAGAGTGGGAGGTCAGGAGGAAAAGACCAAGAACTTGTACGTTGATTTTTGGGAAATAATTCCAGTTTTTGGTGAGGAATCCCATCCCAAAATCCAGAATTTGGGGTGGAATCCCAGGGAAAATCTGAAATTTGGGACGGAAAAATCCAGAATTTGGGGTGGAATTGCAGGGAAATCTGAAATTTGGGTGGAGAATCCGGAATTTGGGGTGGAATTCCAGGGATAATCCAGAGTTTGGGATAGATCCCAGGGAAAATCTGAAATTTGGGGTGGAAAATCTGGAATTTGGGGTGGAATTCCAGGGGGAAATCCAGAGTTTGGGGTGGGATTCCAGAGGAAATCTGGAATTTGGGGTGGAAAATCCAGAGCTCGGGATGGAAAATCTGAACTTTGAGGTGGAATTCCAGGGAAGATCCAGAATTTGGGGTGGAAAATGTGAAATTGGGGCGGATTCCATGGAAGATCCAGAATTTGGGGTGGAAAATGTGAAATTTGGGGCGGATTCCGGGCAAATCGGAGCAAACGCAGCAGAGACAGCGCGGGAGGGAGGAGAGGGGCCCTGGGGTCCTCATGGAACAGAGCCTGGAGCTGGAATGAGAGAAACAGAGAGGAAAGGGGAAAAAGAGGGGAAAAGGGGGAAAAAGGGGGAAAAAAGAGGAGAAAACGGGGAAAAAAGAGGAGAAAAAGGGGAAAAAAAGAGGAGAAAACGGGGAAAAAAGAGGGGGAAAGGGGGAAAAAAAAGAGAAAAAGGTGGGGAAAAGAGAGAAAAAGGGGAAAAAAAAAGAGGGGGAAAGTGGGAAAAAAAAGGAGAAAAGGGGGAAAAAAGAGTGGGAAAAAGGGGAAAAAAGAGGAGAAAAAAGGGAAAAAGAGGAGAAAGGGGGAAAAAAGAGGGGGGAAAAAGGGGGAAAAAAGAGGGGAAAAAGAGGGGGAAAAAGAGGGGGAAAAAGAGGGGGAAAAAGAGGGGGAAAAAGAGGGGGAAAAAGAGGGGGAAAAAGAGGGGGAAAAGAGGAGAAAAAGGAAAAAAATAGGAGAAAAGGGGAAAAAAAGGAGAAAAAGGGGAAAAAAGAGGAGAGAAAGGGGGAAAAAAAAGAGGGGAAAAAAGAGGGAAGAAAAAGACAGAAAAAGAGAGAAGAGAGAAAAAGAGATTCTCAGAAATCCGAAAAACTCCAACAAATGAAGATTTTGGGGTCCCTCAGCACCTCCAGAATCTCGAAAATCAGAAAAACCTCCAAAAATTCAAGTGTTGGGCTCACCCAGCACCCCCAGGGCACCCAGAACCCCCAAAAACTGCCCCAGAATTGCAGGGAAAGGAGAATTTGGGGCAGGAAATGGAGAATTTGGGGCAGGATTGCAGGGAAAGGAGAATTTGGGGCAGGATTGCAGGGAAAGGAGAATTTGGGGCAGGAAAGGGAGAATTTGGGGCAGGAAAGGGAGAATTTGGGGCAAGGAAAAGGAGAATTTGGGGCAGGATTGCAGGGAAAGGAGAATTTGGGGGCAGAATTGTAGGGAAAGGAGAATTTGGGGGCAGAATTGTAGGGAAATGGAGAATTTGGGGCAGGAAATGGAGAATTTGGGGCAGGATTGCAGGGAAAGGCAGAATTTGGGGGCAGAATTGCAGGGAAAGGAGAATTTGGGGCAGGAAAAGGAGAATTTGGGTGCAGAATTGTAGTGAAATGGAGAATTTGGGGGCAGAATTGCAGGGAAAGGAGAATTTGGGGGCAGAATTGCAGGGAAAGGAGAATTTGGGGCAGGAAAAGGAGAATTTGGGTGCAGGAAAAGGAGAATTTGGGGCAGGGAAAGGAGAATTTGGGGCAGGATTGCAGGGAAAGGGAGAATTTGGGGCAGAATTGCAGGAAAAGGAGAATTTGGGGCAGGAAAGGGAGAATTTGGGGCAGGATTGCAGGGAAAGGAGAATTTGGGGCAGGAAAAGGCAGAATTTGGGTGCAGGATTGCAGGGAAATGGAGAATTTGGGTGCAGAATTGTAGTGAAATGGAGAATTTGGGGCAGGAAATGGAGAATTTGGGGCAGGAAAAGGAGAATTTGGGGCAGGAAAAGGCAGAATTTGGGGCAGAATTGCAGGAAAGGCAGAATTTGGTGCAGGATTTGCAGCCCCTGTGGCACTGACCTATTTGTTTGCCCGTTTCTGCCGGTACATCTGGATCATCCTCTGGCGGAAAACGTCGAAGGCGTCCTCGTGGCTCTGCTCCCCCGCCACTCCCAAACCCTCCCCAGCCGAGGCTGCAGCCCTGGGGAGGAAATGGCACCCTCAGAACCAACAAATCTGATTTTTCCAATCAATTCTGCACCACTCGGCGCCCGCTGCAGCCAACTATTCTGAATTATTTTGAATTATTCTGGATTATTTTGAATTATTTTGAATTATTTTAATTTTTTTTCCCCCCCAGTTCCCATTAGAAGGTGAATTCCCAGCTGCAAAATGGGATTTTGTGGGGAAAAAAGAAAAAAACAAATCAGGTGGGAGAGGGGATTGTGGAGCAATTGTGGAGCAGGTTTTAAGTTCGGGTTTGGTTTTCTGGTGGAAATCTCTCGATTTTGGGATCTCAGGAATTCAAGCCCAGAGGATTTGAGGGGGGATCAAAGAATTCTGGAGAAAAGGGAATTTTATGGAGATTTAGGGCATTTCCCATATTAAACCTCTGTTTTCCCCTATTAAAAACTCCCCATTAATTCCCCCATTAGAATCATGAATTTCCCCTATTAAAACCCCCTTATTTTCCCCTATTAAAACCTCTATTTCCTCCATTAAAAACTCTCAATTTCCCACACTAAAACTCTTATTTTCCCCCATTAGTCCCCCTATCTTCCCCTATAAATCCCCCTATTTTCCCCTATAACCCCCCCGATAAATCCCCTTTTTTCCCCTGTAACTACCCCTATAAATCCCCTCTAAACCCTCCTTTTTCCCCCCATTAAAACCCCCTATTTCCCCCCATAAATCCCCTATAAACCCCCCTTTTTTCTCCCATAAATCCCCCTATTTTTCCCCACAAATCCCCCTATTTTCCCCCCATAAATCCCCCTATTTTCCCCGCCATAAATGCTCTATTTCCCCCCCCTTTTTCCCCCCATAAATGCCCCTATTTTCCCCCCCATAAATGCCCTATTTTCCCCCCATTTCCCCCATTTTCCCCCCATAAATGCCCCATTTTCCCCCCCTTTTTCCCCCCATAAATGCCCCATTTCCCCCCCTTATTTCCCCCATTTTCCCCCCATTTTCCCCCCTTTTCCCCCCATTTTCCCCCCATTTTCCCCCCTTACAGGTGCAGGGGCTCCCGGATGCCGCGGCCGCGCGAGCCCAGCCCGTGCCCCTCCTGCCAGCCCATCCTCTGCAGCATCTGGAACCCCACGTTCCTGGGGCTCAGCCTCTTCTGGGGCACCTCCAGCGCCCTGGGCTTCTGGGGAAAAATGGGGAAAAATGGGGAAAAAATGGGAAAAAAACGGGGAAAAAAAATTAACATTTATTAGGGAGAAATGGGTAAAAAAAAATTAAAATTTATTAGGGTGAAATTCCCATCCAGATCAGTGGAAATCGAATTTTTTTAAAGGAAATTCCTTATTTTAAAGGGATTTTCATTCATTTAAAGGAATTTTAAAATTATTTTTTTAAAAGGAATTTTCCCTTTTTTTTTAAGGAATTTTTAAAAGGGATTTTTTAGAAGGAATTTTTTAGAAGGAATTTTTTAGAAGGAATTTTTTAGAAGGAATTTCCTGCCAGCATCTGGAAGCCCACGCTCCTGGGGCTCAGCCTCTTCTGGGGCACCTCCAGCGCCCTGGGCTTCTGGGGAAAATGGGGAAAAATGGGGAAAAAACGGGGAAAAAACGGGGAAAAAAAATTAACATTTACTAGGGAGAAATGGGTGGAAAAAATTAAAATTTATTAGGGTGAAATTCCCACCCAGACCGGTGTAAATTGAATTTTTTTAAAGGAAATTCCTTATTTTAAATGAGATTTTTAAAGGAATTTTCATTCATTTAAAGGAATTTTAAAATTATTTTTTTTAAAAGGAATTTTTTAGAAGGAATTTCCTGCCAGCATCTGGAACCCCACGTTCCTGGGGTGCCTCTTCTGGGGCACCTCCAGCGCCCTGGGCTTCTGGGGAAAAATGGGCAAAAACGGGGAAAAATGGGGGAAAAAAAATTAACATTTACTAGGGAGAAATGGGTAAAAAAAATTAAAATTTATTAGGGTGAAATTCCCATCCAGACCAGTGTAAATTGGATTTTTTCAAAGGAAATTCCTTATTTTAAATGAGATTTTAAAGGGATTTTCTTTCATTTAAAGGAATTTTAAAATTATTTTTTTTAAAAGGAATTTTTTAGAAGGAATTTCCTGCCAGCATCTGGAACCCCACGTTCCTGGGGCTCAGCCTCTTCTGGGGCACCTCCAGCGCCCTGGGCTTCTGGGGAAACGGGGAAAAACAGGGAAAAAATGGGAAAAAAAAATTAACATTTACTAGGGAGAAATGGGTGAAAACATCTAAAATTTATTAGGGTGAAATTCCCATCCAGACCGGTGTAAATTGAATTTTTTTTAAAGGAAATTCCTTATTTTAAATGAGATTTTTAAAGGGATTTTCATTCATTTAAAGGAATTTTAAAATTATTTTTTAAAAGGAATTTTCCTTTTTTTTTAAGGAATTTTAAAATGATTTTTTAAAGGAATTTTTTAGAAGGAATTTCCTGCCAGCATCTGGAAGCCCACGTTCCTGGGGTGCCTCTTCTGGGGCACCTCCAGCGCCCTGGGATTCTGGGGAAAATGGGCAAAAACGGGGAAAAATGGGAAAAAAAAATTAACATTTACTAGGGAGAAATGGGTAAAAAAAATTAACATTTACTAGGGAGAAATGGGTGAAAAAAATTAAAATTTATTAGCGTGAAATTCCCATCCAGACCGGTGTAAATCGAATTTTTTTAAAGGAAATTCCTTATTTTAAATGAGATTTTTAAAGGAATTTTCATTCATTTAAAGGAATTTTAAAATTATTTTTTTTAAAGGAATTTTCCTTTTTTTTTTAAGGAATTTTTAAATGATTTTTTTTAAAAGGAATTTTTTAGAAGGAATTTCCTGCCAGCATCTGGAACCCCACATTCCTGGGACACCTCCACATCCTTGGGTTCCTGGGGAAAAAAACTTTAAAAATAAAGGAATTTATTAGGGTGGGACAGGGGCTGGTGAAATGGGTGAAATTCCCATCAGGATCAGTGTAAATTGATTTTTTTAAAGGAAATTCCCGACATTTAAAGGAATTTATAAAGAATTTTTTAAAAGGAATTTCCTTCATTTAAAGGAATTTTTAAAGGAGTTTTTTAAAGGAATTTCCTCACAGTAATTTCCTTCTTCAAAAGGAATTTTAAAATAAATTTTAAAAAATGAATTTCCTTCTTTCCAGATTGTTTTTTTTTCCCAAACCATTTCTCATTTTTGGTTGGATTTGGTGGCAGAAATGTGAATTTTTTACCTTTTTTTTCTTTGTGACAGGGCAGCCCCGGGGTCTGTCATAAGCAATCCTGACAGGTTCATGCACTGCAAGGCAAAAACCCACAAAATTCAGCTGGAAATCCAAATTCTTTTAGTAAAAAAAATCAATTTTTTCCTCCAAACAACAGCTAAAAATCCTCCAAAAATTCCGTCTCAAGCCTGGACCTAAAACAGAAGCAATAAGAAAAATTAAAGCAATAAAAAGATCAAAATTAATGAAAAAATTCAATATATTTGCAATTTAACAGAAATACATTGGCCCATAACAAATGATTTCTTCAGCTCATTTTTGTACCAAAAATGCCATTTTTAAGTGACAAAACACCTAAAAAAAAATCAGATTTTTTGCCCAAATCCTCATTTATCTCCGTATGAAATTTAACCCTTTCAGTGCCCGCTGACCTTGAGCTCAGACCCTTCAGGGACCTGGAGCTGAGTTTTGTATTGGAGAAATCATGGGGTTTTTAGGTGACAACACCCAAAAAATGGAAAAAATGGGGATTTTGGCCCAAATTCCATAGGGGATTTAACCCTTTCAGCACCCACTGACCTTTGGGCTCCTGGATGAGGCAGATCTGTTTGGGGGCCGGGATCAGGCCCACCCGCAGGCACTTGGAGCTGAACTTTGCACTGAACAAATGCCATGTTTTTAGTGACAATGCACCCAAAAGATGGGGATTTTGGCCCAAATTCCATAGGGGATTTAACCATTTCACTGCCAAGGGCCTTTCACACCCTTGGGCTCCTGGATGAGGCAGATCCTTTTGGGGCCTGCATCAGGCCCACCCTCAGGCACTTGGGCTGAACTTTGCATTGAACAAATCCCATGTTTTTAGTGACAATGCACCCAAAAGATGGGGATTTTGGCCCAAATTCCATAGGGGATTTTTGCCCAAATTCTGTTCAGGATTTAACCCCTTCAGCGCCCACTGACCTTTGGGCTCCTGGATGAGGCAGATCCTTCTGTGGGCCTGCATCAGGCCTACCCTCAGGGACTTGGAGCTGAATTTGCATTGAATAAATGCCATTTTTAAAGTGACAATGCACCCAAAAGATGGGGGTTTTTGCCCAAATTCCATAGGGGATTTAACCCCTTCGGCGCCCACTGACCTTTGGGCTCCTGGATGAGGCAGATCCGTTTGGGGGCCGGGATCAGGCCCACCCTCAGGCACTTGGGGCTGAACTTTGCATTGAACAAATGCCATTTTTGAAGCCACAACACCCCAAATTCCATAGGGGATTTTTGCCCAAATTCCATACAGAATTTAACCCTTTCACACCCACTGACCTTTGGGCTCCTGGATGAGGCAGATCTGTTTGGGGGCCGGGATCAGGCCCACCCGCTGGGACTTGGAGCTGAATTTGCACTGAACAAATGCCAGTTTTAAAGAGACAACACCCCAAATTCCATTCAGGATTTAACCCCTTCAGCACCCACTGACCTTTGGGCTCCTGGATGAGGCAGATCCGTTTGGGGGCCGGGATCAGGCCCACCCGCAGGCACTTGGAGCTGAACTTTGCATTGAACATATCCCATGTTTTTAGTGACAATGCACCCAAAAGATGGGGATTTTTGCCCAAATTCCATACAGAATTTAACCATTTCACTGCCATGCCCCCCTTGGGCTCCTGGATGAGGCAGATCCTTTTGGGGCCTGCATCAGGCCCACCCTCAGGCACTTGCGCTGAACTTTGCATTGAACAAATGCCATTTTTAAAGCCACAACACCCCAAATTCCATAGGGGATTTTTGCCCAAATTCCATAGGGGATTTTGGCCCAAATTCCGTTCAGGATTTAACCCCTTCAGCCCCCACTGACCTTTGGGCTCCTGGATGAGGCAGATCCGTTTGGGGGCCGGGATCAGGCCCACCCTCAAGGACTTGGAGCTGACGCGTTTGCGGGGGAAGCGCGCGCCGGGGCCCGGGCCGGGGGGTGCCTGTGTCGACAGAGTTGGGACAGCGCCGTCAGAGGGGCTGGAGAGCTGCGCGTCACCTCCTGACACCTCCTCTCCTGCCAGGGACACCACATCTTCCTCTAGCTTTGTCACCCTTCTACCTGCTGCCACGGCCTCCTCATCATCCTCATCCTCCTCATCAGCTGGGGAGGGCTCAAACTCAGCTGCTTCTTCTTCTTCCTCTTCTCCTTCCTCTTCTTCTTCTTCCTCTTCTTCCTCCTCTTCCTCCTCGTCCTCCTCGGTGTCCAGGGCTGTCCCTGCAGCCCTGGCAGCTTCTGCAGCCTCGGGGCTGAAGGTGATGGAGGGACACAGCTCCAGGACTTTCATGCGGTAGAACTTGAAGGCGGGGCTGGTTTGGTCCTGCAGGAACCTGGGGTGAGGAAAGGGGAGGTGAGGAATGAAAATGAGGGGGGAAAAGGGGAAAAATGAGGGGGAAAAAGGGGAAAAACGAGGGGGGAAAAGGGGAAAAACGAGGGGGGAAAAGGGGAAAAACGAGGGGGGAAAAGGGGGAAAAACGAGGGGGGAAAAGGGGGAAAAACGAGGGGGGAAAAGGGGGAAAAACGAGGGGGGAAATGAGGGGGAAAAACGAGGGGGGAAATGAGGGGGGAAAAGGGAGAAAATGAGGGGGGGAAAATGCAGGGGGGAAAAGGGGGAAAATGCAGGGAAATAAAGTCAAACATGCAGGGGAAATAAGGTAAAAAATCCAGGGAAATAAGGTCAAAAAGCCAGAGAAACAATATTGAAAATCCAGGGAAGATAAGGTCAAAAATGCAGGGGAAATAAGGTCAAAAAGCCAGAGAAACAGTATCAAAAATCCAGGAAGATAAGGCAAAAAATCCAGGGAAGATAAGGTCAAGAATGCAGGGGAAATAAAGTCAAAATGTCAGAGAAATATGGTGAAAAATCCAGGGGAAAGAAGGTCAAAAAGCCAGGGGAGATAAGGTCAAAAATCCAAGGAAAACAAGGTCCAAAAGCCAGGGGAAACAAGGTCAAAACTCCAGGGGAAATAAGGTCAAAAATCCAGAGAAATTAAGGTCAAATGAATTCATTGGAACCATCTTGAAAACTCCCAGTTTCAGGGTTGAGGTTGGTGATTAGGCTCAAAAGGAAATCAAGCTGATGATCAGAAATCAATATATTTCTGCAGAAATGTTTTATTTCCCCCGAGATATTTCAGACAGTCCCCATTAACGGAGGTGCTGGAGAACTGCCCCAAATCCCCAAAGTGTTCCTAAATGCCCAAAGGCAGGGATTGGAGCAGGACGGGGAGGGAGGGCAGGCACTCACCAGAGCTCGGGGTTATCTGCGCTGTTGTCAATGCTGAACTGCTCAATCTCTGGCCCTACCTGAGCCACAAACCTGGCCAGCTTCTCTGCAGTTTCCATGGTCCTGGCATCCACTGCAAGGGGCAAAACCTTCTGTGAAACAGGGCAGGGCAGCCGCGAGCTCCAGAGCCCAGGGTTACAGAAATGGGCTCTGGGGCCTTCAGCAGGACTTTTGTGGGTTGCAGCAGAAGTTTGGGTTTTTTCTGGACACGGTTTGAAACTCCCAACCTAACCCCAGATTGTTTTCCCTGCTATAATTCAAAATTCCCACATAACCTGTTTGGTTTTCCTGCTGTAATTTAACATCCCAGCTCTAACCCCGTGTTAGTTTGTTCCCTGCTATAGTTTAGATTCCCAATCCAACCCCATGTTAGTTTTTCCTGGACACAATGTTCCCAAAATTCCTGCTTGTTTTCCCCTGCTATAGTTCAAAATTCCCAATCCAACCCCATGTTAGTTTTTCCTGGACACAATGTTCCCAAAATTCCTGTTTGTTTCCCCTGCAATAACTGAAATCCCCAATCCAACCCCTGTTTCTTTTCCCTGTATATAATTTAAATCCCCAATCCAACCCCTGTTTGTTTTCCCTGGATATAACTGAAATCCCCAATCCAACCCCTGTTTCTTTTCCCTGTATATAACTGAAATCCCCAATCCAACCCCTGTTTGTTTTTCCCTGCTATAATTGAAATCCCCAATCCAACCCCTGTTTCTTTTCCCTGTATATAATTGAAATCCCCAATCTAACCCCACATTAGTTACTTTTTCCCCTGCTCCAATTAAAACCCCAAGTCCAGCCCCAGAGCCCCACTCACCATCAGCAAACTGCGATCCCAGTGCTGCGAGGGGCTCAGGATCTGCTGCCAAACCCTCGGCATCTGCTCTTCCCTCTGCTGCCACGGGCACCTGGGAGCTGCTGCTGGCACCTTGGGGGGCACAGGTGGCGCCCTGGGGGGCACAGGTGGCGCCTTGGGGGGCACAGGTGGGGCCCTGGGGGGCACAGGTGGCGCCTTGGGGGGCACAGGTGGGGCCCTGGGGGGCACAGGTGGAACCTTGGGGGGCACAGGTGGTGCCTTGGGGGGCACAGGTGGGGCCCTGGGGGGCACAGGTGGCACCTTGGGGGGCACAGGTGGCGCCCTGGGGGGCACAGGTGGGGCCTTGGGGGGCACAGGTGGCGCCAGGGCCAGGCTGGGCCAGGCCAGCCCCTGCACCGGGCGGGTTTTGCTGCGCCTGCTCCAGCCCTGGGCCAGCTGTAAGGCTCCTGTCTGGGTGTTCCAGCCCTGTCCCAGCTGACACATTTTGCTCTGGGTGTTTCATTCTTGTGCCAGCTGGGAGATTTTGGTGTGGCTGCTCCATTCCTGGGCCAGCTGGGAGATTTTGGTGTGGCTGCTCCAGCCCTGTGCCAGCTGGGACATTTTGCTCTGGGTGTTTCGTTCCTGTGCCAGCTGCAAGGTTTTGGTCTGGCCCTGTCCCAGCTGGGACATTTTGGCCTGGCTGTTTCAGCCCTGTGCCAGCTGACAGGTTTTGCTCTGGGTGTTTCATTCCTGTACCAACTGCAAGGTTTCTCTCTGGCTGTTTCATTCCTGTGCCAGCTGCAAGGTTTTGGTCTGGCCCTGTCCCAGCTGACAGATTTTGGTCAGGGTGCTCCATTCCTGTGCCAGCTGCAAGGTTTCTCTCTGGGTGCTTCATTCCTGTGCCCCCTGGAGCATTTTGCTCTGGGTGTTTCATTCCTGTCCCAGCTGACAGATTTTGCTCTGGCTGCTCCATTCCTGTGCCAGCTGACAGGTTTTGCTCTGGTTGCTCCATTCCTGTCCCTGCTGCAAGGTTTCTCTCTGGCTGTTTCATTCCTGTCCCAGCTGACAGGTTTTGCTCTGGCTGTTTCATTCCTGTCCCTGCTGCAAGGTTTCTCCCTGGCTGTTTCACTCCTGTGCCCCCTGGAGCATTTTTGCCTGGCTGTTTCATTCCTGTGCCCGCTGACAGCAGGGTCTGGGTGCCAGTGCTTGCCCTCCTCCCCTTCCTGGCACGGGCAGGGGCAAGCCCAGGTTTTTTTTTCCTCTTGAAAAGTCTCCTTTTGATGCTGGCCACCCTCCTGGCATAGAGCATGGCCCTCAGGGCCTCCGGGGCTGCTGCCTCCCCTGCCAGGCTGCTCCTCTGCACCTCCGACAGCCTCAGCCTGTAGTACTTGTACTCCAGGCTCTCCTGGTCACACAGGAACCTGAGAAACACAGAGAAATCTGGTTAAAATCTCAATATTTACAGCCTCAGCCTGTGATATGTGTACTCCAGGCTCTCCTGGTCACACAGGAACCTGAGAAACACAGGAAAAGGAAAAATCAGCTCAAAATCTCCATTATTACATCCTCTAAGATGTAAGTCTAAGTCTAAGATTTGTATTTCTTGTCACACAGGAACCTGAGAAACACAGGAAAAAAGGAGAAATCTGCTGGAATCTCCATTTTTACAGCCTCAGCCTGTAAGATTTGTCCTCCTCCTCAGACAGGAACCTGAGAACACAGGAAAAGGAGAGATCAGCTGAAAATCTCCGTTTTTGAAGTAAAACCCCCTCAGCATTCCCGTTTATTTTTCCAGGTGTTCAGCATGAGGCTGGGCAGGTTTTGCTGGGATCAAGGGAAGAAATAATTGACAGGAATCCATCAGCTCACACACCTGGAGCTGCCTCAGCTCCCCCTCTCCCAACATTTTCCCTGGAATTCTAAACCCTGGTACTGTGCTGGGTGTCTCCATCACCTGGATTTGCTCCTAAAATGCAAATTCCTTTGAACAGCTTGAATTTGGAACAACAGAGAGCCATTACTGACACATCAAAAGCAGCAACACAAGCACCAGGATCATTTCCAGGGATAATGAACACCAGGAAAACACTTCCCCCTAAAAAAAAATATTAAAAAACCCTAAAAATTTAAAAAAAAACAAACAACAACCAACCTAAAAAAATATACAACATGCTTTGATCATTCCCACGGAGCGAAGGGCTGAAGTTTTAATTAATTTAATCCAAATTTGCCAGCCAGTTCCCACACACCCACCAGTACTCAGGAGAGTTCTTCTGGGCACTCCTGTCCTTGGCAGACAAGGTTCCTGCCACGATGCTGCTCACCAGCTGCTCAATTGTGTCCAGAACCTTCCTGTCCGCTCGCTGGGGGGCTGTGGGGAGAGACAAATCCCATTAAAAACACCCCAGATAAATAAATACACAATAACTATATATATAAATCCCCCAAAAAGCAAAACTTTATTATTTATTAAAAACACCCTGGTTTAAAAAAACACATCCACAGCCATCCCAGGCGAGTGGAACCATCCCTAAAAAAGCAATTTCTTGATGCAGCAAAAGGAGTTTCTGTGGAAAATCAGTTTATGGGGATGCTGCTCTGAAGGGCTGGGTGACAAATTTCCAACCATTTGGTGCCAGTGCTGCAAAACCTCCCTGAGAAAGGATCTGAGGCTCAAGGAAAAAATCACTGGTTTAGGGAAGGGCAGGATGGATTCAGAATGTTTCAGGCAGGAGGGAGAACTCGCCCAGCTCAGGGATTTGGACATCTCCAAGGGACTGCACCTGGCTCTGAGTAGAGTGGTGATGGTGACAGCCCCAGATCTGCATATATGCAAATCTTTACTCTGCAATTAAGGCAGTTCCAGGTCCATCCTGGTTTCCCTGCCTTGAGGTGATGAAAGAGGGGTGAAAGGCTGGGATTTCAGAGAGGAAGAGAAGGAAGGACACGATTTCACCACAGCAACTCCAGCAGACTCCCTGTGGGCCTCCCCTGGGATCCCCTCCCTTAGCAAAGCACAGCAATGAGCCCCATCCTCCCCTGGGATCCCCTCCCTAAGCACAGCACAGCCATGAGCCCCGTCCTGCCCTGGGATCCCCTCCCTTAGCAAAGCACAGCCATGAGCCCCGTCCTGCAGGGCACCTCCCTCCCTAAGCACAGCACAGCAATGAGCCCCGTCCTGCAGGGCACCTCCCTAAGCACAGCAAAGCACAGCCATGAGCCCCATCCTCCCCTGGGATCCCCTCCCTAAGCACAGCACAGCCATGAGCCCCGTCCTGCAGGGCACCTCCCTCCCTTAGCAAAGCACAGCCATGAGCCCCGTCCTGCCCTGGGATCCCCTCCCTAAGCACAGCACAGCCATGAGCCCCATCCTCCCCTGGGATCCCCTCCCTAAGCACAGCACAGCCATGAGCCCCGTCCTGCCCTGGGATCCCCTCCCTAAGCACAGCACAGCCATGAGCCCCGTCCTGCAGGGCACCTCCCTCCCTTAGCAAAGCACAGCCATGAGCCCCATCCTGCAGGGCACCTCCCTCCCCGTTACCTCCGGGGCCGGGGGAGCCTGTTTGGAGCTGCTCCACGGGCGCTGCCTCTGCCTTCTTCATCTGGATGGGAAACCCGCTCCTCTCCAGCCAGGCCTTCAGGTTCTCGATGTACTCCCTCCCGAAGAGCGTGGAGTCGTCGAAGTTGGGGAAGGCTGTGGGTGCCGGGGCCATCTCCTGCAGCCCCACGGCCTCCAGGATCTTCTCCTGCCTGAAGACAGAGGCCAGGGCGAAGGTCTGGCCCAGCAGGGCCAGGGATTTCCTGCACAGGGACACGGTGGTCTCGAAGGCACCGGCCATTTCCCGGGGGTTGCCGAAGCCGCTGCTCTTGAGGCTCAGCTCGTAGGCGTTGCAGGCCATCAGCAGAGGGGTCACCCCCTTGAGGAGGCGGTCCTGCAGCCTCATGATGTACTTATCAAAAGGCTTGATGATCTCAAAGAAGCAGTTCTTGGTTTTGACGGCCCCCTTGTCCAGCAGCATGTTCAGGAACTCGTTGTCCACCTTGGGGGTTTTCAGGGCGGCGTGCTGCAGGCTCTTGATGGTGAAGAAGCAATAATCTCTGTGCTCTGGCCTCAGGGAGCACTTGAAGGAGGCCAGCATCTTGGCGCAGGTCTCGGTCTCCAGCTCGAAGAGGGCCCCGAAGAGCCGCGAGAACTCGGCGTCGTTCCTGATGCTGTGGAACCCGGCCCACTTGATGATCTCCATGCCGAAGGTGGAGAAGATGTCAGACTTGTCCACCAGGTCGAAGCTGAGGCTCCTGAAGGCGTGGGTGGGCTTTGGCGGCCTCAGGACGGCTCTGGGGGCCGCCGCGGGGTGCGGCTGGAGGGGCGCCGGCCTCTGCTCGGGGTGGGCAGCGCCTTCCAGAGGCGGCTCCAGAGCCTTGGCATCCAGCCCCGGCCGGGCCTTCTTCACGCTCCACTTCTTGAGGGGGCTTTTGAGGTCTGCTTTGAACGCCTTGGCCTTCGGCGCGCCCCTGCCGAGGCGTTTCCCCCTGAGCGCCCTGCCCCTGCCCACGCCTCCCCGGCGCGGCCGGAACTCGCCGTCCTCGGCCTCGTACTCGGGGCCCTCCACGCTGCCAAACTCCTCCTCCTCCATCAGCCCCGGGGACCTGAAATCCCCCAGGAGCTCCGGGGAGCCAAACCCCGCTGCTGCGCGCTGCCCGCCGGCCTCCCAGCCCCCCGAGGGGCCGTAGTCCCGGTGCTCCCGCTGCCCGTACTCCCGCTGCCCGTGGGGAGCGGGGTGGTGCCCAAACTCCCTGCTGGCGCCAAACCTCCTGTGATCCTGGCCAAACTCCCGCTCCCGGGGCGCGGGCCGGGAGAAATGTCCGTGGAAATAATTCTCCTTGCGGGGCAGGGGGCTGGCGGCGCGGTAGGAAGGGCCGGGGTAACTCTCCCCGGGGTAACTCTCCCCCGGATAATCCTCCCTGGGGTAGATTTCCCCGGGGTAATCCTCCCCAGGGTAGCTCTCCCCGGGGTAATCCTCCCCCGGATAATCCTCCCCGGGGTAGCTCTCCCCAGGGTAATCCTCCCCGGGCTCCTGGCTCCAGTCCTGGTGCTGGCAGTTGGCGTGAGGGAAGCGCCCGTCGTGCTGGAAGCTCTCGCTGTAGCGGGGCCGGGGCAGCCGGGAGGGAGCTGGGCAGAGAAATTCAATCAGAGGGTGAAAAGGGTCAAAACGGGGAGATTCATGAGGGAAATCCACATCAGCACGTTCCCAACCCCATGTTCCGGTCCCTAGGATGAGGAGCTCAAGTTCTCCTCCAAATCAAGTTTTTCTTTCTCAAGCCTTGGTCTTCTACCTGAGGCACAAAAACCACCAGAACTCTGAACTTTCAGCTTTCCCAGAATTTATAAATTGTCAAAGACCTCCAAGACCAGCAACTCCAAGCTTTGGCCAATCCCCACCTTGCCACCCAGCCCAGAATTCCCATTCCACACCTGGACAGGAACTCGGGTTTTCTACAAACTCAACCACAATTCTCTCATTATTGCAGGAAATTCTCATTTTCCAAGACCCTTGTTCCCCAATCCCAGAGGTTCAATTCAGAAAGTAAAGAATACTTGGAAAAAAAAAAAAATGAAGTGTTTAATATGAATGATTTCTTCGGGGCTCATGCAACTCTAAAAATAACCAGACTTCACTTTAAAGCTCTCCTGTGAATGTCCATCCCTCTGAATGCAACTCAAGTGTCCTGCTGGACATTTTACATCCCAAATTTAGGAGGTAAAACAATCCCAAATTTAGGAGGCAAACCAATTGGGGACCATGTTTTGTGTTATGTTCATGAGGTCAATGCCCTGCTTTGAGCTTTTTTCCCCCAAAAATAACACCAAGCACAAAGAGCCAAAGGCTTCCATGGCACTCCTACATTTATTTAACTCCTCGGCCATCACCAGAATTCCATCCTGCAGCCCTGGAGACCCGCCTGGAACCGGACCCACTCTGCGATGCTGAAGACAATTCCTTTGTCTCAATTCCCATTTTTTATCCCCGTTACGGTGCCAGTCCTTGCCCAGCTGTTCTCCTGCCTCTTCCATAAAAACGGATGTGGAAAAACACCGGCGCCAGGCCAATAAATAAATAAATTAATAAATGAATGAATCAATAAATGGCAGGCGCTGCCGGGCTGCTCCCGCCATCCCGGCTCTCCTACCTGGGAAACGATGGCCGGGATCCCCCGCGGCACCGCTCCGGTACCGCTTCACCTTGTCCTGCACCACGGCCTCGAACGTGTCGCGGGTGATCCTCCGAGAGGCCATCTTCCCCTCACGGCACCGGGGCTCGGCCTGCCGCGGGCCCGGGCTCCCGCCGCGGCCTGAGGGGAGGCGCAGCCTGAGGGGAGCCTCACAGCTTCCCCGCCGCCCCCCGCGCAGCGCCGGGAGGAGGAACCGGAGCCCGAGCCCGGCCCGCCCTCACCGAAGCGGCCCCGGCGCCGCCGCCGCCGCCTCCCGCCACACCGGGGCCTCACGATGGCCACGCCCCCTCCGCCGGTAGACACACCCCTCCCGTTAATGGCCACGCCCCTCCCGCCGCTCCCGGGGCTCACGGACACCGCGGGTGGTCACGCCCCCTTCTAGCCCACGCCCCCTCCCGGTATAACCACGCCTTTCCTTCACACGGGCCACGCCTCCTCATGCGTTAACCACACCCCCGCGTCCCGCCCCCTCCCGCCGCGCCTGCGCTGCGCGGAGCCGTCTGATCCCGTGCCGGCGGGCGCGGGGCGGTACTAACGGTGCGGGGCGCTGCCGGTAAGCGGGACGGGAGCGAGGGGAGCGGCCCGCGGCCTCCCGCTCTGAGGGAGCCACCGCTGCCCTGCGGGCGCGCCCGGGCACGCTGCACCTACTGCGCGTGCGTGGGAGCGGCCGGGCGCGGGAGCCGCGCGCGTGCGCGTTGCCGCCCCTCCGCGTTCTTTTTCGCTCGGCGTGAGGGCGAGCGGTGCGAATTGGGGCCATGGTGCATGCGCAGAGAGCGCGTACGGCGGCCGAGCGGGGCCGTCCCGCCCTCGCCTTTTGTGCGGCGGGGGCGGCCGGCGGGAGCCCAGGTGGGTCGTGGGGGGCAGCGGGGCCGCGGGTGCGCCCCGGAGCTCCCCTGGCACCGCCGCCTCCCTTCGGGGCTCTCTCCGCGTCTGTGGGAGCTGCGGGGCTCGCTGAGGGGTGTGGGATGCTCGGGGGAAGCGGGGCAGGGCGGGCCGAGGGCCGGGGCCGTGAGCGGGCGCGGTGCCCTCAGTGCTGCAGCGAGAGCCCCGTCACGGTGACAGCTCTGAAACCCCATGGAAATCCAGAACTGCTGCTGAAATGTCTTCTTATCCCTCTTCCCTGCCGTGTTTTCCCCGTTAAATAAAACACCGGCCGTGCCTTTGACCGGGGATCTTTGATTCAGAGTTCTGAGCCTTTGTCTCGGGGAGGAACCAGCCCCTCGCTCGGGCTCTGCCGGGCATTAGGAGGTTTTACACCAACACGAGCTGTGCCTGTGTCAGCAGCAGGACACGGAGGCGGATCCAGCCCGTGCCGGCACCATGGGCTCCAAGCAGATCGCCCAGGAGACGTTCGATGAGGCGGTGCAGGAGAACATCACCGAGTTCGAGATGGAGCCCGAGGAGGGCTGTGAGGGAAGCCGTGCTGCAGTTCGAGTCCCAAGGTACCGTGCACTCTGCAAGCTGGGCTCTTGCAAATCCTCAGGGTTTAAAGGAGTCCTGCAGGCAGGGGTGGGTCGTGCAGCATTGGAAAGGAGCCTTTGTGAAGTGGAACAGAGACACCATTAATGCTGACCTGCTTTTGTGGATTAATTATGACTGCAAAGCCGCTTAGAGGGAAGCTGGAGGGCAAAATTTGGTCGGTGAAATAAAATTCCTTCTTTTTTTTCCTCTCAACTGACATCTAGCTTTGTTCAAGGCAGAATCTGACCTTACAGTCAGAATTGAACATTTCGGCGTCTTTACAAGTTCATCTTTGTTTTCTGTGGTTACCTTTGCAGCTTTTCCCTAGAACTGGAACTAATACTGTTTATTTGACTCCAGTTATTCTGGAGCCAGTATTAAACTTGGTTTTATTTCCTTCTTTTAGGTGTGGACCTGAGCAACATTGTGAAAGCTGTGAGACCTCCTGCCTCTGAGAACGGGCAGAGGCAAAAACATCAAATCCTGCTGGTAGGAGCACAGATTGCTGCTCTCTCTCTCTCTCTCTCTCAGGGTTATATAATAATAATAATAATAGTAATATAAGTACTAGGCCAACTTCTGCCTCTGCCCCATTTCTCTGGGAGCTCTTCAGGCAGTTAATCCTATTTATTGTGCAAGTATAAAGCATTCCAAGAGCTCCTTGCACTTTGCAGGGAAGGCTCTGTGTAGGTGAGGGGGGGTCAGGCTCTGCTCCCAGGGCAGGACAGGAGGGAGCAGCCTCCAGGTGTGCCAGGGGAGGCTCAGGTGGGACTTCAGGAGGGATTTCCTCGTGGGGAGGGTGCTCAGGGCTGCCCATCCCTGGAGGTGTCCCGTGGGTGACAGGATGGGGACACGCTGGGGATCAGCCCCACTTAGCCCAGGCTGCTCCCAGCTCTGTCCAGCGTGGCTGTGGATCCTTCCAGAGCTGGAATGAGCTGGTTAAAGCCAGTTCAGCTGGTACTGGTGCCCAGTGGGGCTGTGGCAGTGGTGGCACGGGGAGCCCCCGTCCCTCTGGGGGTTGCGTGTACAGATCCCAAACACCATAAACGGCGCAACCGCCGCTCCCCTTACCCCGAAGCAGTTTCCAGCCTCAGAACCCCCGCCCCGCTGTTCCCCTCGCACGGCCGGGGTGCAGCACTGACCCTCGGTGTGTCTCAGACGCTGGAGAGCCTGGCGGGGGCCGTGGCGGAGCGGGACGCGGCGCGGCTGCCGCAGGCGCTGGCGGCGCTGGCGGCGCAGTGCAGGGAGCAGCTGGCCTTGCGCTGCCTGGCCGGCCGCCACGGCGCCTACCCCGCCGTGCTGTCGGCCTGCCGGCTGGCCGCGGGGGACAGGCAGCTGCTGCTGCAGGCCCTGGGCGCGCTGGCCGCCCTGCTGGACGGGCAGCCCGACCTGCTGGACGCCGCGGGGCGGGAGCTGCTGCTGCGCAGCCTGCGGGAGCGGCACCCAGGACGCCGAGGTGACGCTGGCCGGGATCCGCTGCGTGCGCCACGCCTGCCTCAAGCACGAGCACAACCGGCAGGCCTTGGTCAGGGGCGGCGTCCTCGCCGTGCTCACCGGGGCCATCGCCCGGCACGGCAGCGCCGCGGAGGCTGGTCAGGACGGCGGCTTCGGCCCTCAGGGTCATGACCTTCGATGATGACATCCGGGTGCCCTTTGGGCACGCCCACCGACCACGCCAAGATGATCGTGCTGGAGAACGATGGCTTGAGAGTCCTCATCGAGGCTGCTAAAGGTAAAAGGGACCCTGGGGCGCTTGGTCCTCATGGGGAAGCCCCTGGGATTGCTTCTCATTGGCTCAGGAATCACGTGTGGCTTCTTCTCGGAATCACTTGGGATTTCTTCTCCCATTGGTTCAGGAATCACTTGGGATTTCTTCTCCCATTGTCTCAGAAATCACTCGTGATTTCTTCTCATTGTCTCAGGAATCACTTGGGATTCTTCTCAGGAATCACTTGGGATTTCTTCTCCCATTGTCTCAGGAATCCCTTGTGATTTCTTCTCAGAATCACTCGTGATTTCTTCTTCCCATTCGTCTCAGAAATCACTCGTGATTTCTTCTCATGTCTCAGGAATCACTTGTGATTTCTTCTCAGGAAATCACTTGGGATTTCTTCTCCCATTGGTTCAGGAATCACTTGGGATTTCTTCTCCCATTGGTTCAGGAATCACTTGGGATTCTTCTCATTGTCTCAGGAATCACTTGTGGCTTCTCTTCAGGAATCCCTTGTGATTTCTTCTGCCATTGGCTCAGGAACCCCCTGTGATTTCTCTTCTCCTATCCTCTGATTTCTTCTCTCATTGTCGTAACTTGAAGCTCCTCGGAGATGATTCAAGAATTTGCCACCAAATGGGGTTTAGTTCTCTCCATGAGATGTGCCCTGAGAGAGCCAAAAAGTGCCCCCTGTGGTGCTGCTGATAGCCTGTGGGGCAGTCAGATGATCAGGGCAGTTTTTCAGTGTATTTAGGAAGTGTTTCACAGGCTAGGGCCCTCTTGTCCCTGCTCAGCTGCTTCTTGCCCAGAGAAGTCGTTGTGAGCAGAGTGAGCAGCTGTCACCTCCCCTGCTCTAACACACAAAACAAAATGCAACTGTTTCCTGTGTAGTTAACCCAGGCAAACCCTGTTAATTGTGCAGTAATGGCTCCATCCCTCTCTCCTGCACAGCCTTCACGGATAACTCCGCGGTTCTCAGCGAGCTCTGTGCCACCCTCGCTCGCCTCTCCGTCAGGAATGAGTTCTGCCAGGAGATCGTGGACCTGGGGGGCTTGAATTTCATGGTGACTCTGCTGGCCGACTGCATGGAGCACCCTGTGAGCAGTGGGAGTGCCTGGGGATGGGCTGGGGGGACACTCATCCTCAGCAGGGGGGTCCTGTCAGTGAGTGAGCCCCAGCCTGTGCTGTTGTCTGGGTTCCCAGATGCAGGAGGAATGAAGGAATCCGACCCCGTGTTCTTAGAAGGCTGTTTTATTATTTTATGGTCTATATTATGTTAAAGAATGCTGTACTAAAACTATACTAAAGAACAGAGAAAGGATATGGACAGAAGGCTACAAAGAATGGGAATGAAAACCCCTGACTCCTTCCAGAGTCCGACACAGCCTGACCCTGATTGGTCATTAAGTAAAAACAATTCACATATTGGATAAACAATCTCCAACCACCTTCCAAAGCAGCAAAACCCAGGAGAAGCAATCAGATAATTATTGTTTCCTTTTCCTCTGAGGCTTCTCAGCTTCCCAGGAGAAGAAATCCTGGCAGAGAGATTTTTCCAGAAAATGTGACAGTGGCACTCTGCCTGCTCCCAGCAAAGCTGGATGATTGGGTTTAGATTTAGATGCTCGAGTCCCAAGGTTGATGTCTGGTTTTTTAAGCCTCGCTGATGGTCTGGCAGAGGTGCCCAAGGTGCAAGGAAGTGACCGACGGTGGAGGTTTTGCAGCTGACAATTACCACAGCCATTTCCAGGGGATGGGGGCTGCTGTGCTTTGCTCTCTGCGCCCCCAGCTCTCTGTGCCGCTTCCTGAGCTGCCGTTTCTCCCCGGGGCAGGACGTGGTGAGGCAGGTGCTCGGCGCCATCCGCGCCGTGGCCGGCAACGACGACGTCAAGGACGCCATCGTGGAGGCCGGGGCCACCGAGCTGATCGTGCTGGCCATCAGCCACCACCTGGGCCAGCCTCAGGTACCCCCGGGCCCTGGCAGCTCCCTCGGGGTGGGCAGGGGGCTCAGGGATGTGCAGTGACCCTGAGCTTGGCTGCAGCGTCCAACGTTTGTGTGAATTTAGGGGTTTCCCACCTCGTAGTGTTTTGTTTTTCTTATTCCTGAATCAGACGGATGGTGGGGATGGTGGTTTACACCTCTGGCGTGCAAAACACACAATTATGAAGGTTGGGAATATCTCTAAGATCGTAATTCCAACCCTCCCCTTGCGTTACGTGCCAGAGCAGCAGGAGGCCGCGGCGGGAGAAACTTCAAAACAATAAAAACAACTCCCAAAGTGCCATAGCAGGAAAGAAAGGGCACTGAGCTGTGGCTGCAGGGCGGTCAGCAGGCAGCGAGCAGCGAGCTGACTCCCGTGTGTTGCAGATCTGCGAGCAGGGCTGTGCAGCCCTGTGCATGCTGGCCCTGCGCAAGCCCGAGAACTGCAGCGTCATCATGGAGGGCGGCGGGGCCCTGGCAGCCCTGCAGGCCATGAAGGCTCACCCAGGGGAGGTGGCTGTGCAGGTGGGTCCCCACAGCCCTGCGGGAGCAGGCAGGGCTGTTCTGGGAGCCCTGGGCTTCCCCGGAAACCCTCTGAGCCCTGGGCTTGCCTGCAAAGCCCACTGACCCCATGGTGCCCTGCAGACCCCAGTGACCCCTGGGCTTCCCTAAAAACCCACTGACCCCTGGGCTTCCCTAAATACCCACTGACCCCATGGTGCCCTACAGACCCCAGTGACCCCTGGGCTTCCCTAAAAACCCCTGGACTTCCCTAAAAACCCACTGACCCCATGGTTCCCTACAGACCCCACTGACCCCTGGGCTTCCCTATAAATCCCACTGACCCCTGGGCTTCCCTATAAAACCCACTGACCCCTGGGCTTCCCTATAAAACCCACTGACCCCATGGTGCCCTACAGACCCCAGTGACCCTTGGGCTTCCCTCAGGAATCCACTGACCTCCCTGCAGCCCCCAGTGACCCCATGGCTCCCAGTGCCCCCTGTGCCTCCCTGCAGACCCCAGTGCTCCCATATCTGTCTGTCTGTCTGTCTGTGTCTGTGTGTCCCCAGAAGCAGGCGTGCATGCTGATCCGGAACCTGGTGTCACGCAGCCGGGAGCTGTGACCGCCATGGCTCCCTGCAGCCCCAGTGACCCCGTGTCTGTCTGTCTGTCTGTCTGTGTGTCTGTCCGTCCCCAGAAGCAGGCGTGCATGCTGATCCGGAACCTGGTGTCGCGCAGCCGGGAGCTGTGGCTGCCATGGCTCCCTGCAGAGCCCCCAGTGACCCCGTGTCTGTCTGTCTGTCTGTCTGTGTGTCTGTCCCCAGAAGCAGGCGTGCATGCTGATCCGGAACCTGGTGTCGCGCAGCCGGGAGCTGTGGCTGCCATGGCTCCCTGCAGCCCCAGTGACCCCGTGTCTGTCTGTCTGTGTGTCTGTGTGTCCCCAGAAGCAGGCGTGCATGCTGATCCGGAACCTGGTGTCGCGCAGCCGGGAGCTGTGGCTGCCATGGCTCCCTGCAGCCCCAGTGACCCCCTGTCTGTCTGTCTGTCTGTCTGTGTGTCTGTGTCTGTCCCCAGAAGCAGGCGTGCATGCTGATCCGGAACCTGGTGTCGCGCAGCCGGGAGCTGTGACCCCCATGGTTCCCCGCAGCCCCCAGTGACCCCGTGTCCGTCTGTCTGTCTGTCTGTGTGTCTGTCCGTCCCCAGAAGCAGGCGTGCATGCTGATCCGGAACCTGGTGTCGCGCAGCCGGGAGCTGTGGCTGCCATGGCTCCCTGCAGCCCCCAGTGACCCCATGTCTGTCTGTGTGTCTGTCTGTCTGTCCCCAGAAGCAGGCGTGCATGCTGATCCGGAACCTGGTGTCGCGCAGCCGGGAGCTGTGCGGGCCCATCCTGGCGCTGGGTGCCGAGGGCCTGATCGCCGAGGCGCGCGCCGCCCACCGCGACTGCGACGACGTGGCCAGGGCTGCGCTCAGGGACCTGGGCTGCAAGGTGGAGCTGCGGGAGCTGTGGACGGGCCAGAAGGGCGGCCTGGCGCAGTGAGGCCTCCTGCCAGCCGCCGGGGAAGCTGCGGAGCCTGAGGGAGGCGGCCTCGGGCGGCTCTGCCCCACGGAGCAAACCCCGCCTGGGGAGGCTGCAGGGAACCCGGGGAGCTGCAGCTGAAATGGCTTCCTGCATTCACAGCCTGCAAACCAGCTCTGTGTAGTGACCATCGCCTGGATCATCTCATGGCTGAGGATGATCTGCTCCCCCGGGCTGCAGGACGGGGCTGCTGTCGCTGCCCTGGTGACAGCAGGGCTGCCTCTGTCCTGCCCACCTTGGCTGCTGGTTCCCATCTGTGCCCCTGCTCAGGGGCTGCGTGGGGAGGAATCCCAGCATTTGTGAATGTGCTCTCCCTGCCCCGTTGCCCTGTTCTTTTACTGCTGACCCCACTCTTGTGTCGCTGCTTTGTTTGGGATTTTCTGCCAGCGTAACGTTTTAAACAAAAACAAAAAACCACAAAAAAATAAGAAAAGAAAAAAAGGCAAAGTAAGGATTTGGGATAACATCCAAAGGAACTGTTGGCATCCAGGAGGAAAGTTCACGTTCTCCCTCAGCGAGAGAAGCAGGGCAGGGACTGGCAGAGGGGTGGGAATTCCAAAGTGTGACCAAGCAGGCACTGGTGCCACTGGGAGTCCCAGGCTTTGTCCCCTCCTGGCACTGCCCTGGATCCAGGAATGTTTTCATTGCAGTGAAGGGGCCAAGAACCTCGCGGACTGAGGCAGAACTCTGGGTTTGTGGGCCAGAAAGGCTCTGAAGCCTCAGCTCAAGGCTCTGGTGCTGCGCCTTCCTCCTGTACCGCTGCCAGTTTTGTGAGTGGATGTTTTTAATGTGATATTCTCTGTAAAAATGGTGACCTTATAAAGCACACAAACCTTCCGTGGCTGCGTGGCTCTTTGTGGAGCTTTTTGTGTGGCAGGGAAAGCGAGGGGCAGGGAGATGCCTGGGTGCTGCATGAGGCCAGCGCATTGCAAAGGTCAGGGTGCTCCCCGTGCAGGAGCAGAGGCCGCGGCGCTTTGGGCGCCGCTCTGACCCAGCGAGGCTGGAAGGGCCCCAGAGAGGGGGCGAGAGCTGGGGAGAACCGAGGGCAGCGGGTTGGGTGCAGCCCGGGGCTCCCGAGCTTTGCCGTGCGGGTGGCTTTGGGGTGGGGAGAGCAGCCCCAAAGGCCGGGGGAGGATCAAACCCGCGGGATTTCATTTCCTTCACCTTTGACCGAGAGCTGCTGGAGCCGAGTTCTCACCGCCGCTGCCGCGGGGACCGGGCAGAGCCGCTGCTGTCCCCAGCGGGGCCGTGCTGGACAGCGGAGCCGGCGGCATCCCCGGGATGGGAGCCCCGGGCGCTCCCCGGTGGCAACGGGCGGCATTGTCGCTCCTCGAGCCGGGCACTCGCCGGGGTCTCCGGGCGAGCTCTTTGGGCTCCCCGTGGGGCCGTTCGGGATCCCCGGTCGGGCTGTTCGGGCTCCCGGCGGGGCCATTCAGAGTCCCGGGCAGTCCCGGCGGGGCCGTTCGGGGTGCCCCGGTGCCGTTCGCTGTCCCGGGCAGTCCCGGCGGGGCCGTTCGCTGTCCCGGGCACTCCCCCGGTGCTGTTCGGGGTGCCTTGGGGCCGTTCGCTGTCCCGGGCAGTCCCGGCGGGGCCGTTCGGGGTGCCCTGGGGCCGTTCGCTGTCCCGCGCACTCCCCCGGTGCCGTTCGCTGTCCCGGGCAGTCCCGGCGGGGCCGTTCGGGCTGCCCTGGGGCCGTTCGGGGTGCCCCGGTGCCGTTCGCTGTCCCGGGCAGTCCCGGCGGGGCCGTTCGGGGTGCCCCGGTGCCGTTCGCTGTTCCGGGCAGTCCCGGCGGTGCCGTTCGGGCTGCCCTGGGGCCGTTCGGGGTGCCCCGGTGCCGTTCGCTGTCCCGGGCAGTCCCGGCGGTGCCGTTCGGGCTGCCCTGGGGCCGTTCGGGGTGCCCCGGTGCCGTTCGCTGTCCCGGGCAGTCCCGGCGGTGCCGTTCGGGCTGCCCTGGGGCCGTTCGGGGTGCCCCGGTGCCGTTCGCTGTCCCGCGCACTCCCCCGGGCCCGGCCGCGCTCCCCGCCCCCGCACCGAGCGCTCCCCGCCCGCCCCGTGCCGCTACGGCCGCCCCGCCTCTTGCCGCGCCCCTCCTTCATCCATTGGCCGTCTCATCTGTCAATCCTCGCCGCGAAGCGAATCCTTGCGCACGGAGCTCCGCCCCCGCCGCGCCGATTGGCCGCGCCCCGAGGCGGGCCCCGCCTCCCGCGACGCAGCGGGGGCGGCCTGGCGGCGGCGGCGGACGCGGCCGGGGCGGACGCGCAGCGGAGCCGGTGAGTGCGGGACGGGCCGGGGCGGCCCCGCCGCCGGCGCTGACGCGGCCCCGCGGCCCCGGTCCCGCGGCCCGGCTGCCGAGGCCCGCCCGGCCCGCGCGTTGCGGCGGCGCGAGGCCCCGGGTGACATTGGCGCGGCCTCCCGCGGGGTCACCCCGTGCCGGCCGGGCCCGCGGGCAGCGCCCGGGACACCGAGCGCCGCTCGTTCGGCGGCCGCCTCGGTGCGCTCGGGAGAGCGGGGCCGGCCTTGGCTGCGTTCGCTCCGGGCTGCGGCCCCCGCGGGAGGCCCGGCCCGGGCTGCGGGAGCGCTCCCGGCGGGGCTGAGCGAGGGCTGCGCTTCCCCTGCTCCCTTTGCCCCCTGCTCCCTTTCCCCCCTGCTCCCTTTCCCCCTGCTCCCTTTTCCCCCTGCTCCCTTTCCCCCCTGCTCCCTTTCCCCCCTGCTCCCTTTGCCCCCTGCTCCCTTTGCCCCCTGCTCCCTTTCCCCCCTGCTCCTTTTCCCCCTGCTCCCTTTGCCCCCTGCTCCCTTTCCCCCCTGCTCCCTTTTCCCCCCTGCTCCTTTTCCCCCCTGCTCCCTTTTGCCCCCTGCTCCCTTTCCCCCCTGCTCCCTTTCCCCCCTGCTCCTTTCCCCCTGCTCCCTTTCCCCCCCTGCTCCCTTTCCCGTCCTTCTTCCTTGCTCTTTTCCTCTGCTCCTTTTCCCCTGCTTTCCTCCTTCGTTCCTTTCCCTGCTCCTTTTCCCCTGCTTTCCTCCTTGCTCCTTTCCCCCCTGTTTTTCCCTGCCCGCTTTCCCCACCTGTTCTCTGTTTCCCTGCCTGTTTCCCTGCCTTCCCAGCCCCTGCTTTCCCTGCTTCCCACACTTTCCTGGCCCCAGCCTGCCCTGCTCCCGCCTTGCCAGCCCCTCTCCATGCCCTGCCACCTTCCCAGCGTGTCCCACTGTGTCCCAGTGTCCCTTTTCCTTCCAGTGTGTCCCAGTGTCCGTTTTCGTTCCCGGCGTGTCCCACTGTGTCCCTTCTCATTCCCGGTCTGTCCCAGTGTCCCTTTTTCTTCGCAGCGTGTCCCAGTGTTCCTCTCTGTGCCCTGCCACCTTCCCGGCGTGTCCCAGTGTGTCCCACTGTCCCTTTTCCTTCCCTGTCCCTTTTCCTTCCCAGCCTGTCCCCGTGTCCCTTTTCCTGCCCTGCCACCCCCGTGTCCCTTTTCCTGCCCTGCCGCCTTCCCTCTGTGCCCGCCTCTGTTCCCCTCCCGCCCCAGACGATAAATGGGATTATTTTATTTTTATTTTTCTTGTTCATTTCAATGCCCCGAAGCTGAAATTGCAGCCCAGGGAAGTTTCTGCGCTGCCGCGGGACAGACGCGGGGCACGGCGGGGATCTCCCCTGCGCAGGGGGTGTGAAAATGAGATTATTTGCAATTAAAAGAGCCAAAAGCTTCGCGCAGTTCCCTGCTCTGCCTTCCCAGGAGCTCCTGGCTGGGTTCGGAGCTGCCAGGGTACAGAGAGAGCTGGGAACGCTGGAACTGCCCCAGCCCGTGCGGAGCGGAATTGGCTGAGGGCCCCCAAACCCTGCGGCTGGGCTGCCCGGGATGTGCTTTGGGTCCTGATGAGTTTTTCCCCATTTTTTGTGTGTCTTTATGGCATTTTTTCCCATTTTTTGTGTGTCTTTATGAGTTTTTTCCCCATTCTTTCTCCATTTTTTTCTGTGTCTTTATGGATTGTTTCCCCATTTTTTGTGTGTGTTGATGGATTTTTCCCCCCCATATTTTAATGTATGTTGATGGACTTTCCGTACTTTTTGTGTGGCTTTATGGATTTTCCCCCTTTTTTCTGTGTCCTTATGGACTTTCCGTACTTTTTGTGTGTCTTTATGGATTTTCCCCCTTTTTTTCTGTGTCCTTATGGACTTTCCATACTTTTTGTGTGTCTTTATGGATTTTCCCCCTTTTTTTCTGTCTCTTTATGGATTTTCCCCCTTTTTTTCTGTCTCTTTATGGATTTTCCCCCTTTTTTGTGGGTGTTTATGGGGTTTTTTCCTTCTGCCTGCCGGTTTGGAGCGGCTTTGAAGCTGCATCACATTGAGCCTGTGTGTGTGTGTGGGTTTGGCTGCTCCTGCCGTGGTTCGGGTCCATTTCTGGAGCATTTTCACAACGTCCCGAGGTTTTCAACAGCTCCGGGCTGGAGCAGAGCAGGAAAACCCTGAGGGAGGAGAGGCTGCGGCCAGGCTTGGGCCAATCCCAGCCCAGGAATTCAGAATAACCATGGCTGGGTTCAGGCCCCTCAGCGTCTGCAGATCCTGTTCCGTTCTCAATTTTTATTTAATTTTATTTTTATTTATTTTTATTTTATCTTTATTTTTATTTTATCTTTATTTTTATTTTATCTTTATTTTTATTTTATCTTTATTTTTATTTTATCTTTATTTTCCCTAACCGGGACCTGAGGAAAGAGGGGCTGGGGCTGTGCTGGGGTTGGATTTCAGCAGGAATGCTCTGACAAGGGAATTTGGCAACCCAAAGAATTTCATTGAGGATTTAATATTTTTATTTTTATTTTTTTATTTTATTTTTTTTATTTTATTTTTTTTAATTTTATTTTTAATTTTATTTTTAATTTTATTTTTTATTTTATTTTTTATTTTATTTTTTATTTTATTTTTTATTTTATTTTTTTTTATTTTTATTCTATTTTCATTTTATTTTATTTTTATATTTATTTTATTTATTTTATTTTATTTTTTAATTATTTTATTTTATTTTTTATTTTATATTTTATTTTATTTTTTTTTATTTTATTTTTTATATTTTATTTTATTTTATTTTATTTCATTTCATTTCATTTCTGGCCTGCCCTGCCCTGCTCCAGGTGGTTTTGGTGTGACAGATTTGGCTTCAGGAGGTTGCACAAAGCTCCAAGCAGGGCCCTGGGCTGGGATGGGTTTGGTACAGGTCAGACAGGTTTCTGGCAGGAAAATAAAAAATAAAACCCTCAGGAGCCAGGAGTTATTTTGGTTTTGAGTCACTTTGCTGCTACTTGGAGGAAGATTTATTCTGATTTTTCCTTTTTTTTCACTCTAAAAAGTGAATAGAAAAATTGATATTTTTTTTTTGTGAATGAATTCTGTTTTATGTTTATTATGAATAACAGCAATTGTGCTGCCTGATTTTCCAGAAAATAATCAAACTTAAAATTTAAAAGCAACTTTTTGGACCTCAGGGAGGGGTTGGGGTTGGGTTTGTTTTTTTTTTTTTCTTGGAAAAAGAAGAATTGTTGGTGCTGGGAGAGCTGTGCCCTCCCTGAGATAAAACAGCTGCTGATAAGGGCAGGAGGGCAGAGCCCTGGGGTCCCTCTGCTGGCCCCAAACCCCTGGGGAAAAATGGGAATAATCACAAAAATGGGAATAACCTGAATGATGGGAATAACCTGAATAATCAGAATGATGGGAATAATCAGAATAATCAGAATATTGGGAATAATCCGAATAATCAGAATAATGGGAATAATCTGAATAATCAGGGTTCCATTGCCAGGGTTCCCTCTGCTGGCTCCCAAATTCCTGCAGAAAATGGGAATAATTTGAATAATCTGAATGATGGGAATAATCTGAATAACCAGAATAATGGGGATCATCAGAATAATCTGAATAATGGGAATAACCTGAATAATTGCTCAGGGTTCCCTTGCCAGGGTTCCCTCTGCTGGCCCCAAACCCCTGGGAAAATGGGAATAATGGGAATAATCACAAAAATGGGAATAATCAGAATAATGGGAATAATCTGAATAACCAGAATAATGGGGATGATCAGAATAATCCCTCTGTGTTCCCTTGCCAGGGTTCCCTCTGCTGGGTCACAGCTCGCTGGGAAAAATGGGAATAATCAGAATAATCCGAATAATTGCTCTTTGGCTGTGTGAAGGAATTTGGGCTGTGTGAAGGAGCAATTATTCTGATTGTTCCCGTTATTCTGATTGTTCCCGTTATTCTGATTATTCCCATTATTCTGATTGTTCCCGTTATTCTGATTGTTCCCGTTATTCTGATTGTTCCCGTTATTCTGATTATTCCCGTTATTCTGATTACTCCCAGGCACTGCAAATTGACACCAAAGCTTTAATCCAGACTGAATTTCAAGATGATTTTTTGGGTTTTGTGGCTCCAGTGTGAATTCTTGGTGGGAATAATCCCCTGACCTCGGAATCCAGCCCGAGTCCAAAATGGAATCCAGCTTTGAGGCCAGCAGAAGGGAATAAAAATAACAAATAAATAAATGCTATTTTTGCCCCGGAGCCTGTGCATGCTGATGTGTAAAATGGAGCACACAAACAGGTGTTTGTAGGCTCAGGCACTAAAAATAGAAAAGGAATGTGGCTAAAGGGGATAAAAGGGAATATTGTGGAGTAAATGGTGCAAAAATAAATCCAGCCTTAATGCCATCATTCAAATTTGGCGAATTTCCTGTCGGGCCTCTCTTTCCCAGTTGTTGGATTTTCAGAGAAAGTTGCATTTTGCATTCCTGAGCCCTTCAGCACCGTTTCTGTTCTGGGGGGCAAGGAGGGCTGTTTTTATTTTTGGCAGGGGTAAATCTGATATTGTGCCCTACATTTACTGCAGGGATGAAACCTGCACCTGTCCGAAAACAAAAGGGAATTTTACAAAGTGTTTTTCCAGGCCTGGGAGATCGGGAGGAGCGAGAAGGGAAGGAAACGACTGCAGGCCATTAGAAAGAATTAGAATTAATTGGAAACAATTAGGAACAATTAATAATAATTATGGATGATCTCTGCTCCTGGTGCTCCTGGGGCTTTTGCTGGCTCGGGGTGAGGCGAGGGAGCTTTTCCAGCAGCACTGCCCGGGTCCTGTGGGGTGTTCTGTCCCATTGAAGGGTCCTGTGGGGTGTTCTATCCCATTAAAGGGTCCTGTGGGGTGTTCTATCCCATTGAAGGGTCCTGTGGGGTGTCATATCCCATTGAAGGGTCCTGTGGGGTGTTCTATCCCATTAAAGGGTCCTGTGGGGTGTCATATCCCATTAAAGGGTCCTGTGGGGTGTTCTATCCCATTGAAGGGCCCTGTGGGGTGTTCTATCCCATTGAAGGGTCCTGTGGGGTGCTCTATCCCATTAAAGGGTCCTGTGGGGTGTCATATCCCATTAAAGGGTCCTGTGGGGTGTCATATCCCATTAAAGGGTCTGTGGGGTGTTCTATCCCATTAAAGGGTCCTGTGGGGTGTTCTATCCCATTGAAGGGTCCTGTGGGGTGTTCTATCCCATTGAAGGGTCCTGTGGGGTGTTCTATCCCATTGAAGGGTCCTGTGGGGTGTTCTATCCCAGTAAAGGGTTCTGTGGGGTGTCATATCCCATTGAAGGGTCCTGTGGGGTGTTCTGTCCCAGTAAAGGGTCCTGTGGGGTGTTCTATCCCATTGAAGGGTCCTGTGGGGTGTTCTATCCCATTGAAGGGTCCTGTGGGGTGTTCTATCCCATTGAAGGGTCCTGTGGGGTGTTCTATCCCATTAAAGGGTCCTGTGGGGTGTTCTATCCCATTAAAGGGTTCTGTGGGGTGTTCTATCCCATTGAAGGGTCCTGTGGGGTGTTCTATCCCATTGAAGGGTTCTGTGGTGTGTTCTATCCCATTGAAGGGTCCTGTGGGGTGTCATATCCCATTAAAGGGTCCTGTGGGGTGTTCTATCCCATTGAAGGGTCCTGTGGGGTGTTCTATCCCATTAAAGGGTCCTGTGGGGTGTTCTGTCCCATTAAAGGGTCCTGTGGGGTGTTCTATCCCATTAAAGGGTCCTGTGGGGTGTTCTATCCCAGTAAAGGGTCCTGTGGGGTGTTCTATCCCATTAAAGGGTCCTGTGGGGTGTTCTATCCCATTAAAGCCTCCACTCTTCCCTCCCTGAGCTCCCAAACGGCCTCAGGGGCTGGGCACCCCTGGATTTGGGCTTTCCCCAATTTCCCAGATTTTGGGGAGCGAGGAGAAGCTTTGGGGGCACCAGGCTGAGGCCTCGAGGGGGAGGACAAAACAGAGGGAGGAGAGAGGGAGAGCGTGGAATTGGGAAACTGGGGAGGGATTCTGGCTGGCGAGGGAATTTTGGGGGTGATGGAATTTTGGGGGGCGAGGGAATTTTGGGGCGAGGGAATTTTGGAGTGAGGGAATTTTGGGGGCGAGGGAATTTTGGGGATGGAATTTTGGGGCGAGGGAATTTTGGGGGTGAGGGAATTTTGGGGTGAGGGAGTTTTGGGGGCGAGGGAGTTTTAGGGGTGAGGGAATTTTGGGGCGAGGGAATTTTGGGGTGAGGGAACTCCCAGAGGAGCCACTCGAGGTGCTGGAAGTGTGGGATGGGATGAGATGATCCTAAAAGTCCTCGCTGACCCAAAGCATCATTAATTCTGGAATAATTAAAGGCCTCCAGGTGTATTTTCCCCACTTTGGAGCGAGGATGAGGCTCCTTCATCCCAAATTGGTCACGCCTGAGTGCAGCCAAGGCTGAGCTTTGTGTTTGAAATCTGCTGCCAGGCCGGGGAAATGAGGGCTGGCGTTCATTTATGAGGGGAAGAAAAGCAGGTCAGCACGTCTGAAAGGTGCTGACAAGCATAAAGCACCTGAGATGGTCAAAAGAAGGAGGGAAAAAGAGGCTGGAAATGGTTTTTTATCCCCACGTAAGCAAAACGTGGTGCCCGAGGTTTCACAGGCATCGCAGGGAGGGAAGTGCTGGGGGCAAGAGGGGCTGAATTCAGGAATCCTCATTTCCCCATCAGACGTTCCTTGGAGGGTTTCACCTTCCCACGTGGGGCTGTTGGGGCAGCTTTGTGGCTCAGGAAAGGGATTTTGGTCCTTGCAGAGCCCCTCTGAGAGCAGCTCGGGGTTTGCACAGCAGCAGTTCCAGCCCTGGGGACTCCAGGCGGGACAAGCTGCAGCGTAGAGGGCAGAAATGTCAGAAAGTCAGAGCTAAAAAGGCAAATTACTCCATTTAAATAGAATTATCCCTTCATCCACGCTCTGCAGCCAAGGTCAGGCTGACCTGTCCTCCTGTAGCTTGGGGAACATCTCAGAGCAGGAGAAACCTGGGAGCCAGAACAAATCCACAATGGCCCCTGTGGCACGTGTGAGGCACTGGATCCCTCTCTGCCCCAAATAACCTCCCCTTGCTCCTGGGGGAGCTCATTCCTGGGACTATTTTTTCCCCTTTTTCCAGAGCGTTTTAAATTTCCGTTTTCCTTCTCCGGTGTCTCCTTGTTCAGCGCTCCCAAGGAGCCAAAAATGTTCATTGGGAGAGGGCAGGATCTGCCCCTTTTCCCTGGAAATTGTGGATATTTGGGTGTTTTATTGCAGCTGAGTTCTTTGTGGGGTGAGAAGGGTTGATGTGAATGGCGCCGGTTTTACCTGGCACCCCCTAAAAATCCATTTACACCTTAAAGGAAGGAAATGGCACCAGGATCCTGGAAATGCCCTTTTCCTGGGAAATTGGGAGAGGAGTTTCCTGCTGAAAATGGAAATTTCAGCTGGGGGTGGCTCACTCCCTAACCCCGTCTTGTATCTCCAGGATATTTCCCATTTTTGACCTTTTCCCTTTGTTTTTTGGGTTGTTTTTAGGAGCTGGAGCTCTGCTGGCCCCGTGGCAGAGTGCCTGGTATGGGTAATGGTGTGAGAGAAGGTCCAGTGGAATTCCAGAGGGATGTGGAGCCCGTCCCAGCCCGAATTCCTGCAGAGGTGAGAGCAGGGGCTGGGAGGGGATTCCAGGGGAGGCCCCACCTGCAGCTCCAGGCAGGGAATCAGGGAATTCCCCCTCTCAGGGCAGACCCCACCTGCAGCTCCAGGCAGGAATTCCCAGGTGAGACCCCACCTGCAGCTCCAGGGAGGGAATTCCCAGGTGAGGCCCCACCTGCAGCTCCAGGCAGGAATTCCCAGGGGAGACCCCACCTGCAGCTCCAGGCAGGGAATCAGGGAATTTCCCCCTCTCAGGTGAGGCCCCACCTGCAGCTCCAGGCAGGGAATTCCCAGGTGAGGCCCCACCTGCAGCTCCAGGCAGGGATTCCCCCTCTCAGGTGAGGCCCCACCTGCAGCTCCAGGCAGGGAATCAGGGAATTCCCCCTCTCAGGGCAGACCCCACCTGCAGCTCCAGGGAGGGCATTCCAGGGGAGGCCCCACCTGCAGCTCCAGGCAGGGAATTCCCAGGTGAGGCCCCACCTGCAGCTCCGTTTCCAGCCCTGCGAGGCCCTGGAGGGTTTGGGGCCAGCCCAGAGGGGGCTCCAGGGTGATCAGAGGGATGGAGCCGTGGGGACAGGCTGGGAACACTGGGATTGTGCAGCCTGGAAAAGCTCCAGGGTCACCTGGTTGGGACCTTCCAGTGCCTGAAGGAGCCACAAGAAGCTCTGGATAAAGGATGGAGTTGCAGGACACAGGGAATGGCTCCCAGTGCCAGGAGGGAGGGATGGGTGGGATACTGGGCAGGAATTCCTGCCTGGGAGGGAAGGGGATGGAATTCCCAGAGCAGCTGAGGCTCCCCTGCACCCCTGGAGGTGCCCAGGTTGGGGAGGGGAAGCTCCAGAGAAACCCTGGAGCTGTTCCCAGAGCCTGGAAAGGGCTCCAGGAGAGCTGGAGAGGGATTTGGGATGAGGATGGAGGCACAGGACACAGGGAATGGAAGGGGGAAATTGTGTGGGATTTTGGCAAGAATTCCTGGCTGGGCTGGCATTCCCAGAGCAGGACCCTGGAGGCACCCAGGGCCAGCTTGGAGCAGCCTGGGCTGGTGGAGTGGGATGGACTCTGAGCTCCTCCTGCCCCAAACCAGGCTGGGATCTGAGCTCTGGGCTCCCAAAAGCTGCAGTCCAGGGGCTGGGAGGGGATCCTGACCTTCCCATCCCCTTGGGAAGGGGCTGGGCATTCCCAGTGGCAAACAGGAGCATTCCCAGTGACACACAGGACAATTCCCAGTGGCAAACAGGACAATTCCCAGTAACAGGAGCATTCCCAGTGACAGACTGGACCATTCCCAGTGACACACAGGACAGTTCCCAGTGGCAAACAGGAGCATTCCCAGTAACAGGAGCATTCCCAGTAACAGGAGCATTCCCAGTGACAGACTGGACCATTCCCAGTGACACACAGGCCAGTTCCCAGTGACACACTGGACCATTCCCAGTAACAGGACCATTCCCAGTAACAGGATCATTCCCAGTGACAGACTCGACCATTCCCAGTAACAGGACCATTCCCAGTGACACACAGGACGCAATTCCCAGTAACAGGATCATTCCCAGTGACACACAGGACCATTCCCAGTAACAGGATCATTCCCAGTGACACACAGGACCATTCCCAGTAACAGGAGCATTCCCAGTGACAGACAGCCCAGTTCCCCATCCAGGCTGCCCCAGCAGCAGCCCTCTGTGCTTTCCCTGCTCCTGGAAGCTCAGGAGAAGGGAGGTTCCTCCCGGCCTTGCTGGGTTTAACCCAGATCTGGGGCTGAAGTTCACCTTTGCACGGCTGGGGAGGGGGAATTGAGCTGACCCAGGGGTTTTGGGTCATAAACATTAACTTTGGGGTTGGGAAACACAAGGAAAATGTTAACTCCTCCACAAAGTGTCAAAAGTTCACAAGCCTGGGCTTGTTCTCACTCCACAATCTCCACTGGGTTGGATTTTGTGGCTTTTTTTGTTGTTGTTGTTGTTGTCGTTCCCTGTGGGAGAAAAATGCTGATTTTATAACTGTGAGCTGTGGCAGGAATGCCAGCAGCAAAATCCCTCTCATTCCACCCATCAGAGGGGGAAACTGCCTGGATTGACCCTCGGGAGCTTGGGAATGGTGTGGGAATAGGGCTGGGCTGCTTCTCTTCCAGAAACTTCCCCTCTGCCTGTGCCTGAAAATCGTGGGGAGGGAGAAAAAAGAGAAATAGCGGGGAGAAAACAACACATGCAGGAGGAATGCCTGGAATTCTGCCTCCCAGTCCCACCAGCAGTGCACTGTGCTGGAAACCCCGTGAAACGTTTGGACCCAAATCCCAAATCCTGGCCCTGGGGTGAATGCTGCACAAAAGGTGGAACATTATTCCTTGTGGCATTGATATTTTATTTTTTCCGCCTCTATCCAATGTTTTTTTGCCAGGATAACCAGGAGAAGAAGAAAGTGCTGAACTCGCTGATGTCTGGGGCTCTGGCTGGGGCCGTGGCTAAAACTGCAGTGGCTCCTCTGGACAGGACGAAAATCATGTTCCAAGGTGACTCCTCCGGGCTGTTCTCCCAAACTGTGTTTAATCTGAGCCCTTTGTGCCCCTCCAGCTCCCTCTCCTGGGGATGTGGGGGCTCTGGGAAGGGGGAATTGGGCTGTGAGGGCTGGGCTGGGGCCCAGGCTGTGCCAGCTCTCCCCAAAAGGAGAGGGAGCAGGCGCTGGAGCTGCCGCCTGCTGGGTCTGTGTGCTCTGGCACCCCTGCATTGCCACTGCCCTGATGACTCTGCTCGAGTGGAACACGGAATTTCCCCGTGTTCAGCAGGATTGGGGATTGTGGGCTCTGGTGCAGTGCAGCTCCTCCAATTACCCCAAAGGGAACAGCACAGGCCTTTCATTCTGGGCACATTTGGGAAGGCCAAGAATTTTAAGCCTGGTGACGTCCCAGATTAACTGAGTTGGGCTCAGCCTAATCCCCGGCTGACATTTAATTTAGAATTGATTTCTGCTCACATGGTTTTCATTCTGGGCAGAGCAAGGAGCTCTGGAATTGCTGGGATGTGGATCGGGGGGGCTGGGGTTGCCCCTGGCTCCTGAATTTTTGGGTTTTCCCACCCAAAGCACACACTCAGGTTATTTTAGGGTGGAAGCATCAGGGGCACGGAGCTGGGCTGAGCCAGGGGATCACCTGGAATCTGGGCATTCCTAAAAATCCCTGTGTGCTTCAGCCCATCCCAGGGGCTGGAAGGGATGGGGTTCAAATCTTCCAATGGGAGCAGTTTCTTGGGATCTGAGAGGGTTCTTTTAGGTTCCTGCTGCCCTAAGGGGTTTTATTCTCTGTTTGTGAGGAAGGAAAATACCTTTGGATCATCAAAGTGGTGCCTTCACTTAGGAATGGGGCTTGGGATAGTGGAGACTGTCCATGGCAGAGGGGTGGATGAGCTTTCCCATCCCAAACTCTATGAATTTCCCACAACTCAACAATTTTATTATTTTAAGTAATTTTTTAAAGGAACCAAACCCCCTTGATAACCATCACTGTTCATCGAGGTCGTTTTTATTCTTTAAAAAAAAAAAAAAAAAAAAGAGAAAAATTCTAAATAAAAACAAATAAAAGCATTGAATTGCACAGGGGAGCAGCAGTGGGGAAAAATGGATTTGCATGGAATTGTTGGATGCACTCGAGAGGCTCCCAGAGCCTGAGATGAGCCGGGCAGGAGCTGCAGCAGCCCCTTAATTGGAGCCACGTTTCATTAAAGCTTTCCAGTCAGGGGTTTCCCTTCCTTTGGCAGAGCTGCCAAACAAATCCTGCCTCCCAAGCCCTGCCACAGATAAGGAGGTGCTGTCACTTTGGGTGGATGCAAGGGAAGGGGGGAAAAAAAAATTAAAAATCAGGGAGTTGATTTGAGTTTGGCTGGGATGGAGCTGCTCTTGCGTGGAGCTTCGCTCTGCCCTCGCTGGATTCCGGAATTAGGCTGGGATCTGGGCATGGAAATGCTCTGAAAAATAAGTGAGCAGTGCAGTTTTGATGGGTTTTCTTTCATTAATTGTTTTTATTTATTCATTTATTCTGCACAAACTGAATTTTCCTAACAGGCAGCGGGGGGAAGAAATGGACTTTTGTGCTAAATTATGGGAGCGTTTACAAGACAAAGAATCTCTATTTCCTCTTGCATTCATTCTTTTCCTTCCATTTTTATCCCTTTAGCCAAAACACCTGATTATTTGTCCCTTATTTAGGGATTCACGGATCAATATTTATTTTTATGTCTTGCAAGCCCTAATCTTTTTTTTTTGTCGTTTTTATTTTTAGTGTCTTCAAAAAGATTTTCTGCCAAGGTAAGGTGATGCCTGTCTGCTGTTGCTCTGAAGTGTTTAATTAATCTTTTGTTGATATTTCGCTTTTGTGGGGATTTATCAGCAGCATTCCATGAAAACATAGAGGGAAAGACTGGGAATGGTGGTTTTGGGACCATTCCTGGTGATCTTGGGACCATTTCTAGTGCTCATTCCCCACAGGAGTTGTTCCAGCATTTATAGGGAATTAAATCCAGGATCTGATCCCTCTCCTGGCTTCCTGAGTACTTTTTCCCTGTGCGTTCCAGCTTTTCCACGTGTGGTGTTTGTGATCCAAATGTTCCTGCCTGGCCCCATGGAGATGAATTTGGGTTGGGGAAGGGGTTTTGTGTAAATTGTGTCTTCCCAGGGAGATGAATTTGGGTTTGGGAAGGGGTTTTGTGTAAATTGTGTCTTCCCTGAGAGGGAAAATGAGGCAGGCTGGGATCTAAAAATCCTTCCTTGCTCTTGCCTGGAGCTTCACTCTCTCCTCACTGGATTCTGGGATCCGGGCATGGAAATGCTCTGACAAGCACGTGCACAGTGCAATTCCGATATTTTCCTATAATTCATTTCCATTTCTTTAGCCATTTATTCCACACAAGCTGCGTTTTACAGCACGTGGATGTGCCGGGCTGCCCATGGCGGCTCTGTGGGCAGGGGAATGGAGGGGTGAATCTGTGGGCTCAGCTCCCTGCCCTGCATTCCTGCTCCCCACGGGTGATTTATCCACTCTCCACGGGTGATTTATCCACTCTTACCCCCCTGGCCTGCTCCCCACGGGTGATTTATCCCCCTGGCCTGCTCCCCACGGGTGGTTTATCCACTCCTGTCCCCCTGGCCTGCTCCCCACGGGTGGTTTTTCCTCTCCCCACGGGTGATTTATCCACTCTTATCCCCCTGGCCTGCTCCCCACGGGTGATTTATCCCCCTGGCCTGCTCCCCACGGGTGGTTTTTCCTCTCCCCACGGGTGATTTATCCACTCTTATCCCCCTGGCCTGCTCCCCACGGGTGGTTTTTCCCCGCAGGAAGCGTACAGGCTGATCTATCGCACCTACCTCAACGAGGGCTTCTGGAGCCTCTGGAGAGGGAACTCGGCCACCATGGTGCGGGTGATCCCCTACGCCGCCATCCAGTTCTGCGCCCACGAGGAGTACAAGCAGATCCTGGGCAACTACTACGGATTCCAGGGAAAGTAAGAGGCAGCGGGATCGGGATCCTGCTGGGCTCCTGAGGGGGGAGCTCCAAGATGGAAGCTGTGAGGGGGAAGGCTCTGAGGAGAAGCTCTGAGGGGGAAGCTCCAAGATGGAAGCTCTGAGGTGGAGGTTCCAATGGGGAAGCTATGAGAAGAAGCTCAAAGATGGAAGCTCTGAGGGGGAAGCTCTGATGTGGAGGTTCTGAGGGAAAGCTCTGAGGGGAAGCTCCAAGATGGAAGCTCTGAGGTGGAGGTTCCAACGGGGAAGCTATGAGAAGAAGCTCAAAGATGGAAGCTCTGAGGGGGAAGCTGTGAGAAGAAATTCCAAGGTCCAGGTTCCAAGGGGGAAGCTCTGAGATGGAGCTTCCAATGTGGAAGCTGTGAGGGGAAGCTCTGGGGAGGAAGCTTCAAGGGGGAAGCTGTGAGGAGAAGTTCCAAGGGGGAAAGCTGTGAGGGGAAATTCCAAGATGGAAACTCCGAGGGGGAAGTTCTGAGGGGAAGCTCTGAGGGGGAAATTCTGAGAGGATGCTCTGAGGGGAAGCTGTGAGGCGGAACCTTGGCGGGAGAAGCTCCGGGAGAAAAGAAACTGTGAGGGGGAAGCTCCAAGATGGAAGCTCTGAGAGAGAAGCTGTGAGGGGGAAGCTCCAAGATGGAAGCTCTGAGAGAGAAGCTGTGAGGGGGAAGCTCCAAGGCGGAACATTTGAGGAGGAAGCTCCAAGGCAGAGGAAGCTGTGAGGGGACGCTCCAGCCGAGCCCTGGGCCTCCTCTCCGCACGGATTTTCCCTGTGGCGTGGCTGGGGATGCCCAGCAGGCAGAGCAGGGCTGTTGCCAGCAGCCAGGTGGAACCTGCAGCTGCAGGTGACGTTTGGTCTCTTCTCTCACCCCACTCCAGGGCACTGACGCCTTTCCCTCGCTTCATTGCCGGCTCCTTGGCTGGCACCACGGCTGCCATGCTCACCTACCCCCTGGACATGGTCCGTGCCCGCATGGCTGTCACCCCCAAGGAGATGTAAGTGCCTCACACACATATTTCTGGGTTTTTATAAGGTCACGTGGTTTTATTGCCCTTTTTTGGGTCATTTCTTGCTGGGAGCCTTTGGTGGGATACAGCCCCGGGGTCTGAGCAGTGATTCAGTGCCCAGAGGCGTGGATGTGGGAGGAGATGGGCACTGGGAGACCAGTTCAGGAGGGCAGCTGGACCCAGGAGGACCCAAGAGAGCTGAAACCCCCTCCGAGCTGCCCGATGAGCTTGGAGCCAAATTAATTCCCAATTAATCCATCAGGGAGCCCTGCTGGGAGCACCCCAGCCGCTGACCAGCGCAGGTCTGCTCTCCCCGTGTCCCCACGGCAGGTACAGCAGCATTGTCCACGTCTTCATCCGGATATCCCGCGAGGAGGGGCTGAAAACCTTGTACAGGGGCTTCACACCCACCATCCTGGGCGTCATCCCCTACGCTGGCCTCAGCTTCTTCACCTACGAGACGCTGAAGAAAGTGCACGCAGGTAAAGCCGGGAAATGCTGCAGGTTTGGGGTGAGCGAGGGCTCTGAGCAGCCCCGGGCTGGGGGCAATGAAAGCTGGGCCTGAACTGTGGAGGGAAAAAGGGGAATTTCCAGGTGGAAAAGGACTTGGTTGTGCACTGAGTTGGGAGCAAAACCTGGGGAGGTGTACCTGTGACTGTCAGTAAATGGGACATCACTTGGGGTTTTGTTTTGTGGGAGCTTTTCTAGTGATTTTGGGGACCCTTTCTAATGATTTTGCTTGGGAGCTCAACCTGGGGAACAAAACCTCGGGAACAAAACCTCAGGAACAGAACCTGGGGAGCAAAACCTCGGGAGAGCAACCTGGGGAAAACAAAACCTGGGTAACGAAACTTGACGAGCACAACCTTTAATTGTGAGTGAATTCCAAGGACTCCCCCACTGTGTGTCACCCCCAGAGCACAGCGGGAAGGTGCAGCCTTCACCTCTGGAGCGGCTGCTGTTCAGGGCAAGGGAATGAAACTTTGGGAATGAAACTTTGGGAATGAAACTTTGGGAATGAAACTTTGGGAATGAAACTTTGGGAATGAAACTTTGGGAATGAAACTTTGGGAATGAAACTTTGGGAATGAAACTTCGGGAATGAAACTTCGGGAGCGAAACTTGGGCAACAAAACTTTGGGAGCTCAACCTGAGGAGCAAAACCTGGGGAGCAAAACCTTGGGAGCTCAACCTGAGGAGCAAAACCTGGGGAGCGAAACTTTGGGAGCAAAACCTGGGGAACAAAACTTTGGGAGGAGAGCGCCTTGTGGTAAAACAAACCCCGAGTTTTTGGGTTTTGGGGGTAACAAAGCCTCACGAGCACAGCCCTGGGAAGGAGCCCTCCGTGGTGAGTGACTCCCCCACCATGTGTCCCCCCAGAGCACAGCGGGAAGGCGCAGCCCTCGCCCCCGGAGCGGCTGCTGTTCGGGGCAAGGGAATGAAACTTTGGGAATGAAACTTTGGGAATGAAACTTTGGGAATGAAACTTTGGGAATGAAACTTTGGGAATGAAACTTTGGGAATGAAACTTTGGGAATGAAACTTTGGGAATGAAACTTTGGGAATGAAACTTTGGGAATGAAACTTTGGGAATGAAACTTTGGGAATGAAACTTCGGGAATGAAACTTCGGGAGCGAAACTTGGGAACTTGGGCAACAAAACTTTGGGAGCTCAACCTGAGGAGCAAAACCTGGGGAGCAAAACCTTGGGAGGAGAGCGCCTTGTGGTAAAACAAACCCCGAGTTTTCGGGTTTTGGGGGTAGCAAAGCCTCCCGAGCACAGCCCTGGGAAGGAGCCCTCCGTGGTGAGTGACTCCCCCTTGTGTGTCCCCCCAGAGCACAGCGGGAAGGCGCAGCCCTCGCCCCCGGAGCGGCTGCTGTTCGGGGCGTGCGCCGGCCTCATCGGGCAGTCGGCCTCGTACCCGCTGGACGTGGTGCGGCGCCGCATGCAGACGGCCGGCGTGCTGGGCCACACCTACAGCTCCATCCTGCTCACCATGCAGGACATCGTGCGCGAGGAGGGACTCGTCAGGGGCCTCTACAAAGGGCTCAGCATGAACTGGGTGAAGGGCCCCATCGCCGTGGGCATCAGCTTCACCACCTTCGACCTGACGCAGATCCTGCTCCGCAAGCTGCAGCACGGCCCCGGCCTCGAGAGGTAGTGGCTTCCTGCAGGGAGAGCAGTTCATTCTTCCCTGGCCTCCCACGTGCTCCTGCAGCTGGGAACTCGCCCCTTTGTTGGGGGTTCTTTTCCTGTTGTTCCCGGATTGGTTTTTTTTTCTCCCATTTTAATTTGGAAGCCTAACCGTTCCCTCAGTGAAAAATTCCCGGTCCTGCAGAGCTGAGTCCTCCCAAGCAGCTGCCTCGCCCTTCTGATGGACTCTGTCCCCAGGAGTGGAGCCTCCCCACCCTACCTGTGCTGCTCCTGGCTCCTCACCTGGCTCTCCGTGGCAGAGGGGGCTCGGAGCTGTTGGGAAGGAGCCCCTGGCTCTGGGAAGGGGCAGTTTTGTAGCTCCCTACATGCTGCCAAGTGCAATATCCCAGTGTGGTCCGTAGGGAATTGCAGATTCCCCTGGGCTGTGAAGGCAGGGCAGGGCAGGCCCAGGACACTACACTTGTTCCCAAAGCTGAATGTTTCCTCTGGCTGGGAATGCTGCCCTCTCCCCGTGGATTTCCTTGCTTTTGGGTTGAGCTGCATCGATGTCCCTCGTTTGTGGTGTCCCTCTGAGATTACCAAAGATGGAGGCAGCAGAGGAGGGGAGTTCTGAGCCCTTTCCTGATGGGAATTTTCCTCTGTGTGCTGCGGGTGTCACCCAGCAAGGGCCATGCCTGGATTCCCCCCCAGACTGGATCTGCTCGGCTGATTTGTGTTCCCTTCTGTGCCGCCCTGCCCTGGAGAGGCAGCGATTCCAGGGCTGCAGGCTCCGAGGGAGGAGCTGTCCGCCCTCCAATGCCCCCCAGTGTTTGTTCATTCAGTGTTATCAGTGCTCTGTGCACCGGGGAGAACAAACCCTGCTGCAGCCGGGCTGTCCCCAGACAGAGCTGTCCCCTTTGGTACCTGCTGTGTGGGTCCTGGCCCTGTGCTCACTAACCCATCCCTCAGCTGCCTCAGCCCCAGATCCCCTCGGAGTTTAACCCTTGTGGGCTCGCCCTGCAGTGCCAGCCGCTTCCAGCTGGGATTCCACCATCTCTCACTGCTCCTCTCTCCAATCAGTTTTCAGGGAAATGGAAATGGGTTTTTTTGGGGGTTTTTTTGGTGGGTGATCCATCCCTCTGTTAAACTCAGAGGTCAGAGCAGACTTCAGGCTCCTCTGATGAAAGATTACACAAACCAAGGTGGAAAAGTCCCTTTCCAGAGAGTCCATAATGCAAGGGAAAGGATCAGATTGACCTTCAGAGCTGTCCTTTCCTGGCTGCTCTGTGCTCCAGCTGTGGAAGCTGGACGGGGTGGGTGGCAGTGGAAGGAATTGCACAAGAGGGCAGGAGCAGCCTTCTCCTTTCTTTTTTGTCTTTGCACTTCTTGGGAGCACGGAGCTGCTCCTGATGCCAAATGTTTCCTTAGGAATGGGGGCTGTGGGGGCAGTGCTGGGTGTTGGCACACAGGTGCTGCTCCCAGCACTGGAAGGGCAGACTGGAACTGGAATTCAGCCTCAGAGCTCTGCCCCCCGGCCCAGCAGGGCGACACATCCCCTGATTCCCTGGGAATTAAAGATCCCTGGGCTTTGGGGAGGTGCTGGCCCCGAATTCTGTGTCATTTCTGGGGGGCTGTGGAGAGCTCCCAGCTCTGCTGTCCCCTGCTCAGCCCCCATTTCTTTTCTCCAATGGAGAAGCCAATTTACCCTGCTCTAGTCCTGATGCAGAGGGAGGGATTCCCAGCAGTGTTCATGTCCTGTCCCTCCGTGTCCCCTCCCAGCTGGGAGAAGCAGGAATTCCGGGAGCCCTTCTTTAATTAGCAGCTGCCCCTGATTGAAATTCGGAATTTCAGCCAATTTCCCCACGAGTTTTGCAGGCTGGGTGTTTGTCCAGGGGCAGGTCCTTGAGTTCAGCCTCTGATGGTTTTGGTGCTTTTGTTTCTCAGAGCCTGTTGCTGCTTTGGGTTGGTTTGAAAAGCTTCTTTTTCTTTTTTTTTTTTTTTCTCCTTTTTTTTTCCTTTTTTTTGAATGTAGAAAAGGGGAAACAGAGTGTTCCCTTCCCTTCTCTTCTTCCCTGCATGGATTCACACACGTTCCAGATTTTTTTCTGAGGTGTGCTGGCCAGGGAGAGCTCTGAGAAAGGCAAAACAGGAGTTTTTCCCTTTTTTTGTCCTTTTTTCCTTTCCTGCATTTCCCTAATTTTTCACTTTATTCCTCTCAGATTTAATTTCCCACTCCCCTTTCTCACGGATCCTTAAAGCATCACCACCAAATTTGTGCTTTTTGTTTTCCTTTCCCTCTCCCTCCTCCTGCTTCTTCCTGCACCTTGAGCCCCGCACTGGCACTTCAAGAAAACCAGGTCCAAAAAAATGCACCCAAAACGTCAAAACTGCAGCTTTTTAGCGTTCTTCCAACAGCCCAAGCATGTTTTCCCCTCACAGCCTGGATGCTCCAGGCACTTCAGGCACCATGGGATGGTTTGGGGAACTTTCCTGAGCTCCTTGGCTGGTTTGGGATCTTCTCTTTGTATCTTCTAGGGGCTGATTGCACCCTTTTGTTCACCTTTTTTTCCCCTTTCCCCCCTTCTTTTCCCCTTTCCTTTCCCCCTTTTCCCTTCTTTTTCTGTTTCCCGCCTTTTCTGTTTCCCTTCTTTTTCTGTTTCCCTTCTTTTTCTGTTTCCCTTCTTTTTCTGTTTCCCGCCTTTTCTGTTTCCCACCTTTTCTGTTTCCCCCCCTTTTCTTTCCCCCCCCCATTTCCCCCTCAATTTTTCCCTTTTTTTCCCATTTTTCCCCTTTTCCCCTTTTTCCCTCCCTCTTTCCCTCTCCCCTTCCTTACCCTTTTCCCTCTTTCCCCCCTCTTTTTCCCCCTTTTTTCCCCCATTTCCCCCCAAAATCAGCACGAGCTGCAGGCTGTCCCAGCACCGGTCACTGCCTGTGTGGTCTATGCATCTATTACTTAATTAGCACAAACACTGTTAATTGCCTTTTCCCGTGCCCTCACCATCCATGTGTGCGTGTCGTTTTTGACGGCTTTTCTTGGATCTGGATTCTATTTTATTGCAGTGAAGACACTTTGTTATATAATGTTTATATATTTTAAGATTTGTGCCAAGAGAGGATGTATATTTAATAAAAAATTTGATTGACTTTGGGGACTCTCCATGGCTTCCCTCTGCTTCGCAGGCCTGGAACGTTTGAGGGGATTTTTGAGGGGGTTTTGGGGGGATTTTGAGGCGTTTTTTGGGTGGTTATGAGGAGATTTTTGGGGTTTGTGAGGAGATTTTTGGAGGAGTTTGTGAGGAGATTTTTGGAGGGGTTGTGAGGAGATTTTTGGAGGGGTTTGTGAGGAGATTTTTGGAGGGGTTTGTGAGGAGATTTTTGGAGGGGTTTGTGAGGAGATTTTTGGAGGAGTTTGTGAGGAGATTTTTGGAGGGGTTGTGAGGAGATTTTTGGAGGGGTTGTGAGGAGATTTTTGGAGAGGTTGTGAGGAGATTTTTGGGGGTTTGTGAGGAAATTTTTGGAGGGATTTGTGAGGAGATTTTTGGGAGTTTGTGAAGAGATTTTGGGGAGTTTCTAAGGAGATTTTTGGAGGTTTGTGAGGAGATTTTTGGAGGTTTGTGAGGAGATTTTTGGAGGGGTTTGTGAGCAGATTTTTGGAGGAGTTGTGAGGGTTTTTTTGAGAGGTTTTTTTGAAGGCTGTGTGAGGTTTTTTTGGCATTATGAGGGTTTGTGAAGGGGTTGTTGAGGGGGTTTTTGGGGCGATTACGAAGGGTTTTTACCGGGATTTTTGGGTGGTTATGAGGTTTTTTGGGGCGGTGATTATGAGGGGGTTTTTCTAGGGGTCATGATGATTTTTGAGGGGTTTTTCGGTGAGGATTTTTAGGGTTTTTTATGTTTTTTCCGAGGGTTGTGCCCCTTTGACCGCACATCTCTCCGGCCGTGTTGTCCCCAGCCGGGGCTGCAGGGGGCGCTGTCGGCTCAGCCGCGGCCTGGAGCCGTCCCGAGCGCGGGGCTCCCGGCCTGAAAACCGCTCCGAACTCCCAAAAAACCCCTTTATAACGCCCCAAAAAACCCTTTATAACCCCCCAAAAAACCCTAACCCCCCAAAAGAAAACCTTTATAAACCCCCCACAAAAAAACCCTTTATAACCCCCCAAAAAACCCTAAACCCCCCCAAAAAACCCTTTATAAACCCCCCACAAAAAAACCCCTTTATAACCCCCCAAAAAACCCTTTATACCCCACCAAAAAACCCTAAAGCCCCCACAGAAACACCTTTATAAACCCCCCAAAAAACCCTAAACCCCCCCAAAAAAACACCTTTATAACCCCACCAAAAAACCCTTTATAACCCCCCAAAAAACCCCTTTATAACCCCCCCAAAAAAACCCTTATAACCCCCCAAAAAATCCTAAAGCCCCCACAAAAACACCTTTATAACCCCCCCAAAAAACCCCTGTATAACCTTCCAAAAAAGCCTTTAAAAATCCTTCATAATCCTCCCAAAAAAACCCCTCAAAAATCCCGTCGCAAACCCTGCCAGGGATCCCATTTGGGATAAAATGGGGTCGGAATGGATTCCCCACATCCCTCCCTGTTTGGGGATCCCATTTGGGATAAAATGGGGTGGGAATGGGTCCCCCTCATCCCTCCCTGTCAGGGATCCCATTTGGGATAAAGTGGGGTGGGAATGGATCCCCCTCATCCCTCCCTGCCAGGGATCCCATTTGGGATACAATGGGGTGGGAATGGGTCCCCCTCGTCCCTCGCTGCCAGGACGAGCCCCCCAGAGCTGAGATCGCCCCGGCTCTCCCGTGCCCGCCCCCGCCGGAGCCCGCGGGGCGGGAGCGGCCCCCGGTGCCCGCGGCCGTGTCTGCGCCGCCGGCTGCTCGATCTGTCACTGTCGCCGCCGGGCAGGGTCACCCGTCTGGGCAGCTCCCCCGGGACGCTCCGTCTGCGTGTCTGCCTCCGCCGCAACCGGCCCTAGCAACGCGACAGGCGACAGGCGGGACGGCGACACCAGCGCGGGGACAGCGCGGGGACAGCGCGGGGACAGCAGCGCCCGCAGCCCCCGGCACCCCAAACCCTGCGGGAACGGCCCCGCACGGCGCCTTCCCGACCGGCCGGGCTGGGCTGGGCTTTGGGCTGGGCTGGGCTTTGGGCTCCCCATTTCCCACCGAGCTGGGCTTTGGGCTCCCCATCTCTCCCTGGGCTGGGCTTTGGGCTCCCTATTTCCCACCGAGCTGGGCTTTGGGCTCCCCATCTCTCACTGGGCTGGGCTGGGCTGAGCTTTGGAGTCCCCATTTCCCACCGAGCTGGGCTCTGAGTTCCCCATCTCTCACTGGGCTGGGCTTTGGGCTCCCCATCTCTCACTGGGCTGGGCTTTGGGCTCCCCATCTCTCACCGAGCTGGGCTTTGGGCTCCCCATCTCTCACTGAACTGGGCTTTGGGCTCCCCATCTCTCACTGGGCTGGGCTTTGGGCTCCCCATCTCTCACTGGGCTGGGCTTTGGGCTCCCCATCTCTCACTGGGCTGGGCTTTGGGCTCCCCATCTCTCACTGGGCTGGGCTTTGGATTCCCCACTTGCAAAATGGGAATTTCCCCCTCTTTTTTTTTTTTTCTGATTTTTTCCCTCAAACATCCAGGGCGAGGATTCCCGGGAAGCAGCAGCAGCAGGAGGAGGAGCTGGATTAGCCCAGTTAACCCCGGCCCAGCGCTGCTGCTCTGGGCGCTCGGCAGGGGGAATTAGGACCATTACAAGGCCATCAAACAGGATCAGGGCCCCGGCCCTTCCTCCCGGCAGCCCAGACCTGATAATCCCGTTACACGCAGCTGCAGCCCTGTCCCACCCCAGGGACAGCCCGGCCCTGTCCCCCCTCAGTGTCACCAGCCCCGGGTGACCCCAGGGACAGGGACAGGTCTGCTCCTCCCGGGTGGTGCCTAAAGCAGCACGGTGGGACCTGCTGGGGGCTTGGGGACACCGAGAGCAGCTTCTGGGTGACAACGACACTGGTGTCACTCGTTTATTGTGAAGCAGCCACCCCGAGGCTGCTGGGGTCACACACCCCACAAAAACCCCACAATCTCTGCTGGCCACTCCAGGTGCCACTCCTGAATGTCCCCAGCGTGTCCCCAGCCTGTCCCCAGCATGCCAGGAGCCGCTGCCCTCCAGGAAAAGGCAGCACTGGAGTGTCCCCACGAGGGGCAGGCACAGCGGTGACACTAAACCCGTCCTGGTGGCACCAACGTCCCCACAGGTGTCCTCAAAGTGGCACCGACGTCCCCACAGGTGTCCTCAAAGTGGCACCAACGTCCCACAGGTGTCCTCAAAGTGGCACAAGCAGGCAAGGCAGCAGCGAGGGACGGGCAGCACCGAGCCCCCCCCAGTGTCCCCAGTGTCCCCAGTGTCCCCAGTCAGGACGCTGCCAGGTACTGGTGGAAGTAGAGGCCGAAGAGGCTGGTGATCACCTGGCACGCAGCCACCCACCAGGTGAGGAAGGAGAAGAGTCCTCGGAAGAAGGGGGGGGTGAAGATGCAGCCCAGGAGCCCCGAGATCTCCTGCACCACCACCTGCACGTCCCCGCTGTCCCCAGGGTCCCCCTCGGGGCGCGGCGGGGCCACCGGCGCTGCTGGGGACACGGCGGGGGACACGGCGGGGTACAGCCCCCACGAGTGGTGACCTGCGGGACAGGGACAGGAATGGGGTCTGGGGGACACGGGGGACAGGAATGGGGGACACGGGGGACAGGAATGGGGGACACGGGGGACAGGAATGGGGGTCTGGGGGACACGGGGGACAGGAATGGGGGTCTGGGGGACAGGAATGGGGGTCTGGGGGACAGGAATGGGGTCTGGGGGACACGGGGGACAGGAATGGGGGACACGGGGGACACCTCTGGCGTGTCCCTGTGCCCCAGCCCTGCTGGTGACACAGTCCCAGCACCAGAACAGACCCAGGGACAGACCCAGGGACAGACCCAGGGACAGACCCAGGGACATCCTGAGCTGGGGGCTGTGACAGCTGGGGACATTCGGGTCCTGGTGGGCTCCTGCCGCCCCCCGAGCCCCTGCTCACCCAGCGTCTTGAGCAGCAGGGCGCAGTGCAGCGTCAGGATCACGGGCCCCAGGTACTGCAGGCTCACCACGGACACGTAGCAGTAAATCCTGGAGATCTGCGGGAATGTGGGAATGCTCAGAGCCGTGCCCCAGTCCCAATCCTCATCCCGATCCCAATCGTGATCCCAAATCCCAGTCCTGGTCCCCATCCCCATCGCCCTCCCGACCCCGATCCCAATTCCAACCCCAATCCCCATCCTGTTCCCGGTCCCAGTCCCAATCCTGACCCGGATTCCGATCACATTCCTGATCCCAATCCCGTTCCCGTGTTCCATCCCTGTTCCCATCCCCGCTCCCGTTCCCGCTCCCATTCCCGTTCCCGCTCCCGTTCCGCACCTGCCGCTGGATGTCGCGGGCCGGGATCCGCCCCGCCTGGCGCCGCATGCGGCGCACCCAGCGCTCGGCCAGCCCCAGGTACGCCTGCAGGTGGTGGCGCGTCCCCAGCAGCCGCAGCAGCGACAGCGCCACCACGGCCCAGAGCCGCAGCGTGTCAAAGGACGCGTCCGACAGGCTGCGGGGACAGGGACACCGCGATGGCACCGGGATGGCACCGGGATGGGGACAGGGAACCCTGATCCACAGGGGACAGGGGACACAGAGGGTCAGAGGGGACATTGAGGAGCTGTTGGGGGACACTGGGTGTCACAGGGGACATTGGGGGACATTGGGTGTCACAGGGGTCACTGGGGGTCATGGATGGTCACATGGATGGCCATTGGGTGTCACAAGGGGTTATTGTGGGGACACTGTCACACACGGGGGTCACTGGAGACGTCCCCCAGCTGTGCCACTCACATCTGCACCCTCTGCTTGCCCAGCGGGGCCTGGAGCAGGAAATCCCGGGCCAGGGGCCGGACCCACAGCAGCACCACCAGGACAGGGGCCACGAACCCCACGTGCAGCAGGACCCTGCAAGGGACAGTCACCGACCCACAGAGACCCCATAGGGACCCCACAGAGACCCCACAGAGACCCCAGAGAGCCCACAGGGACCCCACGTGCAGCAGGACCCTGCCAGGGACAGTCACCGACCCACAGAAACCCCACAGGGACCCCAGAGAGCCCACAGGGACCCCATAGAGCCCACAGAGCCCTCCCACCCCAAACCTCCCCCAGAGCTGGGGAGTCCTGGCACCCAGCCCTCCCTCCCTCCCCAGGTGTCCCCCACTGTGTCCCCCGTTGTCCCCAGGTGTCCCCCCCCCCCATCCCCAGCTGTCCCCAGGTGTCCCCCCCCCCCCCCCATCCCCAGGTGTCCCCAGGTGTCCCCCCCATCCCCAGGTGTCCCCAGGTGTCCCCAGGTGTCCCCAGGTGCCACGCACTGTGTCAGGGGTTTGCCGGCCGCCATGCTGAGCGCGTCCAGGTGTGTCTGTGCCAGGCGCAGCCCCGGGAAGGTCAGGCAGGCGCCCAGGAAGGAGCTCAGGGCCACCAGCCCCAGCTTGAAGGCCAGCCTGGCCAGGGGCAGCCTGGGGACACACACAGGGACAGGGTGACATTGCTGTGCCCAGCCTGGGGACACACACAGGGACAGGGTGGGGACATCGCTGTGCCCAGCCTGGGGACACACACAGGGACAGGGGTGATGTTGTTGTCCCCATTCCCAGTGAGTTCCTGCCCCAAACTTCCCAGAACTGTCCCCAAAAGGGGTTTGGTCCCCACTCACGTCCACTCCCAGCCCCGCGGCTTCAGGATGGGCTCCAGGTTAGAGGAGACTCTGGCCAGCCCTGCAGAGTGACCAATGGGGAGTGACCAGGGGGGAGTGACCAGGGGGAGTGACCAGGGGGTGACCACTGGGGAGTGACCAGGGGGAGTGGGGAGTGACCAAAATGTGAGGAGTGACCCCTGGGCATGAGGAGTGACCCCCATGAGTGGAGAGTGACCAAAGAATGGAGTGACCCCCATGAGTGACCAATGAGTGGGGAGTGACCCCCATGAATGGGGAGTGACCCCCATGAGTGACCAATGAGTGGGGAGTGACCCCTGGGCGTGCTGTGACCCCCCTGGCCGGGGTCCCCAGTGCCCCCTCCCTGTCCCCGTCCCCGTCCCCGTCACGCACCGGCCTCGAGGCCGAACTCCAGGTAATCCTCGCGGACCACCAGGGCCAGCATGGCCAGCAGGAGGAAGAAGAAGGCGGAGGTGAGGCACACGGAGCGCTCACCGCCCTCCTCCGAGCGGAAGTAGTGACGCATCACCATGCAGAACACCTTGCTGGGCGTGGGGGCGGCTGTCAAGGAAACGGGGACACCGCGGGACCCCCAAACTTCTGCTCACCCCCAGCCGCCACCACCACCAGCTCCTCTGCAGGGCACCTGCAGAACTCCTCATAAATGAACCCCGAATGTTCAGTTTCACCCCTCAGCTGGGAGGGAAGCAATGCTGGCGGGGCTCCCCTTTCTGCCTGGCCCCCCAAAGCGAGGATACACGGAGAAGAGGACGGTGAGCAGGCACCAGAGCACAACCAGGTTGGTCACCTGCAGAACTCCTCATAAATAACCCCTAAAATTAATTTTTACACCTCAGCTGGGAGGGTAAAACAGCAGTGGGGCTCCCCTTTCTGCCTGGCCCCCAAAGCGAGGATACACGGAGAAGAGGACGGTGAGCAGGCACCAGAGCACGCCCAGGTTGCTCTCCCTGGCGGGGCTCACCAGGCAGAAATAGCCCTCGCTGAAGGCGTAGACGGCGCCGGCGTAGACGGAGAAATCCACGAACCACTGGTACTCCAGGAAATGGCGCAGCACTGCGGGCACGGGGACAGCGTGTCACCGGGCTGGGGACATGGCACTGGGCTGGGGACACGCGTGTCACTGCACTGGGGACACACCACCACACTGGGGACACCTCTGTCACCGCTCTGGGGACAGCCCCGCAGCGTCCCCGGGCCTTACCCAGCGCGTCCACGGCCGTGATGGGGCTCGTGTCCAGCTGCAGCTCGATGTCCCGTGGCACCGACAGGGGTCTGTCCTCTGCCACCCCGCTGGCCCTCCTGCAGGGAACCCCAGCAGTGCATGGTTGTCCCCGTGTCACCCATGGCTGTCCCCGTGTCACCCATGGCTGTCCCCTTGTCACCCATGGCCGTCCCCTTGTCACCTCTGGCTGTCCCCTGTGTCACCCATGGCCGTCCCCTTGTCACCCATGGCACCCTGGGGTGGCGTCTGCTGTCCCCAACCCCAAACACGTCCCCAACCCCAAACACGTCCCCAACCCCGAACGTGTCCCCAACCCCAAATGTGTCCCCAACCTCAAACATGTCCCCAGCCCCAAACGTGTCCCCAACCCCAATCGTGTCCCCAACCCCAAACGTGTCCCCAATCCCAAACATGTCCCAGCCCCAAACGTGTCCCCAACCCCAAACATGTCCCCAACCCCAAACATGTCCCCAGCCCCGATCGTGTCCCACTCCCACCCCCAGATGACGCTGACCTGTCCCTCCTGCTCTTGGGGCGCTGCTTCCCGGCCAGGGCGCAGAGCTCCTCGTCCGAGGGGTGCTTGTACCTGTACAGGCTGCGGGGACAGGAGGGTGACAGGGGCTGGCTGTCCCCAGGGGGCACGGGGGACACGGGGGACAGGGACAGAGCCGTACCTGCCGTTGCAGAGCAGCCAGCGGGCGAAGGAGCAGTGCGGGGCCATCTTCTGCATCAGGCTGGCGGCCAGCAGGGTGACCACCACCTGCACCCCCATCACCGCCTGGGCAGGGACACCGGGGTCACCCCCGGGGCTGGGGGGACCTGGGGACACCCCTGGGATCACTGGGGCTGGGGGGACGAGGGGACACCCCTGCAGGGCAGAGCTGGGCATGGGGCTGTCCCCTGCTCTGGGGACACCCCCGATGTGGTGAAGCCCCCAGGCAGGGACCCGCTGGGACCCCCGGGCAGGGACCCCCCGGCCGTGCCCAACCCCGGGACCCTTCGGGCAGCCTGGCCATGCAACCCCGCTCAGAACTCCCGGTCCAGCCCCGATCCATTCCCGGTCCATCCCGATCCATCCCGGTCCATTCCCGGTTCCTCCCCCGGTTCCTCCCCCGGTTCCTCCCCCGGTTCCTCTCCCGGTTCCCCCCCGGTCCCCCCGGTCCATCCCGGTCCGTGCCCACCATGCCGGGGTCAGCGCAAAGGCGCCCACAGGAAGCCCCGCCCCCGCGGGCACGCCCCTCTAGTCAGCCAATCCTCGGCTGTGTTGCTTTTGATTGGCAGGCTGGTGACCAATGACAGGGCGGCTGTGGGAGGGGCGGGCTCTGCGCCGCGCGCGGTTCCGCGGGCGGGGCCTCCCGGGAGCGTTGGGGACGTGGGTTCGAGTCCCGGCGGGGCCGAGCCCACACGGGATAATCGATAGTATCGATAATATCGGTAATAAATCATATCCGCGTGTCTTCCCTCATCCCCGCCCTGGGCTAACCCCGGGCAAACGCCAGGGACCCACCGAAGCTGACCCACACTCCCCCTCCTCGGCTGACCTGTACAAACCAGACTCGACTCGGGGAAATTAATTTAATTTATTAGCAATCAAAGCAGAGCAGCATCATGAGGAATAAAACGAAATCTCAGTGCCAGGACCCGCATCCCCGTGCCAGGACCCACATCCCGGTACCAGGACCCAAATCCCGTGCCAGGATCCGCATCCCCGTGCCAGGACCCGCACCCAGGCGCGCTGTGCGCCAATCCCGGCCCATCCCGGCCCATCCCGGGTCCCCAGGGCCCGGCCGTGCCGCTGGTCCAGCCCGGGCCGTTCCCGGGGGTTGCCATGGATATCGATCTCCCTGGCGACGGGATGCGCTTCCCGCTAGATGTCGCTTCCGCCCGCGCCCGGAGCATCCCCCGAGGGTCGGGGTACCCCAGAACCCCTCCCCTGGGCAGCCCCCGCCGTGCCCCCCGCGCCAGCCCCTCCACCGATGGAATGCGGTGCCAAAAATCCCCCAAATTCCCCCAAGGTGACCCAGAGCCCAGGGAAGCCTCCTGCTCCGTCACCTTCGATGTCTCCATGCCCTGAGCCCCAAATCCCCCCAGATCTGACACTCGGCCCCTCCGGAGAGAGCGCGGAGCCTCGGAGCCCCCAGGGCGCCGCTTTCAGCTCGGCCGGGCCACAAAACCCCGAGGGGAAGGTGGAAGATGGATGCTCGGAGCACCCCCAGGACACAAAGGCGCCTTTGAGCGCTGATTTTACACCGCTCCCCATTAGCATCAGCAAAGGGAGCGCCCGCCGCGGGGCGCCGCCGATGCGCGGCCCCCGAGTGTCCCCAAACGTCCCCAAATCGCTGCTGCGGGGCCACATCCCCGTCCCAGCCGGGGCCACCTCGCTCCGCCGCGCCGCCCGTCCCGGCTCGGGGCGCTCCCACCTCCGTCCCCTCCGCCGGCCGTTTGTGCCCCCTCCCTGAAAGGAAAAAAATAAAATAAAATAAAACCCGAGTTTCCCGTGGCGCACAAAGGCGGCGGGCGGGCATTGTCCCGGGGCTGCATCGCATTACCCGGGGCCCGCAGAAATCGCTCGTATTTCACGCTCCATCGAGCAGCTGCCTGTGTATATTTTCTGTGTTGCACTTTTAGCATGACAAAAGGAGAGGGCCTGTGAACTCCTTGCTCTTCAGACCTCTCCGACTTGTCCCCCCGAGCGGAGCCCCCCTCGGTTAGCATAACAAACTGCCACGCTTCCCCTCCCGTGCGGCCTTTTCCCTCCTTTTAGCGCTTTTATTGATTTTATTTATTTATTTTAATTTTTTTTCCCACCGTTAATTTAATGTATAGCTCAGTATTTGGAGGAGGGAGGGCTCAGGGATTTTGGGGATGTCCCTGCTGAGCTTTGGCCTGGCTCTTGTCACCCAGAAAGGTTTGGTGGCATTTCGGAGCTGTCCCCTGTGGAGGGGACAGGGCTGGAGTCACCAAACTCTGAGATGCTCCTGTTGGAGCTGTGGGCTCGCCTTGAAATTTGGTTAAAAAACGGGGAAAAAAAGAGAATTGTGGGGCTGGAATGAGGCTCATGGGGCTGGGGCAACCTGGCCCTGTCCCACCTGTCCCCAACCTGTCCCCAGCCTGTCCCCAGCCTGTCCCACCTGTTTCCATTCTGAGGAAAGGGGACAGGTGACACCTGGGGACAGGGGAAGGGGACAGGTGACACCTTGGGACAGGTGACATTTGTGACATTTGCCCTGCCAGGAATTCCTCACCGGGCGCCTCCTCGGGGCGGGGTCTCCTGGGGACACCGGGGACACCGGGGAGCGGCGGTGGCAGCGCCGCACTCACGCCCTGGTCACTGCTGGGGGCCCGAGGAGCTGGGCCCGATGGCCCGGCCGGGGGCTGTGGTCACCAAGAGCCCGGAGAGAGTCCTGGGGAGGGACAGGGAGGGACAGGGAGGGACAGGGAGGGACAAGGATGGACACAGGTGGACAGGGATGGACAGGGAGGGACAGGGAGGGACAGGGATGGACAAGGATGGACACAGGTGGACAAGGATGGACAGGGAGGGACAGGGAGGGACAGGGATGGACAGGGATGGACAGGGATGGACAGGGATGGACAGGGATGGACAGGGAGGGACAGGGATGGACAGGGAGGGACAGAGAGGGACAGGGAGGGACAGGGATGGACAGGGACGGACAGGGATGGACACAGGTGGACAGGGATGGACAGGGAGGGACAGGGATGGACAAGGATGGACAGGGATGGACAGGGTTGGACACAGGTGGACAGGGATGGACAGGGAGGGACAGGGAGGGACAGGGAGGGACACACCCGAGGTCACTTGCAGTCCCCAGGAATGTCCCTGCTCCCAGCTCCCAATTCCCAGTTCCCAATCCCCAGTCCCCAGTTCCCAATTCCCAGTTCCCGATTCCCAATTCCCAGTTCCCAGTTCCCAGTTCCCAATCCCCAGCTCCCAATCCCCAATTCCCAATTCCCAATTCCCAATTCCCAGTTCCCAATTCCCATCTCCCTCACTATCCCACGTCATTCCAGCCTCTGCCTCACGCAGCCCCGCACGGCCTGAGCCCAGATTCCCTCATTAATTAATCAGCTGGGATAATTAATCAGGGCACCCTGCACGTACAACCCCCAGGGTTGTTTTTGGGGTCTCTGCTGGTTCCCCCAGCCCCAATTCCCAGGATCTTTGGGATTCAGGTCCAGGGGAGGATCCCGACCCCCTCCAACCCCGAGGATGCCCCCAGGGATTCCCAGAAATTCCCAGAATTCCCAGGAATTCCCAGGATTTTGGTGCTCACTCTGTTTCCATGATCCCAAGGAAATTTCTGTCCCATCCCAATAGGAACGGGAAGAGCAGGATCTGTTTGATTTGGGAAGGGCCGGATCTGTCTAATCTGGATCTGTCTAATTTGGATCTGTTTAATCTGGATCTGTTTAATTTGGATCAGTCTAATTTGGATCAGTCTAATTTGGATCTGTTTAATCTGGATCCGTTGATCTGGGAAGAGCTGGGTCTGTTTCAGGGCAGCTCCAACAAATAAACCAAGGAATTTCGGGCAGGAAAACCAGGATTTCTCATTTCTGGAAATCCTCAATATTCCCCTCACGGAACAATCAAGACTCGAGGGTTTTTTGGGGTTTTTTGGGGTTTTTTGGGGTGAAACCAACCCCCCAACAAATCCCATTTTTCCAGGGCACAGCCAGAGCCGCTGGAACCTCCCCGCTCTCCAAGAACTCCCCTGGGGAAAACCAAAACTCCAAAAGTGGATTTGGGGCAGAACTCAGCACTTCCAGCCAGGAACACCCCCAGGAAAAGGTGGGGGGAATTCGGGAATTTGGGAATTTGGGAATTTGGGATCCCGGGGTCTCCACTCCCTCCCCCCTCGCCAGGCTGGGAACAGCTTGAGTGTCCAGGCGGGAATTCATTTAAATAAATTTCCATAGGGATTAATTCCACCCTTCCCGGCAGCCCGTGGGACTGGGGAGGTGGGAAAATGAGGAGGAGGAGGAGGAGGAGCTGCCCTTCCTCCCCAGCCTTGGGAATGTCTGGAGCCCATCCCGACCCTCCCAAATCTCTGCTCCCAAGGTTGGAAGATTCCCCAAATTCCCCGAATTCCCCCCAAAAACTTCCCAAGAATCGCCCCCCCCCAAAAAAAAAAAAAAAAAAAATCCCATCAATGAGAGGAATTTGGGATGCAGAAAGGGAATTTCCACGGTGGAAAATAAAATAAAATAAAATAAAATAAAATAAAATAAAATAAAATAAAATAAAATAAAATAAAATAAAATAAAATTTTAAATAAATAAATATTTAAATTAAATAGACAAATAAATAAATAAAATGAATGCATAAATAAAATACAATAGAATAAGCAAATTAAATAAATAAATTTTAAAAAGTAAACAGATTTCTAAAAATCCCATTAATGAGAGAAATTTGGGATGCATAAAGGGAATTTCCACGGTGGGAAACCCACGGATGCTAATTAATAAAATAAATAAATAAATACATACATACATAAAATGAATACGTAAATTAAATACAATAAAGTAAATAAAATAAAATAACCAAATAAAAAAATAAGTAAATAAAAGGAATGCATAAATAAAATGCAATAGAATAAGTAAATGAAATACAAAAATAACAATTAAATAAAATAAATAGAAATATAATAAAAATTAATAAATAACAGAAATAAAATACAATAAAAATAAAATAAGAATAAATAAAATAAAATTATGAAATAAAATTTTAAAAATAGAAAATAAAATAAAA